TTTTTTTTTTATTTCCCTTTAGATAGTTTTATCACAAATGACAGTGGAGTATACCCCAATATAACCGCTTCGGAACACACGACGCCAAACGCGCGCCAACGCGACACGCTCCACCTCCCGGAAAAAACCTAAAAATCCGCGAAGAGTCGAGAGCGTTCACACCCACTCCTTCCCATGAGAAACCCATACCCCAATTGCATTTTGTATTCTACATATCGTCCCTTCCTAATCGCCTATGTGTCCTTTCCATAATTTATAACTTGCATTAATTAATCCCCCCCATCACGGCGAGGCAACTACGATGCCGCGCACTTCCACTCGACAAGCCTCCCTTCCCCGAGGCCAAGTCGGCATCCAAAGTTTCGCAAGAACGACCAAGCCCGGTCTCAGATCAGCTACAGACGGCAAGAACGCCGTACCCAGCCTGCCACTCTCGCCTTCCAAGAAACGAAAACTAAATGAACTCGAGAACGTAGACTGCAATAGCCCCCGGACACAGGAAAAGGAGGAAACCACGACCGAAGCGCCTACGCCCTCCAAGTCCCTCCGGATTAAAGAATTGTCGCTCTCGACACCCCGAAGTGGCCATTATGCGTCTTCTACCCGTGATTCAAGGACCTCGGTCGCTGAGGAAAGGTCGGCCATCCCGACTTCGCCCTCGAAGCGGGCAAGGGGTAAGCATGCATCACAGCCTAGTACTACTGTTCTCGACGTGCGTCCGGCATGTGTGAACGATTTGGTTAAATTGCATTCGGCTTTTCTTAAAGCTATCACGTTCCATATTGCGCATCATGGTACGGCGGCTCCGGTCGATCTGAGGGAGTTTCTTCCCAGTGTTGAGCGGTTGTGGAAGAAGCGGAAAGTGGTACTAAAGGATCTGCAGCGGATGTTGTGGATTTGGGAGCAGGGTTCTGAAGCTCCTGGACTCGGCTATCGGATTGCTAATTATGGGTTGGGGAAAGTTTGTCTGGAGCGTGTGCGGCGGGAGAAGTGGACGGTGGACGACAACGAAATGCAAGAACGGTTTGAACAGGCGGTGGATTTATTATGGGAGAAGGCTTTGGATGCCGCTGATGGTGATGAAAGTCGGGTGGATTTTATTGCAACGCTGGGCGTTTCGTCCATCCATGAGTCACTGACGCCATTTACGAGCTTTCGAAAAGGCCAGCAGAGATTGCAGGATTTGAAGGGCGGGGTGATTAAGATGAAAATGGAGAAGCTTAAAGCAATGCCAGCGGAAGAGTCCCCTGTGAAAACATCGGATGCAACGAATGCTCGTCGCACGGGACTCCTGGATCGGATAAGAGACAAGGCTCTTCGTCAGTCTAAGCTACCGCCGCCTCCGTCGAAGGACATGCTGCTTCGTCAAGCTGCCGTGCAACGGGTTGAGGAAGTTGTCGGCGTGCTGGCTTTGCTGAGGCCGGTTGGCTATGTGGGTAGCGGACCGACAGCGACGACAGCTGCCCAGAGAAAGCCGTTCCGGCTGGAGATGATTGTACAAAACGTTCAGGATTCAATGAAGAATCCGATCTCAGGGAGAGAGGTGGAAATTTGCTTGGAGGTACTGGCTCGGGCCGACGTTGCTGGACAATGGGTCAACCTCGTCACCGTGAATCAGATTAAGTCGGTGGTTCTGAAGTCTTCGGCAGATGTCAGCCCCAAGGATATTGGTGCGAAGGCGCGCGAATTAGAGTTGGATGTGGATGAGCCTACTTCAACCTCGAAGCCTTAATTGAGACCCTACTGTATAATGTGTGTTTTGGATGTCTGGTGTTGTTGGGTTGGATACACCATCTGTGGAGTTTGATACACTCATGACCTTATCATTCTATTGTTTAGCATACCTCATGTAGCATTAGTTAGCGTTGCATTTATCATATACCTTACATAACTAGAAATATACATCATTGAAACGAAACCTTAAGTACTTCATTTTCTCATATCGGCGTTTTGGACCTGTCACTTTGGATAGTTGCAGCAGCTCATATGATTGGCCCGTACTCTAATTTATCGCGACGCGGCCCCACGTGACCGCGTTGCCACGGCGCGCGTCTCATATAGTGGGTTTGGATTTACTTTCAATCATCCAGACGAAGCTGATGTCCAGTCTTCCATTCATTTTATTGGACACTAGCTGACAAGATGTCCTCTCGTCCAGATCTCAGGGTGAGTGAAGATGACAACCATTTACTCGAAATTCAAATAATAATGCGTCTTGTTCTAGGTTGACGATGAAGTCGGCTTCATTCGTTTCTACCGTTCCCTTGCCTCGAACAGCAACGATGAAACTATCCGCGTGTTTGACCGCGGCGATTGGTACTCTGCCCACGGCGCTGAAGCAGAGTTCATCGCTCGCACTGTGTACAAGACAACCTCCGTTCTCCGCAACCTCGGCCGCAGTGAGTCCGGCGGCCTCCCCTCCGTCACCATGAGCGTGACCGTCTTCCGCAATTTTCTTCGCGAAGCCCTCTTCCGACTCAACAAGCGCATTGAAATCTGGGGCTCTGTTGGAACTGGCAAGGGCCATTGGAAGCTGGTGAAACAGGCGAGCCCAGGAAACCTTCAAGACGTGGAAGAAGAGCTGGGTAGCGTCGGCGGATTAAACATGGACTCGGCTCCGATCATCCTAGCGGTGAAAATCTCAGCCAAGGCCACGGAGGCCAGAAGTGTGGGAGTATGCTTTGCAGACGCAAGTGTGCGGGAACTCGGTGTGAGCGAGTTTTTGGATAACGATATCTATTCCAACTTTGAGTCGCTTATTATCCAGCTCGGTGTCAAGGAGTGCCTCGTGCAGATGGACGCTAACAAGAAGGATGTCGAGCTGGGGAAAATTCGGACTATCGCAGACAGCTGCGGGATTGCTATCTCAGAGAGACCCGTGGCTGATTTCGGTGTCAAGGATATCGAGCAGGATCTGACGAGGCTGTTGCGGGATGAGCGCTCGGCTAGTACGCTGCCGCAGACGGAGTTGAAGCTTGCTATGGGCTCGGCGGCTGCGCTGATCAAGTATCTTGGGGTCATGTCGGACCCGACTAATTTTGGCCAGTATCAGCTCTATCAGCATGATCTGTCACAGTTTATGAAGTTGGACGCATCGGCGCTTCGTGCTCTCAACCTTATGCCTGGTCCGCGAGACGGATCGAAGTCTATGAGTTTGTTTGGCTTGTTGAATCACTGTAAAACGCCGGTTGGGAGCCGCTTGCTTGCGCAATGGTTGAAGCAGCCGTTGATGGATCTGGCGGAGATCGAGAAGAGACAGCAGCTTGTCGAGGCTTTTGTTGTTAACACGGAGCTGAGACAAACTATGCAGGAGGAACATCTTCGCTCCATACCGGATCTGTACAGACTGGCGAAACGCTTTCAGCGGAAGCAGGCAAATCTGGAGGACGTCGTGCGAGTATATCAGGTTGCCATTCGCTTGCCGGGCTTCGTCAACTCTCTCGAAAATGTGATGGACGAAGAGTATCAGACACCCCTCGAGACAGAGTATACTTCCAATCTCCGGAGTCACTCTGATAGCCTAGCAAAACTGGAAGAGATGGTTGAGACCACAGTTGACCTCGATGCACTGGAGAACCACGAGTTCATCATCAAACCCGAGTTTGATGAGAGCTTACGGATCATCAGGAAAAAGTTAGACAAGATCCGCCATGACATGGGCGTTGAGCATCGCAGGGTAGGCCGGGATCTCGACCAGGAGATGGACAAGAAGTTGTTCCTGGAGAACCACCGGGTACATGGTTGGTGCTTCCGGCTTACCCGCAATGAGGCGGGCTGCATTCGCAATAAGAGAGAGTATCAGGAATGCTCTACACAGAAGAATGGCGTATACTTCACTACGTCGACCATGCAGACTCTTCGCCGGGAGCATGATCAGTTGTCCTCAAACTATAATAGAACTCAGACAGGACTGGTCAATGAGGTCGTCAATGTCGCTACGTCCTACTGTCCTGTTCTGGAACGGCTTGCCGGTGTTCTGGCGCACCTCGATGTTATCGTGAGCTTCGCCCATGCATCCGTGCACGCACCGTCATCCTATGTCCGGCCCAAGATGCACCCGCGAGGCACCGGAAACACGGTTCTCAAGGAAGCGCGTCATCCCTGCATGGAAATGCAGGACGACATCTCATTCATTACCAATGATGTGTCTCTTATCCGCGATGAGTCCTCATTTCTTATCATTACTGGTCCCAACATGGGTGGTAAATCGACCTACATTCGGCAAATCGGTGTTATTGCTCTCATGGCTCAGACGGGATGCTTCGTGCCTTGCACGGAAGCGGAGCTGACCATCTTTGACTGTATCCTTGCACGTGTGGGTGCAAGCGATTCGCAGCTCAAGGGCGTGTCCACTTTCATGGCTGAGATGCTTGAAACGTCTAATATTCTCAAGTCGGCAACGTCGGAGTCTCTTATCATTATCGACGAGCTTGGACGTGGTACAAGCACCTATGATGGATTCGGCCTGGCGTGGGCTATATCTGAACATATTGTCACAGAGATCCGTTGCTTCGGCCTTTTCGCTACTCACTTCCATGAATTGACTGCCCTCGCCGACCGTTACCCAAAGTCGGTTAAGAATCTGCACGTGGTCGCCTTCATTGGTGATGGCACCGGTGATGATTGTGAAGACAAGAAATCGAGGCGGAACCAGGTCACTTTGCTGTACCGTGTCGAACCCGGCATTTGTGATCAGTCATTCGGTATCCACGTTGCCGAATTGGTTCGCTTTCCAGACAAAGTGGTCAACATGGCCCGTCAGAAGGCAGAGGAGCTTGAAGACTTTACTTCGTCGGAACAGCAAGGCGAACACTCATCCATGGCGATCGATGGGTACTCGCAAGATGAAGTTGAGGAAGGCAATGCCCTTCTCAAAGCGATGCTGTTGAAATGGAAGGCGGAAACTGAATCCTCCGATAAGAAGTTAACGGTGGAAGAGAAGCGGCAGATCATGCGTGATCTCGTCAAAGCGGATGAGAAGCTCCAGGCGAACAAGATCTTCCAAGGCATCAAGTCTTTATAGATTCTGTGTTTACGTCTTTTTTTCTTTCTCAGGTTTATAGCGGTTCGGCGTTTGGACGGTGTTAAAAATCTGTGTATGCGTAGTCTACAGAAATGAGCATAAAGTATGTAGGGAATAATAGTATTCTTCAAAAGATTATGTCAATGGATTTAATTCATGGAGGAGACGAGGTGATAAGTGATGTATATATATCGGTCACGTGGGACCGCGGAGGTCTAGACGCTCCACCAGGATATTGTCTTAATCTATAGGCGCGGTCTCCAGTCCTCGAACCATAACCTGTCAACATTTACCAGTTGTCCTTACACTCGGTCTTGCAAGCTTTCGTCGCCTTCTTTGTGCGATTGTCATTCCTTTTGTGCAATCTCAGACCAGTGAAACTCCCACTTCCTTCCTGATCCCTAGTTTCAAGAGCCATGCGCGTAAACTAAAAGTGCCACCCGCCGACTAACCGTATTTCATGCACCCCTTTTCCATTCTCACACTCGGCATCTTCGTCGCGGGCTATATCACCGCAAGGTGGGACCTCGTTACTCGGTTGTACGAACTAGCTATATTTGCTTGGGATCACGGTGTTGTGGTAAGTTGTCGTTTGTCAAACCGTCCCTATCTTTTGCCCACCGGAATACTTGTTCGGCTCTGTTGTACGCGCGGCCTGGGTCCTGACTTCCAGCCCTCAGCATTGGTGTCGCATTGGCTAATGTTTATATCGGAAATAGACACGAACAGCAAAGGGATTTGTGCTTCTGTCAGTCTTCTACTTTTTCCTAGTCCTCCCTATTAGCTACTTGGCTGCGAAAGAAGGCGAACTGGTATGCGATACACACCGATTGAATCGGGGCCCGCAATCCAATGGAGCGAGCAGCCTGCCTGCGAAGGAAAATCAAGCTAATTCGTCTGTCCATTGTCAGCACCCACGATACGTCAATCTGGGCGTATCTGCCCGAGAACAGTTACGCCGCCGCGGCTCCTTTTAATCCCTCCTGAAGGATGACAACATGCTCATGAACGATGGATTGTTGCGGGTATTTTGGCCGTATGACCTTCCTCGGTCGTCATCGCAAGGAGTGATTGTTGGGTGGAAGAACTCGGAGCTCGACCTGTTCGTATTGACGGTCTTGGAGGATGTGGAGGTGAGCCGACGCACCAGTTGGCTTTCATGCGGTCTGCTGGCAGGATGCTGATCGGCAATGCATTTACTAGCCTCGGAATGTCGATAACGCCTTGCGTGCCGGGATCCTTTTTCGCAACAGCCCCCATCCGATTGTGAGGATATTTACGCTCTGTGGCAGATCTGCCATGCATGTGCTGGGGACGACCAACCCGCGAGAGCCATCTACAGCGTTTAATCCGTCACATCTATATGTGAACACGCATCCGTCGTGTAAGGTCCCTCGAATATACTGTCCGCCAGAAACGAATATGTCTGTTCAGGTTATCATGTTTCATCGCCCGCATCCCACCCGAATGGAGTATATGTCGCTAGAGCCAATCTCTCTTGCACTTGGCGATAAGGTTTTTGCTGCGGATAAATCCGACTCTGTATCCGATAAGATTGATACAGACGAAGAACGGGATAAGGTTAAGTCGCAGAAACTGGTTGAGAAGCTCAAGCTGCATACTGTTGTTAAGCATGTTCCGTCGTACAAAGAGCAGGCACTGACTCTCATTATCAACCAAGTGAATTGCGCCTACGAGATGGGGAAGCTCATGGAAAAGAATAGTCACCTAATTGGAATTCGTGTCAAGAGGAGTATGAGCGTTGGTGAGCGCGTTGTCGAATCAGCAACGACCTTATGGGATCTTTCCGTCCTCGGTGTTTCCTATGTGTTCTGGCAGTGGCTTTGGCCTGTTGTCACACGAGTTTTCGTTATTGGCCTTGTGTTTCATCGGACAATTGCTGAGATCGTACTCCAGGTTTTAGAGTGGCGCGCTCGGCCCGATGCAGCAGCTCTGAAAGACATCTCTGCCACAGCCCAGCAAGTTGATATTCGGCTGCAGCAGTTCTGCTATTGGCCTATTCAATACGTTAAGCTGCGTCAGAGAAAGGATAATTGGGAAAGTGTGACAACCAGCCATCCAGACTATATTCGGTTCTACAATAGTCTGTGGCTTGTCGCAAACGATGTGATTATTGGTATTGCGTTGGGCTCCTACATCATTGACAATGCGAACTGGGTGGCTTTCCAAATAAACATCATTCTTACCGGCTGGACTGTAGAAGGGTTGCAGCGTACCATCTCCTGGCTGATGGACTGGCCGGCTGGGTTGAAGTTGAACAATGAGCTTGCCGCTTTCCTGGGCGATCTGTTTCTGTGGGTTATAGAAAACTGGGCTGGTAAGGGCTTCTCTTCTTTGTTTTTCCCCTTTGGCTAACCATACGAAGCTTTCATTGCAAACCTGCAACCTTACCTTCCTCACGTCATATACATCGTTGGGTGCTCCAGCTTTGCTGGCGCCAGCATGCCGATTGCCCTTTTCTCAGATCTTGTCTCTATACTAACGGTGCACATTTACTCTTTCTATATCGCCTCTGCCCGCATCTTCAACTGGCAACTAACTATTATCATATCCCTTTTCCACCTGTTCCGTGGTAAGAAGCGGAATGTACTGCGCAACCGTATAGATTCATGCGATTACGACCTAGATCAACTCCTCATTGGTACCATTTTGTTCACGGTACTTTTCTTTCTTCTTCCAACCATCATCGTTTTCTACCTCGCATTCGCAACCGCTCGGATGTCAATCATATCAGTGAAAGCAGCTCTCGATACATGCCTCGCATTCTTGAACCATTTTCCTCTCTTTGCACTAATGTTGCGAGTCAAAGATTCGCGAAGGTTGCCAGGTGCGCCCTTGCAGTCTCGAGTACCCGGGTATAAAAAATTAACTTGGCTAATACGAATCACAGGCGGCATCCACTTCGAGCTCCGCGAAGAGCACGACAAATCCCTAAACTCCGACTCGACCTCTACGGTACCATACATCCACCTTGAGGTATGTAGCCACTTAGTCACACCCTTACCAACCTAGAACTAGAACAACCCCAACAAACTAACCATCATCCAGTCCATCCCACTAACTCTCCGTGCCATGTTCGACCAATACTTCCAACTAGGCCACCGCCTCCGCAAACACTACCTTTCGCCACGCGTCATCTTCTGCCTAGTAACCGGCCGCTTCGTGCCCCCCATCCACCGCCGCAACCTGTACAGCATGCAATACAGTATGCTTCCTGCGCGTCGGTCCGGAATGGCCGAGGTGTGGTCCTTGTTGACCCAGCCTCGGAAAGTCAATAGTAGCAGCGGTAGTTCCTCTACCATGGGCGGGGGGATAGGTACAACGGCGAACGGGTTACTCAAAGTTCCGAGCGGGTTTGGTCAGGGTGATATGAGAAGACGAGGACATCGGTGACGGAACTTTTTGTTTTGTCCTGATTGATGAGATTTAAGAAATGAGCTTATGCGTGTTTATGCACATAGATATAATATGACTTAATTGAATATCTATTTTTCATGTGACCTGGCTCAAAAAGATCAAAGTTCGAGATGTGGTTTTACTGTTCATAAGACGAATGATTAAAGGTATATCATGCACAGCTTCAATAATGTTCTCAACCTTAGATGATCCTTAAATCCATCAAGCTAGGTATATCTGGCGCACGCAACGACGCTTGATCACCGGCTTATATATGCTGCAAAACCCAACCAGACAGGAAACCCCAACCCCATCCGTCTCGATAACTAAGAAGTCCTCCGTCTCACAACATTCCTGATAGCCGTTACCAATAAGCACACATTTAATTGTTCTATGCTTTCCCATTTACGCCCCTGCGTTTACAGAAACCCGACGCCGATGTTCTTACCAGCTGTTGAGTCGCTTACGTCGTCATCGTGAGGCATGGTTACTTTCCAGTATTCATCTTCGGGTTGGTAATGGGCATAGAGCTCGATGGTACTCGCCTGGAAGGCTAGAATGTGTTCTCTCTTTTCGCTTGGGATCTTGTCCAAGATATCCTGGGGAGGGGACTTTCTTGCATTACGATTTCTAAGCCTTATTCTTCAAGATAAGTAGCTATTTCGTCGGATAGCTGGTTGGTTGTAAGTTATTTTCTCAGGGCATCAAATTCTTGGAGCTGTTTTTCCCCATGTAATAGTAATACCTGGTCATATTCAGTGCGGAGAGAGCTCGACGTACTGTGTCCTCTCAGTATATCCTGTCGTGAGGCTTGCACTTAAAATATACTTGATGATCTGTGGATTGAGGTGGTTAGATTGCACACACTCGTCATATGTCCACTTGCAGTTCATCCAGGCAGAACGATGCATTGCTTGGTCAATCAGAGGCTGAGAGATGACCAGAAAGGCGCCATCGTATATATCGTTTGCTTCGAATAATTTCACCATAATGTGGCGCAGTGAGTCGACCCAGATATATTCTATATTTAATTTTTCGCAAACAACGATCGTGTCTTGTATTGTTTTTGGGATATGGTCTTTGAGGTACTCCAACTCCCCCAACTTGTGAGATGGGATCCTGTGTCTGGGTGTAGCGAAGTTGTTGACCATATCCCCAACAATAAGTTAGGGCAGCATAACGGCAACCAACAGGAGCAGGTTCAACCATCCGTTTGTCAATACAGATTAATCTCTTAGGCCCCTTGAAATCTCTATTCGTGCCAGATGTATCGAATGCCCTGTGATCGACCGTGCAGGTAGATATCCATGCCTTTGCTAAGTCGAAATCAAACCAAGGGCTCAAAACTTCTTCCATGTAAAAATCGGCCTTGGTCGCCTTCGTCGTAGAGAAGCATAATATCTGCTTCGTAGGCAGAACGGTCTTTGTAAGAGCTTTGCTGGATACATCTTATGCTCTCCGTACTTTCTGCGCATTCACCGTGAAGAGAGTATCAGAATGTTGTAGATACGCGAAGATGGTATGTTAAATGGCGCTGCATATCTTTATTGAATTCCACGAAAAGTGCACGAGAATAATTTATAGCCGTGAGTCAGCAGCGGGTGCGGTATATTCCCCACCCCTTTCCCTTTATGTTGATTGAGAACAAGGCAAACCAGACGGCAAAGGGGGCACCATGTTGAGTTCTGAACATCTCGAAATGTGCGCTCGTGACATAAACCTAGCTTTTGATGCTGCGTCGGGGAAAGCGGGGGAGGAGCCCCAAATTCCCTGGTCTTGAAGTGCTTGGAGCATGGTAGACACAGTTTTTTGCGGTATAGTCCATAGTGGAAGCTTTGATGATATATATAATCCCACTTAAGGGCTGCAAATCGACGACGGTATCCGACCTTGTCTGAGGGTGAACGATAAAAGAGCCACACTTGCAATTCTTCTGGCTATTACCAAAGCCACAAACCAGGACTGGGGTGCTTGGAGCCTGATAACGTGATTCAATGAGCAAAATGCAGCAAGCACCAATGGTCCGTAGGGGAATGCCACAGCCATGTCTTAGTACAATGCTAGTAATGACTCAGCCCTTAATGGTACCTAGGAAATATTAGCTGCTGATGTATGTCCAACGATGTGTCTTCCATATACTTACCTTTTTTGGGCACTCACATATTGGCTTAGGCAACAGAAATGTGTAGGTGGCGATTAATGTTCAAGCACTCTTCGAACTTTCGCCTATGAGTGATAGGAAAGCTCTTAGACAAGGCTGAAGATCCATGGCTGGAGCTATGCCATGCGTCAACCAAGCGTATCGCTCGCCGAGATATAGAATAATGAAAAAGCGAATCTTTCCTGACAACCTAGAAACGAAAAATAATGGTAATACTGTAGAAAAAGACGGATCGTTAATTGCAGGATATTATGGAACATATGTTTGAGAGTACATGAGGGAAGTAAATGTGTTGGTACAAATAGACATCGGAAGTTGGTGGAGAAGGCCCTTCGGAAGAAGCCATCGTAGACATGACAATATACAAGAAATCTATCCAGCTAGCATAGAGATGATCGAAATCTCCACGAGCTAGAGAGACAACTTTATGAATATGTAAACCCTAGCAACGTCATGGTGCCAAGGTTGCAATAGAACTTGCTGCCTGGTCGTTCTCATCACAAGCGGAGATGCTGGTCGAGTCATTGACATCGAAGAAGCCCTCGGAAGATTAGAGTTGCTTGGGTGGTTCGTATAGAGAGTGGAGATGAAGCATCTATATTTAATCCCAGAATGAAAGATCAACTCTTCCGCAAATGCTCGGCATCAGTCTCAGCGTGACCCTTGCGAGCATCTTCAAGCATGGAATCAATGCCTTTCTCTTTTAAGACTTTCTGTTAAGTAGTTAGTATACATCATGGATAACTGGTTTGCAATGTTATACATTTAAGCATGTCTTGTATTTGGTGAACAACTCTTCGCATTCATTGGATGTTGTATTGCCACGGAGATATTCTTGTTGAATTAGTTTTGAATTGGATGTAGAAGATTTCAGCGGGAAATCTCACTTTCACTATACCATTTGAGAAAGCAAGTGTCATACTTCCTGTTCATGGTTAGTTGTTTTGAAGTAGATTCAAAGCGTAATTGAGGTAAAGAGGTACTCTTTGATATCATTGCACTCGGGGGCTATAGAGGCAGACATGGTGGATATTATCATGTAGGAGAGACCGAAAGATGATTCAGAGGGTATTTTTCTTTTCTTTGTCTATGCCTGGCAAGAGAGGCAAATGGATGATTAAAACGATGCTCTAGAATGAAAGGTGATCACCCTGTCTAATCCATTGCAGTAGGCGGTCAGTAAACCAACCGGCAGAACTGTTTCTCCGCATCCGGAATTTCCTTTTTTTTTTTTTTTTGTAGTTTTAAGAATGATGGACTGAATGTGACTCTTAAACAGGCGCAAACAATATCGCCCTGTTTGTCTGTTCATTAGTGCCTCGGCTCTCTGAATCCTATCCAACAGTATACTCAGAGCTAGATCACAATGGATTCCGCATCAGACTTTCCTCCGTTCCAGCAGCGGCTAACGTCGTCGCTCGTGCAGATGACGCGCACTGTTGGCCAGCTCTCTGCTGAGGACCTCAGTTTTCACCGCACTTCAAGCGCGGAACTCTCAGAGTCGATTGATGAACAAAGTGGCAGGATCCTTTCACTAACCTCTTCTCTCCTCAAAGCTGCTACAGCCGGTACCGATTTACCCGCGCCGAGTCTGCAGGATGAAGACTCTATCGAGGACAACTGGCGCGGTGTGGTGGACGTTATTGATGCTCTTTTGGAAAAGGCCGATGCTTGTTTGGATGAGTTTACTGGTGTGATCAAGAGACTGAGTCCATCACAGCAAGAGCAGAGTGCAGCGAAGGCTACGAAGAAGACTACTTCCAAGTTCCCCACCATTTACGATTATGGCCCGTCGAAGATCCCGAAACCTCAGCTACAGTTTGAGCGCCCTGTTGATAATGCCAACGTCTCGCCATTTCAGCCATTGCTCAGGACCAAACCTCATGCAATGGTTCCGTTGGAGGAGTCATTAAAATCAACAGACGCTGGGACGGGGAACAGGAACCCTTATGAAACCGAAATACGTGCCGCAAAGTATCCGGAGTCTACGTACGCTGTGTCACCTCCTGTTCCCTACCAGCCTTGGGAGTCCACCACCGCGACTTTCGTTGATACGTTAGAAGGGGTGAAGGAGATGCTGAAAGAGCTTAAATCTGCAAAGGAGATCGCTATCGATTTGGAGCATCACGATGTGCACTCCTACCATGGTCTTGTTTCTTTAATGCAGATTAGCACTCGAGAAAAGGATTGGGTGGTCGACACACTGAAGCCCTGGAGGGAGGAGCTTCAGATGCTTAACGAGGTTTTTGCGGACCCTAGCATCCTCAAGGTGTTCCACGGTTCCTCCATGGATATTATTTGGCTTCAGCGCGACCTAGGTCTCTACGTAGTGGGCATGTTTGACACCTACCATGCTGCCTGCGCTCTGAATTATCCCAAGCGAAGCTTGAAATTTCTTCTGCAAAAGTTCGTCAACTTCGAAGCCGACAAGAAATACCAAATGGCCGACTGGCGAATTCGGCCGCTTCCAGATGGAATGTTTGACTATGCCCGCTCCGATACTCACTACCTCCTTCACATTTTCGATCACCTACGCAATGAACTCGTCCAAAACTCAGTCCCTGGGAACAACCTTATTGATTATGTTTCGGATAATTCAAAGAACGAAGCTTTGCAACGGTACGAGCGCTCTGCTTACGATACCGCCAAAGGACAAGGCCCAGGCGGCTGGTATGACTACTTGTGCCGCAACCCTGTGGTTCTAAGCAAGGAGCAATTTGCCGTTTTCAAGGCGGTCCATCAATGGCGCGACGAAGTTGCACGTGAGGAAGATGAAGGAGTGCAGTGTGTGTTCCCCAAGCATGTCCTTTTCAGGGTTGCCCACGCTATGCCTCTAGACTTGGGCACGTTATTCAGAACGTTGTCACCAGTCACGCCCATCACCAAGGACAGAGCATCGGATCTCTTAGAGGTCATCAAGAATGCGAAGATCGAAGGTGCCACTGGTCCTGAATGGCGAGATGTGTATGTGAAGCCGACCAAGGCTGGACGAGCGGTGGCTGCGGCAGGAACAGAACAGGGTCTTTTGACACCACCTACCGCAGAGGAGGACTTCCCCACCGCCGAGCGCTGCGACGTATCCCAGTTTTGGGGTGCGGTTCTGGACTCTCGGGAACCTCTTACCCCTCCTCAGTACTCTGCAGTAGCCTCTGCAGAAGCCCTTCGACTTTCGCTCCCACTGCCACCCATGCCTCGAACAGTATCTGAGGCTCGTGACAAGCTTACCGATTCTACCTCCACTAAGCCCCCTCCTAAGCCCGCTCCTGTTGAAGCACCAGAAGAGAAGGAGGAAAACGAAATATTCACAGTCAAGGGACTTGGCGGCCCACGCAAACGAAAGAGCGAGCAGGCTGCGTCGCCGGAGGCTGATGAGGCTGACATGATTGACATCGGGGAGAAGCCATCTAAGAAACAGCGCCGGAAGGAGAAGAAGAACAAGTCTGCTTCGCAAACTCCACAGCCAGAAGAAAGCAACGAAGAAGCCGAGCCCTTCAACTATGAGGCTGCTGCCTCTGTACTGCACGCACGACCTGCCCAGAGCGCGACGTTTAAGACGAAACGGCCATTCAACCCATATGCCAAAGCGCTTGAGGCACCCAGTGGCGTCCGCAAACAGAAACGGGAGACGCCCGGAAAGTCATTCACTTTTAGGTAGTGCGCTTTTCCGAAAGTTGCACGAAATTTGTCATCTGTTCCTATATACGGGAGATTGGTTGCGCTGGGATAGAATATTTTTTAAGTATATAGCGATACCCGATTAGTTGGAGATGTAACGAATCGAAGGCATTCTCATGTTGTGGTCTTTTGATTGCATTGGCAGAGTATACGTATATCAGCATATACATACAACCTCAACCATCACCTACAAACAACCCTAAGCCAACGAACTCCCAGACAAGAAGAGTTCACGTCCCTCTTATAAAGAATCACAATATAACTATGCACACTTTAAAAAATCCAAACGACTGCCACAAATAGAAACATAGAAGACATACCTCATAACAAAACGCAATGTCCACCCCCCGCCCGGCCAATTCAACAACCTCTGAATCCCATGGACCTCGTCACACCTTCCCTAAGACCTTCCGCCGCTGGTTAACCATATACTTGTACATCATCGGCGTCCCTACCACCAAACCACCATTAACAAACCTCCCCCTCCCTTCAATCACCCAAGACAAGTCGAGACAAGACAAGATAAGAACTTACCAGGTCCATAAAGCACCAAAAAGAACCCAAAGATCCCTGCCACAACACAACTAGACGTAGCCCTTGCAGCATTAAACATCAACCACCACTCACTTCCAATCCCAATCGGATACAGCACGAAAAAGACCGAATATCTATCCATCTTAAATCAGACCCCGTGCCTCCAACCAACAACCTAGGTTCTAATAAAGTAAGCTATATAAGGGGGGGAAAAAAAACCTTACCTCAACCATTTCAACGGCCCGGGAACCGGTCCCCGGGCTAACATCACCACGAAATACAGGTACCGGATTGTATCTGCGGCGGACCAGGCGAGGAGCATACTCGGGTAGGCCCATGAGGGCGTTGTGATCTCTGGGAAGGCATAGTTGACGGCCCAGACCTGGACGCAGCGGCCGAAGACCTGCGTGAAGGTTGTGAAGATTGGGGCGCGGGTGATTCCTGGTTTGGTAAGTGCTGTGGTTACTGTGGGCTGGTATACTTGAAGTTGGGTTGGGAGAAGGATGGATAGTTTTACCGGTAGCGGAGTGGATGATTTCGGCGATTGCTAAGGTTTGCGTGTATCGGGTCCAAGGCTCGACGGTTGAGTATGTTGATATGGGGGTTTGGGTGGTGAGGACGGTTAGGAGGATGCGGAGCCAGAGGATGGTAGAGAGGGAGTTGTAGAGGAGGAGGTAGATTGTTTTTGGGGGTGGTTCGGGTTTGGAAGGCATAGTTGTCTTACTTATCTTAGAGCTTAATTGTGTCTGGCTTTTCTTTTACGCTTCTATGGGGGTTTTTTTTTATGCTCTCTGTGGGTGAAAATCTGGGGTTGGGGTTTATTGGGCCAATGCGGTGGGATAGGTTGGTTAGTTGGATTGATCCATTGCTTTGTCAGCAGTTTTAAGCTCGGGTTGTAGTTTTTAAGGGTTGTACAAGGCCTAGTTATCTTTTGTTCTGTAGGACTCTACATTGTACTTGAATTGGTCTCTGGGGATGCAATGGACGTGGGCGTGGGTCCTTTATGTGGGGTTCTAGCGAAATATATACCGCTATCCTTCAATGTACAGTTATCTTTTGTCAAGTATATAGAAGCGGAAAGATTGTTGAAGGATAATGCACGCAGAAAAGGGGGCACATCCCTGGGAATCCCTCAATCTCCAGCTCCTGGATATTTGCGCCCTGGGTTCGAGGCCCGGTCTGTGGGGATATGAGCACTTTGTGGTGTAGTCTCCTGTGGAGGCCCTGGAAAGAACATGGAACGGCTACGATTCACTCGCATCTCATTATCATGCACCTCTTTAGGTTTCGGCACTCTTTTCTCTAGTCTTTCCGAGGGTGCCTTGATTTCAACTAGTCATCCCGGTAAATCCTTCACTGTTAATAAGACGGATCGTCCAAGTACAGATATAGAACAATTGAACAGGTCTGACCAAGTCAGTGGGGAGATAAAAATCATCAAGGTTAGTGAAGAGGCATTTAGCCAAGGGTATCTCCTTCGGTGCTCTGCCGTGCGTAGCAGCTATCCGGCGCAACGCTGTCAACGCCCGCCAAGATATTGTATCCTTTGTTAGACGCCGTTCCGTTGGTAGCTACCTAATAATTTGTCCATGTTCGTCAAGGGCCCAGACAAAGCTGAAGAACGGTGCCCCAGTCAAAGTGACGACGAGTGTCGAATATATGGCCGCATAGGGCTTAGGCTGTTGAGCTGCCTTTCACGGAGACTCCGAAAAGGGTCTCACAAGGTGTCTTCTTGGCCCCGTTGAACTATATTTGGGAAGAAGTATAAAGCATCATATAAGATTTAGGTATATAGGGGGTAGTACCTAGCGACTACCTAGCCTAACCCTAATATGAAGCTCCAAGACAATAGAGACCTAGTACCCATCCCGTCAGATGTTGATTGGCTGTGGCCTCCCCCATTTCTCTTCAACATGCCGGTGCCTGTTATAACTAAGCTAACTATAACTCAACGGTGAAACAGCCTACTAGTAGCTAGTAGCTAGTAGTACCAGTACTGAGTGCTTATCTCACGTTAATCCCCGGGGGTCCTGAAGGCTGTTAATTTAGACTTAACATGCATTGCAGGAGGTGGAGAAGTCCAGTGTATGCAATTGATTAGAAAATAAGCTATCCCTGACACCCGACAGAGACAGATCTGCATGTCCATGTGCCTTGAGTGGAGATTGCCTGTGGGATACCTGACCGTTGAGGCATTTGCCGTGGGGAAAGGAGATCTGTGGGCTCTGCAAGGACCAGAAAGATGCGGTGTGCTGCTCCGATAATGCCTCAATGGTCGATCGGTCTAGATGGCGTTTCTTTCAATGGCGATAAAGAGCTTATAGTTGCTTTGTCAGGATCCAAGGAAAGGGGTTACCGTGTAACGATCGTGATGCCATGCATGCTATATCCTACGCGAGAGAGAGAGAAAAAAAAAAAAAAAAAAAAAAACGGAAGAGAGAGGGAAGTACCGTTCTTCCGGGATCTGGATCAGACCCATCTCTATTGTCCATGATTCATGCATCACACTAAGATCAAGATGGGTGGAGGGGAATACGAGATGTTCGGAAGCGAGGTTCGTGTAGTATGTGTGCCTAAAGCCTGTCCGTGCTTTGACCACCTGCATACGAACTAGAGCATGCATCTCCGTCATCACTACCCATGGATGGCCAACATCGATGTTGCCACTATTTTCAAAGGTTTAATGGAAGATAATACTAAAGAGGCAAAGAGAGTAAAGATTGTCCATGGTGTCGGAGAGCGAGTTAGCCCGATATCGAACAGCTGACCGAGTACTATGTATGTATGGATGGATGTACCCCGGAGTTTACACAGTACATACATAGTACCGGTAATATCCACATGACGCCTGAAACCTAGCAATTTACGTGCATGGACACTCCCTACTAGGACTAGTAGTAGTTCGCTTCAATTTTTAGTCCCTGAGTCCATGATGTAATGGGATTGCCGGTCTCCTTTTTGAGTCTTGTCGTTCATTGGGAGAATAAACTCTTCTGGTGCATAGAAAAAAAAATCTCACATTACCAAAAGGGAATTGATCCTGTGCATGTGTATGATCAATAATAGATATATTAGAGAATAATGAATAATGAATAAATAATTTTAACATTGCCCTTATTTTTTTTTATTTTCATTCTTCCTTTGAAAAGCGAGCTCTCTATCATACAATCCATGCAGTTGACCATGTACTAAGCCAGATTAAGTAAAATGCGCGGATTAATTCGACGCAGGTACCAGACATGGGTCTGTTCATGGTGTAGTACAGAGAGAGCACTTAGTATGTATTTTTTAAATTTGGGTATTTGTATTTTCGGTCGCGAATCAAGTTGTCACGTCGTGGAAAGAGGCAAGAATGAATTGATACCGCATCCAAGGGTACTGAGAGATAAAATAAATTATAATAAAGTGTTGCCTACTTGTGACGCTGGGAATATAGATAAAACTCCTAACAGTGGAGCTCGGTGGTAGCGTGGAACCCCCGTTATCAGTGAGACCACGATGGGTGGGAGGAACTGTGGGCCATCCTGGAGTGATCCAAGAAGGAGGGTAACCCAATGATGTTGAAAGATGGCAGCACACGAGGGCAAGACTCCCGGATCAGGTGAAACCACAATTGATACCGGAACTGACAATTTATTCAATTACAAGGGCAGATGCATATGACAGCCTTGTCACATACCAGTCCAACGCCGTCAATCCAATTCCATTTGTAGATGCGATGCTTTATGAAACAAGGTTAACCCGTCAATCCTTCCTTGGCTAAATAGCCGCCCCAAGCACTAGATTATTACCTAACATACTAAGAGCTGGAGAAACGGGCAAGTCAGCAGCGTAAAAATCCCCTGGTCCGAGTGGCAACATTTCTCTTTCTTTGGTTCAGTCGCACTGGAACAGGGGCAAGGGGGAAAATGAAATAATAATAATAATAATAATAAATAAAAAAAATAAAAAAATAAAAAAAGGTGGGAAGGGTTTCGAAATGGCCCCATTGCTTGACTTGGCTTTCCTAGTCGCATCGTTTTCTTTTTCCTCTCTCTCTCTCTTATTTCACCCTTGACCATTACTAGTAGGGTACGGAGGGCTCCGTACATGCCGCGTATTGAATTTGCTACAAATACTACAACCATTTAGCCAAGTCTGATTAGTGCACACTCTACTCCAGACTGAACTAGATCATGACTCTAGCTATGTGCGCCAGGTGGCTCCGGCTAAGGACTAGGTCCTTGCCCCGATGGAGAAATTCCCCTTGCGTCCACTGCTGCAGTGTAGGCGCTCTGGAATACTACCTATCACACACTCATCCTCACATTGGCGAGACAGGAATAAATCGGAAGACGATCACCCGAATTCATTGTCTTACTGAGAAACATCATACATCTTGTGCTGATTTTGTGTCTTTGAATCCTATAAAACAAAATATCATTGTCGTTCTTGGCATGGCATGGCTTGGCCCCATCTCAGTTAGGTAATTATTCAGACCGAATGCGTTAGACGGTAAAACGTGTTGAAATTCGGAGAAAATCGATGGGCATGAGATGTTATGATATTGAAACTGTGCGAGAATTATAAAAGGAAAAAAAAAAAGAATAATAATAATACTCTCGTAAGAACTGAGACTACGTAGTATTACTCCAATTTTTAATTCCCCCTCTCCTTTTCGTATAGGCCAATAGTGCTATACACGATAAAACTCAATCGATGCGCGCTCTCTCCACTATATGAAGGAGCCTGTTAAGCCTCTCTTTATTTTTCTTTCTTCTTTATCTTTAGTCTGCAAAGCACTGACTGACCGATCAATCAGTGAATCCTTTTCGCATCCTCTTATCTGTTGACATTAGGATACTATAATGTGTCCTCTCTACTCTGTACATCATATTTAATTTTTTGTATGGGGATCGACACATCAGGTGGGAATCCGGAAAAGGAATGTGTTCAGGTACAGGGATTAATTAGTGCCGATGGGGTCCTCTGGGGTGAGTGCAAGTGGAGAAGGAAAGTCTACAATTTACAGTTGGACAACCAGACTTCGGTGGGATCCTCACCTAGTCAAAGTAAGATTAACATTTGCAAGAAGAAAATTAAACATATCGAGATGAGGAGAATAAAGGAGGCAGAGAGAGAGAAAGAGGTAAAAAAAAAAAAAAAGAATTTTCATGTCAAAGAAAATAAAGAATGCCAGAAAAAGGAAAAGAAAAGAGATGAAAAAATTAAGACATAATCCCGGTGCATATGTATGATAGACATACATATGTAGGCACATGGACGGGGAGTAGTACTTTTAAGGTACCTCTTTGGGTCTTGGTTTTTTCCTGTTCCTGTCTGCTGCAAGTCACGGAAACACAACTCCACCGTCCTTCCCGATCCCTAACGCCCCAAAGGTAACAAATTCTCTTTTCCCCCCTCTCTCTTTTTTTTTTTTTTTTTTCTAGCCAATGTCCTACCTTCACTGCCTGTTAAAAGGCTAAAAAGATGACATCACCTTTTACAAGCCTTCATATACTTTTATTTTTTTTTTATGCAGTCTTCTGCTAACACTTGCATTTTTTTTTTTTTTTTTTTTTTTTTTTTTTTTTTTTTTTTTTTTTTTTTTTTTTTCTTTTTCCCACCCTCCCCTTCCAAAATAACCGCCAATGCTTTCTGTCTCTCCCTATCTGACTATACATGCCTGATTAAGATTATTCCCATTCCTACATATTTTGTTTTATTACTACGATTTTCTACTTATTGTGACTTTTTTTTTTATTATTATCTTTGTCCCGTTAGTATTGCCATTAAACTTTGTTTTGCCGGCAGAGTATACTTATCTGTACTAACTTGTTCCTGATTTTCCTGCCTTCTTTTCCCCCTCCGCCTATTAATCTCCATCAGGTGCCTTGCGCTATCCCCCTACTTGCTCTGGAAGTGTTCTCAACCCATCCACTCCCTGTTCCCTGTTCTTCCATCTCCCCAAGGCCCTTCTTTTCTCTCTTTAATTCGGACATTATACCGCTTGACCACTTCGTGATTCCGCGACTTGCCTGATACTTTCGGCGAGACAGTTGTGGCCCGGTCGTGTCTCCTGTTGATCGCGCTCCACCCCTCGTTGGCATTCCACCGACATTTTATTTTACCCTTTTATTCTTAGCCCTCTTTTTTTTTCCTTTCTTCTTCTTCTTCTCTCACTCCCTCTTAATCAACCAGCGACACCCCATTTCTGCATTCGTTGAGAAGCTTCGCAATTGCCGATTAATTGCTCGGAAAACCGTTGCCGGTACCTTGTGTCATCTCCCTGCAGCCCCCGGCCACCCACGAACCGCTTAGTGCGCGTACGATAAGGGGTACAATTTTACAAGTGACCGCGCCGAAGATCGTTGACCCAGATGACCAGCCCTGATACGTGAAATCAAGCGACTGGATCCGTGGCTATTCTCAACCTACATTGACCGTCGGTGAAGGTGTTTTCCTGACCCTTGTGGCTGGTGGTTCCCCCCCGATATATATCGTGTTTGGAGCGCTCCCTTGGTGCGCCATTCATCGACGCCTTTTTCTACACACAATGTCTGTGGCCACTATGCTACAACCAGCTTCCAGGACCTCCACTTCCTCATCCTCATCGTTTCAACCCGTTTCCCGGCAAAACACCATGTCTTCCCACGATACCCGGTCGCTCCGCCAATCCAAGCGGTTTTCAACCACGGCACTGTACCTGTCGATGTCCGCGAAGGACAGAGACTTGGAAATCTCGGATGATTTGGCGAGGGGTAAGTCTCCTTGATGGTTCGGCATGGTCCCTACTAATCCATCTAATTTTTTTTTTTTTTTTAACAGCCCAAAAGTATCTGCGGGAATTGAAGTCAAAGATCTCATCACAGTCGAAGAAGAACTTCGTCCTGGAAAAAGATGTACGATATCTGGATTCTCGGATCGCACTACTGATTCAGAACCGGATGGCGCTTGAGGAGGTAAAGTCATGTCTGCCCCGCACCCTGGTTACCTTGCTGACAGTCTCCAGCAAAATGAAGTTGCGAGCCACCTCGACGAAGCCATTGACCCCCAGGAGGGCTTCTTTCCTAACGATGAAAAGACCCAGAAATACGGCAACCTTTTATTCCTCCTCCAATCTGAGCCTCGTCATATCGCCCACCTATGCCGCCTTGTTTCCATGGCTGAAATCGACTCGCTCCTGCAGACGGTTATGTTTACCATCTATGGTAATCAGTATGAAAGCCGTGAAGAACATCTTCTTCTCACCATGTTTCAGTCCGTGCTCACCTACCAGTTCGATAATACCCCGGAATACTCGTCGCTCTTGCGCCAGAACACTCCCGTCTCCCGTATGATGACCACTTATACGCGCCGCGGCCCGGGCCAAAGTTACTTGAAACAGGTTCTGGCCGACCAGATCAATCGGCTGATCGAGTACCGTGATGTCGATCTGGAAATCAATCCGTTGAAGGTGTACGAAACGATGGTGACGGAATATGAGGAGAAGCATGGCTCGTTGCCAGCGGACCTACCTCGATCCGTTACCGCGGAGGCTGCAGCGGAAAATGCACAGGTTCAGGCCATCATAGCGCCACGCCTGAGAAAACTGACGGAAATTGCCAATGGATTTCTGTCAACAATCATCAACTCGGTGGAAGAGACGCCCTACGGTATCCGGTGGATTTGCAAGCAAATTCGTAGCTTGTCTCGACGCAAGTATCCCGATGCCCAGGATCAAACCATCTGTACCCTCATCGGAGGCTTCTTCTTCCTTCGCTTCATTAACCCCGCCATTGTTACGCCGCGGTCTTACATGTTGATCGAATCAACCCCGACAGAGAAGCCTCGGCGCACATTGACGTTAATTGCCAAGATGCTCCAGAATCTGGCAAACAAGCCCTCCTACGCCAAGGAGCCGTACATGGCCAAACTCCAACCCTTCATTCAACAGAATAAGGAGCGTGTCAACAAATTCATGCTTGATCTATGCGAAGTTCAGGACTTTTACGAGAGCTTGGAAATGGACAACTATGTGGCCCTTTCCAAGCGGGACCTGGAGTTGCAAATCACTCTTAACGAAATGTACGCCACTCATGCGCTTCTAGAAAAGCACAGTGCGGCTCTCACTCAAGACCAGCACTCACATCTCCATGAGCTCTTAAATGAGCTAGACACGGCTCCGGCACAAGTTCCGCGCAAGGAGAACAAGACCATCACTGTTCCCCTGTTCAGTCGATGGGAGACAGCCTTGGATGACTTGACCTCCGCGCTGGACATTACCCAAGAGGAAATATTGTTCATGGAAGCCAAATCAACCTTTGTCCAAATCCTGCGGTCTTTGCCGCCAAACTCCATAGTCGCCCGCCGACCTCTTCGACTCGATCGAATCGCGGAGGCTGCGGCCACCTTGAAAAACGACGCCGTGATGGTGCGAAAGGGTATTCGCACCATGGAATTGCTGAGCCAGCTGCTAGAAATGGGAGTCGTTGATCGTTCGGACGATTTCAGTCTGCTCCGAGACGAAGTCGAACAAGAGTTGGTGCATCTGGGTTCTTTGAAAGAGAAAGTTTTGGAGGAGACCAAAAAGCTCGAGGAAGTCTTCGCAACCATCCGTGACCATAACGCCTATTTGGTGGGTCAGTTGGAGACATACAAATCCTACCTGCACAATGTCCGGAGCCAGTCAGAGGGAAAGCAGAGAAAACAGCAGAAACACCAAGAGCTCGGGCCATACAAATTTACCCACCAGCAACTTGAGAAAGAAGGCGTGATTCGAAAGAGCAATGTTCCAGAGAACCGACGAGCCAACATCTACTTCATGTTCAAGAGTCCCTTGCCAGGCACTTTTGTTATCAGCCTGCACTACAAAGGTAAGCGAGGCTCCCCCCGATTTCTTCGGGCCATTCCCCTGTTCCCTTTGTACCACACGGTTGTCTGTTTAAGAAGTATACTGACGAATCCCTTAAACAGGCCGCGCCCGTGGACTTCTGGAGCTTGATCTCAAGCTTGATGATTTGCTAGAGATGCAAAAAGATAGCCTCGAGGATTTAGACTTGGAGTACGTGCAATTCAATGTATCCAAGGTGTTGGCGCTCTTGAACAAACGATTTGCACGCAAGAAGGGGTGGTAAGAATCTTCTCTCGGGGAGATCTCTGCTTCTTTCCCATTACGACGTATATGAAAACGAGCAACTAGCTTGCGGGCGGAATACCTGGGCCCAGTCCGTGGTTTTATCATCCACTAACCTCACGAACTACGCATTGGCACTCAAATAAACGGTCTGTGCAGCAACGGAAGTGTGCTATGTTTGAGCTGTCAGTTGAAGCAATGATCTCCACACGGGTGCATCTGGATCCTCCCATGATTCTTTGCCCCGCTGAAAGGGTGTTGGAGAAGGATTGATTGACAACATATGAACTATGATCTGTTTTGGATTTTTTTTCCTTTTCTTTTTTGTTTTGCATGGAGATGTGATTGAAGGAGGACTGTAATCTGCTAAGAAATGGTTCCGATATGGAAAGACAAGTCTTCGCTGGCTCGAGGACAGTCGCCATGACGGGGATGATTGGGTGGTTTGGCTTTACGTATACCCCGTTGGATGAATTTGCGTGTCCTTTTGACATTTATTCGTTTTGGTTGTTTTCTCCATTTGCCTCTTGGATGATTCTCTATTATTTTGCCCAGAAATCACCTGTTATGTCACTGTTTTCATGTACATCTAGCAATCGTTCAATCTCACGACATGCCCCTTCAGGGAAGTGTATAATCTAATGCTCTACCATCAATCATGCTATATCGATCTACTGAATTATTCATGCTGATAGGACTAGACAACTACATAGTTAGAAACATATAGTTCTTCACCTCATATATTCTCAGCCTTTTCTTCCTAACGTTACCTATCCATCAGGGTATACTTTCACCATTCGACGTGCCATGGTACTCGAGGGCCCAAGCTTTCATTGGAAAAGCAGGGAGAAATACTTGAGAGGCAGTTGCAGAATATAGTCCGTCCAGGAACCAGGCGAAGCATCATAACTGAGGGCAGTAGGTCTGACTTGTTTCCTGGTTTCGTCATCCGCCGCGAGGAAGCCCGACGTGTCGACGGCGACAACCTTTCCCCCCTCAACTATCGTCCCATTGACCGGGAACACCATCGCCCCCGAGGTTGCAATATACAGCGTATTGGTGTCGCCAGGAAGCGTGCCAAACCCCGGCGCGACCGATCCCGCCAATGTCATCTCGTCCGGCGCGCCCGCAACAAAAGTCGCGGTCCCATCCGGCGTGATTGCAACGAGCCGGTTATCCGCGTCAGTTGCACCCCAAATGGTGTCGTTATCCCTAGGCCCGAGGCAAAACGTATCAAGGTAGATCGCCTGGATTCTCTTGACCAGCTCACCCTTCGCTCCAGGGGCCACATACCCTTCCTTCGAGATCGCAATGCGATACACAGACGCCAGGTAGCTATTCGACCAGTAGAGGTACCCATTATGAATGTGGAGGCCGTTTATGCCGAACGGCGTCACGGCCCACGGGGGGAAATGCATGGTCTCGGCATCCTTGATGGCGAGCTCGTATCTGCGCCTGCGTGTGTCCACCCTCCATACCAGCCCCATTGTCGAATCGCTCACGAGCACCGTGGTTCGTGAACCGGGGAGCGCTTCGATCCCAGCCAGGAGGCCGCCCTCCGGGATGCGGACGAGTTCTTGGATGATGGGTGCGCCGGCGCCCTTGGCTTGCGGACGGAGATCGAGCTCCCATACGCTGAATGTGCCGGGGATGCCCATGCCCAGGCTGCTCTGCTTGCCTCCTACGAAGGCTAGGACGTCGGGCTCTGTTTCGACGATGGAGGTTGCGGCGTTTATCTCGTCGAAGGTGTGGATGAGGGAGGCGGTGGGCATGTCTGTATTTGCGCCGGAGATGCAGTATATGGATGCATTTGGCCAGACCGTTGTGACGTAGATATCGCCGTTTGGTCGGACGAAGATGCTGTTAAGGTAGGTGGGGAGGGAGAATTGGTGGATGACTCGCACTGGCAATGGAAGTGATATCGCCTGAACGGTGGATGATATTAGGGATGGGAATACGGATACTAGTAGTAGAAGGGCCCGAGTATTCATCGTGTCTGGAGTTAGGGGTAGCGAGGCGAAAATAGAAGGACAGAACTCGGCATATCGCGAGGAATATAATAACTCACATCATCATACAGTATGGGGTCTGGCTTTTCTCCGAATCCTTAAGTTAAATCGCCGAATATCCCCTTTTGGGGAACCTCCGAACTTTTATAGATTACAGCCTTGACATTGCGATCAATTTGTTCAACTCATTCTAGAAGATAGTAGATTCCGAACGGACCTTTACTGGTCAGAAAGTCCCTTAGGGTATCCGGAGAATATACATAAGCCAGGAAACCTACGCTTTCTTCGTCATTCAATACTGCAGGTCTATCAAGTCCTTCCCCTTTCCTTGTCAGATGCATTTTTGAGACAGCGTCAAAGTATGAGGATCGGATTAGTCCCCGTTTTTGCCCTTGTGGCATATTCCACTGCTGTCTGGGTCGGCGATAGAGAAGTTGCAGGGTGTGAAAAGCAGCAGTGCGAGAATACGCCCACCACTCGCGGTTGCTGGGGTCGATATAACACGGACACAAACTACTACATCACGGCACCCGATACTGGACGCACCGTGGAGGTCTGGCTCTCCGTCGAAGAAAGCATTTGCAACCAGGATGGCTACGAACGTCCCTGCATGACATTCAACGGCACGATGCCAGGTCCACCGATCGTAGCCGATTGGGGCGACAACCTCAGGATCCACGTCACCAACAACATGAAGTCGAATGGCACGTCGGTGCACTGGCATGGCGTGCATTTGCGGGATAGCAATGAATGGGACGGAGTGCCTGGAGTTACTCAGTGTCCCGTCGCGCCGGGCGAGTCGCTCACGTACGAGTTCAAGGTCACGCAGTACGGGACAAGCTGGTACCACAGCCATTTCTCCCTGCAATCGTCTGAGGGTCTTTTTGGTCCGCTCATCTTTAATGGTCCGGCGACTGCGAACTATGACGAGGATCTTGGGGCGCTGTTCCTCCAGGACTGGTCGCATAGTCCGACTTTCACCGACTGGGATACCAAGCAGAAATTCGGCATCACGCACTCACAGACCACGACGCTCATCAACGGAACCAACACCTTTGACTGCTCGATAGAGTCAGACGTCAAGTGCATGGGTGGCGGGAAGAAGTTCGAGATGGTCTTTCAGCAGGGGAAGAAATACCGCGTGCGCCTGATCAACGTCGCTATCGACAGCCAGTTTCAGTTCAGTATTGATGGCCACCGGATCAAGGTGATTGCGAACGACTTCGTTCCAATCGAGCCGTACGTGGCGGACAGCGTTATCATCAACGTGGGTCAGCGATACGATGTCATCGTTGAGGCGAACGCTCCGCCCGGAGACTACTGGCTGCGTGGAGGATGGGTGAAGTCCTGCCAGGGCGTTGCCAATGATCACCCCGAATCTGCAACAGGGATTGTCCGCTACGACACTGCCAGCACCAGGGATCCGACGAGCACGACTTCGCTCGTGGCTCCTTTGACTTGCAATGATGAGCTTCAATCGAACCTGGTGCCATACTTGAAACTCGATGTGGGCAGAATCACCGAAACGACTGTCGAGGACATCAATGTTCGTCTGACTCACGCGGCCTTGTTTCAGTGGACGATCAACAGTAGTAGCCTGGTCTTGGACTGGAACAAGCCCACTCTTAAGCAGATCTTTGACGAAGAACCCATTTTCCCCACTCCTTACAACGTGGTGGAAGTTGACGTAAGTCGGCATCTTGGTGGAACCCATAGTTACTAACCTTCGCAATAGAAGAAGAATAGTGGCAAAGATGAATGGGCTGTATTGGTGATCGAGAACAAGGCCACCACTTTCTTCGGCGGGTATTTACTGAACTCAACTCCTCCCTGGTTGAAGAATTCATACTAACACAAGTCGCAGCATTGCTCACCCCATCCATTTCCACGGACACGATTTCTGGATTTTGGCGCAAAGGAATACCAGCTGGGACGGAACATCGACCTCATTCCAGCTAAAGAATCCGGTGCGTCGAGATACTGCGGTACTGCCGGCTCACGGCTACCTTGCTCTCGCCTTCCAGCTCGATAATCCCGGGGCATGGCTCGTCCACTGCCATATTGCGTGGCACTCTAGTATGGGCCTCGCGCTGGAATTTGTGGAAATGCGAGATTCTATATCAGTTAGCATGGGTGACTGGAAGACTTTTGAAAAGACCTGTAATGCGTGGTCGGCGTGGTCGAGAGGTGCCCCGTATCAGCAGGATGACTCGGGGATTTGATAGCGTTTCATTAATAGATTTATTCGGAAGGAAAAATAATTAAGTAGAAATATTTCAGTGAACAATTCATGTATTTATATATGTCGTAGCCATTGCTCGCGGACATCCGGACGCAATTTCAGAAAAAGTCCCAGTCATTAGACATATAGTATTTAGAAGCCCTAAGGCAAAGGCACGCTCCAGCATTCCACCTGCCCTACCGTCCTCTCTTCGTTCACACTCGGCTGCCCAAGGATGTAAAGCTTCTGCAGCCCTTCATACTTCCCACTGACTTGGATAATAAGACGGGTATTCTGGGTCGCAGGGGAACCGATTCCCGTCTCCTCGATATAGAAGGGAGATCCATCGCTCGCATGTCCGTACGCATAGATGAAGGGGATCTGAGTGGTGGTACCGTCATTGTTGACGACGATCGGAGCAGCTACTCCACCATCGATGGTAGCATTAAATCCGGGACCGTAGATGGTGCCCCCGATGATGGGCTCGACGATGCGTTTGCCGCCCCCTAGGAGTGGAATGGGGGTGAGGGCTTTGCCCAGCTTCACGGTCGCGCTGAAGAGGTAGGTGGAGGTCAGCGGGCCAACTTCTGCGGTTGAATCCATTGTCTTTGTGATGTGGAAGAGGAGAAGAGATGTATCGTAATGCTGACGCTTTTTATCTAGCCCAGTAAACTGTTCCGTAGGTACTCGGAGATAGGATGGCCTCGAGAATATCCTCCGCGGTGATCCCTAGAGTGATGCTCCGACTCTCCGATTCCTCCGACAAACCCGCATCTGGAAATCAAGGTATAAGATATCCGCCGAACGTTGACCAATGTTTATTTTACCTTGTCTACCATTAAATAAAATAGTGTCGGAGATACAACATACCTTATACTTGCCCCATGGCTCCCCCGCTTCGCTTTCCACGACGTGCTCCGGTCACCTCCACTCCATTGACCTTGTCGAGGACCAGTGCTACTACCAGCTCAGGATTGACATCTATAAGACCGGCAACCCGCCTTCTGTATTCATCGTCAAACCTCTCACGCTGTCTGTCCAAGAACATTGGAACAGTCCGACCCCGAACCATGTCTACTATGCGGGCAACCCATGGTCACAGCCAGGCCTGCTGCAACATCCCGCCTGTTGTGTCTTCGGGCTATGTCCCCAAGGGATCATATGAGCAACTGGGTGGAATGAAGACTTGTGCGCCCTGCCCCCTGGCTTCCTTTTGTAAGTTCCGGCAGAGCTAATCAATACAGATGTCACCGGTCCCGAAGAGACCACCAGAGGAATTGTCGCGATCTTTGACATTTTCGGCTATTTTGAGCAGACGCTCCAGGGCGCAGACATCCTTGCAACCAGCGATCATCACCACAAGTACAAGGTGTTCATGCCGGACTGGTTCAACGGCAGCCCATGCCCCCCGGAGTGGTACGGCTCTCTCTTGCTTGACTACACAACCACACAACAAACTGCTAACCCAGTCGCAACAGGTACCCTCCTGACAGCGTGCAGAAGCAAAAGGATCTCGGCGAGTGGTTCGGCGAGCACATGCCGCAAGGCCCCGCAGCTGCCTTGCCTAAGTATATATCGGATCTCGAGGCTGCGAACCCATCTATCACATCATGGGGACTTATCGGGGTGAGTTGCCTCTCCAGGGAATTAGTACCTACTCGGGTCCTTGTTGAGATTAATTCTGACATAACACATAGTACTGCTGGGGAGGTAAGGTCGCCGAGATCGTGACCTCTAGCGAAGACAACCCATTCAAGATCGCCGCCGCTTGCCACCCTGCCATGGTCGACCCTTCCGGTGCTGAGAAGATCCCAGTTCCGTACATTCTGCTGGCATCGGGAGAAGACCCCGCTGAGGATGTTAAGAGGTTCGAAAGCAACCTTAAGGTGCCTCATCACGTTGAAATCTTCGAGGATCAAGTCCATGGCTGGATGGCAGCTCGTGCTGACCTATCCAACCCGCGTGTCCAGGAGGAATATAGTCGGGGTTACAAGACGGTCCTGGAGTTTTTTGACAAGCATTGGGCATGAGGGCGGAACCTTTCTCGGTTTTATGATGTTGTATACTGTAGAACTAGTGGGAAGTTCATGCAAGCTTCAATCACAGAAAATCAAATCTCCCCCCCTCTAGGATAATGACAATTAAATTACTTTAGAAGTTACATCATGTTGGGCATTTGTCAAGCTACTACACCAAACTAAGTTTATGCTGCACCATCAACCACACATAAGCAACCCCCGTGCGACAAACTCCCCACACAAGCCCTAACCCAGTCAACCCAATCATCCGGTTTAGTAACAAAAACCTCCTGGCATACAATGTCGCCTCACGATCTCTCTGCTCCTGGGTGATCTCTCCCCGCCAGAATCGATTCATCTGAAGGCAATGCCGTGCAGCCTGCTCCGACGCCATCCCCAAGTGCGACCGGAATCCCGTAAACGCATCACCAACAAGGATCAGCCTTCCATCGTAGAAGCTGGATCTGGTCGCTTCCGCTTCTCCAACCTTCGTGACAAATGGCCGTGGCGTCTTGGTCACAATCTCAGCTAGTGGCGGAGTCATCTGCGACACGTAGCGCGCGATTTGCTTGGACCAGATGTTCGGGTTGATCTGCCCATGGGGCACGGTGTTGGGGTGCAACTTGCCGTGGACGTCTGTGAAGATGGCCGCCATTTCGGGCGAGCCCTCGGGCACGATGAAGTACCAGACCCAGTTAATGAGACGATTTCCGGGCTCGACGTCGCCCCCTTCTGTTGGAATAAGGTAGCTTTTATTCCCGGTCAGACTAGGTCGCATAAAACAAGAAAGAAAGAAAGAAAGAAAGGGGGAAATTGTTTACCTAATAAAGTACGTCCCCTTTAAGAGGGTAAAGTTGAGTCGATTCGTGAAATACTCCACCGTTTCCTTCGACAGCAGCCGTTCGGCCACTGTCCCGCGCCACGCAACATACCCAGCGTAGTCTTTGCGCGTCGGTACCTGCATTATCTTCCTGATGGTCGAATGCACCCCGTCCGCAGCGATGACCATGCCCGCACTGACACTGCCGTACTCGCCGCTCACCACATCAACGTACTGCACATGCACGAGACCCTTTTCCTTGTCGTAGCTCACCCCCGTCGCGCGCTTCCCGCCCCGGTACTCAACCGTCCCGTCGGTGGTCTTTGGTGGCGGCGGCTCGGGAACGGTCTCAGAGGCCATCCCGTCGAAGTTGGCCCGGAGGATCAGGTATAGACAGCCCCAGTTGCTCATGTTGTGGTTCCAGACGACGTTGATGACGCGCAGTCGCTGGCGCCATGCAGCGCTGAGGAAGCGCGCCGGAATGGCGGCTGGTCTGCCCGTGGCATCATATTTTTCAAGTAATTTCACCACGCTGGGTCCGATAGAGACGCCTGATTCGTGGCTGTGGCGGTCCTTGGAGGGATCTTGCTCGAGGACGATGACGTTGGCGCCTTTGCGTTTGAGTTGGAGTCCTTGTAGGAGGCCCGCAACGGAGCCGCCGACCTGGGGAAGTGCGTTAGAAAGAGTCGATGTAGTAAGGTAGGATGTTACTTTACGATGATAGCGGACTGTGGACTGGTCATCTTTTGGTTGGTTTGGGCGTGTTGACTATACTGAGGCTGTAGTGTGATATGTAGAACGTTCCAGTTTTATCTGTCGATCTATGGTAGTCTTACTGGGGGAGGGGGGGGGGGGGGGGCTATGGGTAAGGCGACTAGGGTACGCCTGAAAGAGCGTAAGACTCACTGACTCTCTGATTTAGCCTTAGGATGGTAGACTCGAACGAGATATTCTCCTTCGGGCTACTGCTCGACCGATGCCGATCGCCGATATGCCCTAACCAGGTAATAAAAAGTCACCGACCCCGACTGTGAACTACCACAAAGGGAATTCTTCCGAGCTATAACACTTAGTAAAATCTTCATGTACGAGATACGTGGTCAGCATTTTGGTTGACATCGCCTGGAAATCAGTCACAATGTCTCGTCACGCCCATTCCAGGTTGTCTATCAGCAATAGCCAAAGCTATGTTCATAGAACAGTGACACTCCGAAGAACGAGTCACATTGTATTGAGATAACTGTAAAGCGTAACTCTTCTAGAGAAATCTAATTAAACTAAGGACACCCGTCTAGTCAACTTTGTAAAAGTTCATAGCCAGTATGTAGTAGCACACGGCCAGCTACGTGCTCGGCACCAGCAGCCCATCCAACAAATCATCCACCTCTTCCACCTTCCCCCGTAGCTCCCGCTCCTGCTCTCTGAGCTTCTTCTGCAACCGCCCATTCGTCAATCCCGCCATGACCCCCTCCTCGAAGAGCGGCATCTTGTCCCCCGTTATCCCCTGGGCACCTGGAGTGTGCAGCACCCCGACAGTAGGCGGTAGAACCAATGCCCTCTCAGCATTCCCCAGCGAGTCAAGTAACATGGAGACAGCTTTCTTGATGCGCATTGCGGGTTCCCACCCCGTGCACACACACATTGGCTGCAACTGACCCAGGCGCAAACCCCGGTAGGCATGCATGTCGGCCACAGACGGGTCGGAAGATCGGGCGAGTCTGTGGGTGGAGCAGCGAGCGTCCGGGAGCCGCGAGAGGTGCTCGTGCAGGTAGGTAAAGATGGCAAAGTAAATGCGCGTCAGCATGATGTAGCAGGAGAGGGTAAGCAGTCTGGTTGGCATGTCGAGGTCCGAGGATGCGTCAAGTTGGCCGGAGTCGGCGAGAATGGCATAGAAGTGCTGCGAGAGGAACAGGGCATCGCCGATCGGGTAACTGTCTAGCTTGCTGTCGTACAGCCTTGCAAGTTGCGTCTCGTAGTGCGACATCTTCGCGAGGAGGGCAGAGAGATTGACTAGTGGACTGGGTTTCTCCTCTGCCAAGAGCTCTGCGTCCATGTCTATGTCTGGCCCAATATTAGGGCTTGCGGTATACGGCGGGGAGGTGAGGATGTTCTGGATGTCTAGGAAGGTGGCAAAGTCCGGGTGAAAGCTTGTCTTTATGTGCGAGTCCATGTTCTCTCCTGGCGAGCGGACGTAGGGCTCGTCCGCGGGGCTGATGGAGGGGTCAATGATGGGAAATGTATCTATCTGGTGCTGTAGCGCTGGGTCCAACGCGATGTCATGATCCCATGGGCTTTCCATGAATGCGACTGACACGCAGTTGATGGACATGTCTGTATCGCGCCCATCAGGCTTCAGCTCTCTGGGCGACGCAATCATCGGCTGATGAGATTCAACGAATGTTGGCTCCTTTGGGGACGTTAGACTCGATAGTGCGAATGCGCTCATGCCCGGTAGAGATGCTGTCGACGCAAGCCTTTCCCTGCGTGGCACAACCTGTCGGTGATCCGACTCTCCGGTCGTCTTCGTCTGTCGTCCGGTTCGTAGCCGTCGACTGAAGACACACGATTTGGGCCCTTTAGCCCTCAGGCAGCGTTGACAGGATGCGAACGGGTCCGTTTTGGAGGAGGGGACGCATCGCAGCTTCTGTGCGCGACATCTGTCGCACGATGTCCGCAATGACGCAGTGGTAGCTGGGGGAGTGCCATTGGTATTGTTCATGGCGCTAGAGGAGGCGACTGTGTTCTTTGAATTAGGCCTTGGGTGTATCAATTGGTTACTATTTTGCCTTTTTTTTTCTTTTTTTTTCCTTTTCTTTTTTTTATTCTCCACGGGGAACTTCACTCCTAAGAATACGGGGATGCTCCCTCAAGCCGTCATCGTCAGCTGATATAAATTGTAGGGTCTGATAGAGTCTCTTAGAATAGATCTTTTTACTTCATATCCTTTTCTTATTCTTGTTGGATTGCCTAATTATCTCTTCGTAATTGTAGTCAGGGCTTGTCAGCAACGGCTTTGGAGCTATGGCACCTATCGTATCGGGTTCGCCCCTCAGACGGTGCAGCACCTGTACGACCGAAACAAACGGTAAGTCATTCTCTACCACCGGAATACGAGAGAGTACTATGGAAACTACTTCGCATTCTAAGATAGAGTTTCTTAATTGCGTTTGTATATACGACCCCGTATACCCCTATGGTATGTACGTCCGCCAAAAGCAGCCATTTATCTGACCTTGAAACCCGCTCGTATATACGGCTACAACTGCCCTCCGTGGCTTAAGCACTGTTATTACTATTCTCTTTAGGAGTGAGAATGTTTTATCTGTTGAGACTGATCTTCGTCATGCTTTGTACAACCATCGTAGAAAAGTTATTCATTGGAAGGAATCGTGAAACTCTTCGCGCGTTCCTTGCTAAGCGTTATTAAGAAGAATAAAAGAATTTCAAGCTTTAGAGCTACGATATGGCGTGCGCCTTGGCACGAAGACGTTCCCCATACTTGTAGAAGAGGAGTGGCCCCGGGATGAAGGCCAATGCTATGAACCCCAGCAATGAGTTCCCCCACCCGTAGTTCAGAGTCTTATACATGCTCGGTCCCGCTAGTGGGAGGAATGTGCTGGAGATGTAGCGCAGCAGGTTATTGGCACCCAGGGCCGATGCGGCGGCCTCTGAACCGAAGACATCTACGAGGTAAAGCTGTGCGGGCATCTAGGGTTGGAAATGGGTAAGCAAACCCAGCGGTAAATGTGGTAGAGGTGTAGGGAATAACAGAGTAGCTTACAATGACAAAGAAGGCGCCAAAACCCATCAAGAATGTGCCCAGGATAGGTACGATCCAATGAATCTTGTAGTATGCGGTCCAGCCGTAGAGAAAAAGACCGCCGGCGACGCAAGGGCTGAACCAGATCATGAGGAGTAAGCGATACTCTGGGCGCGGTAGTTGTACGCCGTCAGCCTTCATCCGTGCCGCCTGAACCCGACCGTTAAGCATATTGAAGATCAACATGCTGGCCACCAACGCGACTCCCAGACCGAGGTATGTGAGTCCGGAAATGGACGTGGAGAAGCCGTACTGGCCCTCAAAAACACTCGTAAAGGTGGTGAATAGCAGATACATCACCCCGAAAACCAGCGCTACGTAGAGAGAGATTATGAGGAGAATTGGTGACCGCATGAGTAGCATGGCCGGGCGGATGAGCACCTGCAGGAGAACCTGGCGGGGTGATAGGCTGCTGTCGAGTTTGGGTCGCAGATGGGGGTTTCCAGTGGCAGTACGCAGGTAGGCGGTCTTACTCTTGAGTAGGACCCTGGGGTGTGTTTCGCGCATGATCAACACGGATGCAAACCCAAAGAAGCCGCCAAGGATGGCTAGAAGCCAGAAGGTCCAACGCCAGCCCTTGCTGGCCGCCACGAAGCCTCCAATGACTGGACCGAGTACCTACAGAGGCGAGAATTTAGTTCACAAACTTCAGCCTAGATTTAACCCCAGAACAAAAAGGAGAAGTCAAACTTACTGGCCCCGCAAGCGGACCCATACTAAACAAGGCCATTGCAACAGCCCGTTGCTCCACGGTGGTAATATCTGCAATGGTGCCCCCGCCTAGTGCCATTGGGGTACCTCCAGCACATCCCGATATGAAGCGAAAGACCATGTACTGGGCGGTGGTCTTGCTCAGTGCGTTGCCAATCATGAATGCGACAAAGACAATAGTGGTACCATGGTAGACAGGCACACGCCCGTACACTTCGCTAAGTGGCGAGGTGAACATCGGCCCAATAGCGATCCCTAGAACATACAGAGTGACTGCGAGCGTGCTGACAACCGTGGACGTGATGTGGAGGTCGGCGGCAATGCCATCAGCCCCTGGCGCGCACATCGTGGGGGCCATGTTCCTATCAGAAGAGCGCATAAGCGATTATCTCGACGCAGCCAAGAACAAGAATAAAACATGACGGGTAACAGGATTGAGATAGAATCAGAACTAAAGAAATCTTACGTGATCAAGGCCAATATCGAAACTATAATAACATGCGCCCATCTTTTTTGTTTTGGCCAGTTGCGAGGGTTTCCAGGATCTTCAGGTCCATCCCAATCAACGATGTTGGAATCCGCCTTCTTCTCCAGGACGCCAGACTCCAATTGGCCTGGAGCAATGTTGGAGGAGCTTGAGGAGTGAGACATTTCCTCGGCTGATGGTGATGTGAGGGGGGGTGTGAGTAGGAGAGACTGACCAGCCATCCTGAGCTTCGACAACGTTGCGATTCCGTTTTTAAATCATTTACAGCCCTGCGAGAGATTGTCTTGTAAACCCAAAGGGGAAAGAGTAAATCGCGGAGATAGGAATTAATTGACGATTTTCATGAATAAAGGGAAAGTGTGTGTGACCCGATAGTATGGGTAATTGGTATAGAACTATAGATCTCCGACTCCTCCGCGAACTCCTCCGCCGCCCCACTCCGCGACGGGGGGTCGGACCGGAGGATCGGAGGATCGCGGTGGAGCCAAGCACACCGCGTGCCCCCACTAAGAGAGAAGCAGTCACCTGACCGAGTCACTGACTTACTTTCTAGATTCTTGATTAGGCAGCATATTCATTCCAATTAAACAACCTCCATGATGGAATCGGAAACACTGGTTCAGGAGACTGATTCCACATCACAGTCTCGGTTAAAACTCAGTCGACGAAGGGACAAGCCGCAACTATCCTGTAACCCCTGCCGACGGCGCAAGTAAGAATGCCATTAAACCGCGACCCCATGTCTTACTGCAAACTCACAGCAGTCTCTCGTTCAGATCACGATGTGACCGCCAGCAACCATGTTCATACTGCTCCACACGGGGGCAAATCTGTACGTATGTGGACAACCCAAACATCACAGGACCTTCAAAGCCTCAGCCAGCGTCAGCGCCTGGAGTCCACGAACGTCTGGTACAGCTGGAGCGACTTGTGGTGTCGCTGATGGCCGACTCGGCTGGTAAAGTTCATGCTGGTCCAGCTCCCGACCTCGCTGCACCATCCGTGTCAAAAGGTGGGCCCCCTGCGGACGCTGTCATCGACGGGCATTCCGAATGTGGCAGCATGCGCATCAGTGAGTCCGAGCTCCGGTATGTCGGCGGTGATCACTGGGCGGCAATTCTCGATGGAATCGCAGATTTGAAAGACCACTTCGACCACGACGAACAGGTTCGACTAGCTAACACCCCCGATCAGGTCGCAGATGAGCAAGGCAATGGCCTGGCACGGCCCAGGTCCGGGTATGCGCTACTTTTGTATGGATGCCGCCGGCCGAGTTCTCAAGAGGAAATCCTTATGGCATTGCCACCAAAGGCCGCTGTCGACCGGTACATATCCCGCTACTTCAATTACCTGGATCTGGTGTCCTCATGTCAGTGCCCCATCTTACTCCGTGAAGTATGCGCCCCGATATTGACTATATTGTACAGCTGCGGTTCACGGTCCAAGCTTTTTACGGGAGGCAAGTTCAGTATATGCTGATCTTAAATTAGTCTGCTGACAGCTGCAGTACGAGGCATTCTGGATGAATCCATCAAGCGTACCGATCATCTGGGTTGGCCTTCTGTTTAGCATGATATGCCTTGCATGTCTGACGTCCGACACATCCGATTCCGACGCGGAGCATTTGTCACTTCAGATCGACCTATATAGGGAAAAGATCGTACAGTGCCTGGTGCTGGGCGAATACACGAGATCTGGACCGTACGTGTTAGAGACGGTGATTAATTACGTCTACGTAGAGTTTTGTATTCGTACCGACGCCGACAAAGACACCTGGTTTCTGTTAGCCCTGGAGGTGAACCTGGCTATGCGGATGGGCTACCACCGCGATCCCAGCCATTTCCCTGGTATTTCGCCCTTCCAGGGTGAGATGCGTCGCCGACTGTGGGCAACAGTTTTGATGGGAGATATTCTTGTCTCAAACCAAATGGGGATGCCGCGCATGATCTCCGACTGGAAATGGGACACGCTGGAGCCGCGGAACTTGAACGACACGGACTTTGACGAGGGAACGACCGAACTACCTCCGTCGCGTCCTCCAACGGAATACACAAATGCCCTAGGAGTGATCGCGCGGCGGCGCATCCTGACAGCGCTGGGAGCCGTAGCCGATCTTACAGACGCGGTTAAACCATGTAGCTATGCCGAAGTGATGCGAGTCGACGGCATACTACAGGAGGCGGCAGCAAGCATTCCGCCTCCATTGAAAATGAAGCCGATGGCGAAGAGTGTGACCGACCCTCCCCAGGTTATCATGTCCCGGCTGTTTTTGGGCCACATGGTCTACAAGGGTCAGATTGTACTCCATCGCCGGTTTCTGTACACGCGGGCGGCTAATTCGGACGATGATCCAATGTCCTACTCGCGCAAGACCTGCTTGGACGCTTCGCTGGGCACGCTGGAGATTCAGCATGTGCTTGACGAGGAGGCATGTCCAGGAGGTCAGCTCTATACTATGCGATTTCGAGTGACATCGATCATGAATCATCAGTTTCTCACTGCGACCATGGTCCTCTGTTCAATGCTTCATCGGGGACAGACACTGCAGCGGGAACAGGAGATCCGTACGGCGCTTCAACGAGCCAGGGCCATTTGGATGCGAAAGAGCTCCAGCTCCAAAGAGGCAAAGAAGGCGGCTGAGACTGTGAGTTTCGTTCTCGCCAAGGCTGGTAATGGTCGGAGTCACGACATCGCTCTGAACCAGGGCATGTCCCAGGCTAGCGGGAAACATGGCCTATCGAACACTGTTCAGACAAGTCCCCGGGACAATACGTGCACAGGTCTCGAGGAAGAACTGGTAGTGCCGGACAATATGAGCTTATTCGAGCGTGAGTTTCAACTATCCTACCACCACCCTTTATCAATCTGACTATACCGTAGCCGACCACTTTGTCATGACCGGCTCTCTCGGGATGTTTACGCCACCAGACCAGCAGGGCCAAAACTTCGGAGCTAACTACAACGGAATGGAAAGACCACCTGGCGAATGGATGCTGATGAATTGGCCTGGAGCAGAGTGGTCATAGCTTAGTTAAACTGCACTTACAATATAGGCCTTCGTTCATTGAATCTCCTTAGCCAATAGCCGCCAGAAAAAGAGATATTGATAGTGCTCCCCGCATGAAACTGGGGAAAAGAAGCAGATGTCTACAAATCCTGTAACCCTATTAAGAAAAATGAACTGCTACGCGCCTCGCGGATCGTGGTCGGAGGAAAGAAATCTCGGCATGTTCCCCAATTGATTGGTCTGACAATAACGAGAATCCTCTAACCCGAGATGGGACTTCGGACAAAGGATACCCGGACACAGGATACCTTAGTTGGCTGCGGCGACTTGTATCTCTCCGAGTACCGACAAAAGTCTTCCCTCCGATCTTATTACCCGTTTCTGGTCCTTGGGCGTCTACGCTGATCCAACTTAATGCAGGCACCGAATAGCCCTCACATAGAGACAGACGCTCTCTCCGAACCTGAGCCACATGGCTTCATGCCTGCACGCTGGCAATGCTCGTGCCAGCAAGGTATCCCACAGAGAGAGTCGTTATAAACCTCTCCTCCGGCCCCAGAGATCCCTTCCCCGACTCTTATTGACTCAAAGCTCTCTGGAACGCAATATACTTTGAAATCTGCCGTACGAGCCCTAGAATAGGATTCACTTCCCTATACGGACACACACCTTCTTACCTTGCTAATATTATTAATTTCGAACCTCATCAAAGCATTGTTCACCATGGTTGAACCAATCGCTATCATTGGCTCAGGATGTCGCTTTCCTGGGGGCTCTGAAACACCAAGCAAGCTCTGGTCGCTGATCGAAAAGCCCAGTGATCTATCTAGTAAACCACCGTCATCCCGATTCAATATCGACTCCTTCTATCACCCAGTAGGTACACATCACGGCACTACCAACGCGACACAATCCTACTGGCTAGATGAGTCGGATCGCACAAGTATCGCTAAGTTCGACGCCGGTTTCTTCAATATCCAGCCCAGTGAGGTTGACGCCATGGACCCGCAGCAACGAGTGCTGCTGGAAGTCGTGTACGACAGTCTTTGCGCCGCAGGCCAGCCCATGGAGAAGCTTCGCGGATCCGACACCGCTGTCTACGTGGGAATGATGTCTGATGACTGGAACACCATGGTAACTCGAGATTTGGAGACGTTGCCGAGATACACTGCCACGGGTTTGGAACGAGGTATTATGGCAAACCGCATCTCTTTTTTCTTCGGCTGGCATGGCCCGAGTATGACGCTTGACACTGCATGCTCCAGTAGTTTGGTTGCGTTGGATCTGGCCGTTCAGGTAGTGCGAAGCGGCAAGTCTAATGTGGCTGTGGCAGCAGGAGCAAATTTGATCTTGAGTCCTGGTGAGTCTTCTGTGCGTGTTAATACCTATCTATGGTATAGAGACCACTAACCACCCCAGCCATGTACATTTCTGAGAGTAATCTCGGCATGCTCTCTCCTAATGGTCGTTGTGCCATGTGGGACGCCGCTGCGGATGGGTATGCGCGTGGTGAGGGTGTTGCAACCGTGATCGTGAAGAGGCTCTCGCAGGCTCTGGCAGACAACGACCCGATCGAGTGCATTATTCGTGAAACAGCGGTCAACCAGGACGGTCGGACTCCAGGTTTGACAATGCCCAGCAATGTAGCACAGGCTGCTCTGATCCGCGAATGTTATGCCCGCGCAGGGCTCGACCCCATTAACAACCTTCGAGACCGCCCCCAGTTCTTCCATGCCCACGGAACTGGGACTCAGGCGGGTGACCCCCAGGAAGCGGAGGCGATTTCTAGTGCCCTGTTCCCCGCCGGGTCGCATGCCGCGCAGGAAGCGCAGAAGTTGCTCGTCGGCTCAATCAAGACGGTCATTGGCCATACGGAGAGCACAGCAGGTCTGGCCAGTCTCATCAGCACGTCTTTGGCACTGCAGCGCGGTGTGATACCGCCAAATCTCCATTTCCAGAATTTGAGCTCCAAGGTTGCCCCATTTTTCGAACATTTGCAAATCCCTACGACAGCAACTCCATGGTCGATTAACGAGGGTCAGATTCGGAGGGCAAGTGTCAATAGGTATGTACCGTTGATCTTATGCCTTCAACACCCGCCTCCAGAGTGAGTGGTGACTGATCACATACCACCTGTCTAGCTTTGGCTTTGGAGGCACGAACGCCCACTGCATCTTAGAAGAATATGTTCCAGATCCCAAGGTGATCAACTCAACATCCTCTTGTGCTCTTTTCACCCCTCTTGTCTTCTCCGCTGCCTCCGGATTAGCTCTTCGCAAGATGATTTCTCAGCATCTGGACTATCTTAAGGCTCACCCGGATATCGCGTTGTCGGATTTTGCATACACCCTACAGCATCGACGCTCGACGCTTCCCTACCGCAAACACATTGCCGTGCCGACTATCGAAGACGCCATTATTGCAATGGAGGCGTTAGTCAGCCCATCAAAAGATACAGAAGACCTTAGCAGCCGCTTTAGCACCTTGCCCCGACCGGCAAACATCCTGGGCATATTTACTGGCCAGGGCGCCCAGTGGCCACGGATGGGGGCTCAGCTCATGGAGTCTTCTCCATTCGTTGCCTCGCGTATTGCCGAACTAGACAATGCACTTCAAAGTCTTCCGTCTGTGGCAGACCGACCGGACTGGACTATACGTGACCAGTTGCGCGCGGGTAAGGAGACTTCCCGCGTTGCAGAAGCAGCTTTCTCGCAACCCCTTTGCTCTGCAGTGCAGATCATTCTTGTCGATATCTTGCGAGCAGCTGGCATCCTGTTTACTGCCGTTGTAGGACATTCATCTGGTGAAATTGGTGCTGCTTATGCTGCAGGTTTTCTGTCTACCCAGGATGCCATTCGTATTGCCTATTTCCGTGGCATGCACGCAAAACTGGCTGGAAGTCCCAACTTGCATGCGCCCCGCGGCGCCATGATGGCGGTTGGCGCGTCCGCAGATGAGGCTCACGCCATCTGCACAGAGCGGTTTGAAGGCCGGTTGCAACTTGCTGCGGTGAACTCCAGCGCCAGTGTAACTCTGAGTGGGGACGAAGATGCCGTGGATGAGGCCGAGCAATTGTTCAAGGCTCGGGGAACATTTGCTCGCAAGCTGAAGGTCGACACAGCCTACCACAGCACCCATATGTTCTCTTGCGCCGGGCCATACCTTGAATCACTCGAAAGATGTGGGATTCAGCCTACCCAGCCATCGAAGGACACGAACACAGTGTGGTACTCGAGCGTGTTCGAAGGCGAGGCCATGGATCACTCTCGCGTGACGAGCCAATACTGGGTCGACAATATGTGCAATACTGTCCTTTTTGCTGATGCCCTGAACGAAGCCGTCAGAAACGTCGGCTCCTTCAACCTGACTATCGAGGTCGGGCCCCATCCTGCGTTGAAAGGCCCGTCCAGCGCGACCATCGGTGCAGAGACATTTATACCGTACACGGGGCTGCTGTCTCGTGATCAAGACGATGCCAGCCAGGTCAGTACAGCACTTGGATTTATCTGGACTCAGCTTGGAGCGGATAGTGTGCAGTTCTCTGCCGTAGAGAGACTGTTGTCCGGCAATGCAGAGAAGAGAACCGTCCTGAGGGACCTTCCTCTCTATCCTTTTGAGCACCAACGCGAATACTGGACCAGCAGTCGACTTGCCAACCACTTCAAGCAACGAGGCCCTACGCATTTGCCAAACCCATTGCTAGGATCACCATGCTCTGAAGCGGTCACACCGGGAGAGTTCCAGTGGCGGAATATCCTGCAGCAGAGCGAGATGCCGTGGCTTAGTGGCCACGCGCTGCAGGGACAGACGGTATTCCCAGCTACGGGCTATGCATCTATGGCGTTCGAAGCCATGAGGTCTCTCGCACTAGATGCCAACCCGGATTCCACGATTTGTCTTATGAAACTTGCCAATCTAGAGATCCCTCGAGCAATTGCCTTCGACGACGACTCTATGGCTGTCGAAACAATCTTCAGCGTGTCCTCGGTGGATATAACTGATGTGACTGTGACAGCCGAATGGGCATGTTACTCAGTGGGCAACACTGGGAAGATTAATTTGAACGCCAAAGGCCACGCATTCGCGCAACTGGCCACCGCTGTCCCGGACGCCCTTCCTCTCATTAAGACAGATTCATACGATCTGGTGCCAGTAGATGAAGAGCATTTCTATGATAACCTGACTCGAGTGGGGTACAATTACTCCCGCCCCTTCCGTGGTGTCTCGGGCATCTGTCGCAAGCCTGGATACAGCGTGGGCACGCTCTTCGATCAGTCACAATCAGAGGATGGCAATCTAGTCCTCCATCCTGGTCTCCTTGATTCTGCCTTGCAAACGATCTTCGCAGCCTGGTCATACCCCGGTGATACGCAGATATGGTCTCTCCATGTGCCGGTGTCAATTGCTAGTATCACCATCAACCCCTATTTCACATCACTCAGACCCGGTGGCAAGCAGAGCGCCATGCGCTACGAGACGTATATTCGCAGCAACATGGCGGCAAAGGTCGTAGGCGATATCTACCTCCGTACGGAAGATTCGACGCATTCCTTTATTCAAATTGAGGGCGCTACACTCGTGCCCTTCGCCCCGGCCACATCTAAGAATGACCTGCCCATGTTTTCGCGCTTCGAATACCCCGTTGCTTTCCCGGATGGACAGCTAGCAGGAGCCGGAGAGACAATGCTCGATTATGAGGTGCAGCTTTACAGGGATGTTGACAGGATTTCCTACTGGTACCTGCGCCATACCTCGCTTACGATCCCGCCCGAAGAGCGCGATGGTCTACTACCACACTTCCAGAGATATTTGGCGTGGTGCGACCGTATGGTGAACATGGTTAGCCGAGGCGCCCATTATAAGGTACCTGCCTCCTGCAACGAGGACACGCGCGAGGATATTAGCAAGATCCTCTCTCGCTATGAAGACCGTAAGGATGTCCGTTTTGTACAGGTCGTCGGTGATAATCTAGTCCCCGTTATTCGTGAGGGTAACTCGATGCTTGAGCACATGAATCAGGACGGTCTCCTTCGTGCCTTCTACGAAGAAGGGGCTATTTGCTCTGGTCCGACTGCTCGCTGGTTAGCCCGTGTTATTGCCCAGATCTCTAAACGCCATCCGGGTTTAAATATCTTCGAAGTCGGGGCTGGTACGGGAGCCACCACATCTGCTGTCCTGGATGCTCTCAACGGCGGGTATGCGTCGTATACTTTCACTGATATCTCTAGTGGCTTCTTTATGGCGGCCGAGGAGCGCTTTGGTCAGGACACTCACCGCATGGTGTTTAAGACTTTCAACATGGAAGAAGATCCTACCGGCCAAGGGTTTGTAGAAGACTCTTATGATGTAGTAGTGGCAGTGAATGTCTTACACGTTTCCAGGGATATTGAAGCATCCCTGTCTAACGTCCGACGGCTGCTAAAGCCCGGCGGTTTCCTTGTCGTGGCTGAGCTTACCTCCACCGAGTTGCTTTTCAGTGGAATGACAGTGGGCACATTACCCGGCTGGTGGATTGGGGCTGAAACCGGCCGTCCCTGGGGTCCGCTGCTCACTCTGAGCCAGTGGGATAGTGTGCTGGGAAACACAGGATTCGCGGGCATTGACACCGTCACCCCGGATATTAGTGCTTCGTTATCAATGAGCGTGTTTGTGGCTCAAGCTGTCGACGATCGTGTGATGCTGCTGCGCAATCCTCTCTCGGTTAAGGCGCATCCTGCTGGTATCCGAACTGACGCGCTGGTTATTATCGGCGGAACAACTTGGCCGATCTACAAGCTCAGACGAGATATATCTGACATAATGGAGAAGCGTTTCCATTCCAAGGTGTTTTTCGACACCGTGGAAGACTTTGCTGCATCTGACATGGCCAAGGGGGCAGCCATACCCGGAGGAGTCACCATCTTATCCCTTACCGACCTTGACCGGCCGTACTTGGAAAACCTCACGCCTGAAAAATTCGAGGCGCTCAGGGCCTGTACTACTGCGAGAGTCTTGATTTGGGTCACCTGTGGCTCGCGCGAAGAACAGCCATACAGCTACATGATGACAGGAATTGCCCGCACCATCCGGACGGAGAACCCAGGTTTGAATATTCTAAACTTTGACCTGGACCCTGCCCTGCCAAACGGTATCCAAACCAACACTGCCACAGAGCTTTCGGTAGTGATCCTTCGGCAATTGGCACTGACCCATTGGGGTAGCGATACGCTGCTGTGGACGTTGGAGCCCGAGATGTTCGTGCGCAATGGACGACAAGTCGTGACTCGGATACTCCCTGATCGCGAGAAGAATGAAAGATACAATTCTCAACGGCGCACTGTCTTCACGCATGCTAACCCAGCAAAAGACACTGTACAGCTAGTTGGTATTGGGCGCGGTGATGAGCGAGCTCTAGAGATTCGCCAAGTCTCCCCTTTGGCCTTGACCGTTCCACCGGTGACTGAATATCGCACTGTCCGCATCACCCAGACTTCACTACAGAGCGTGGCTGTTGGAGCTGCTGGCTTCGCTCGCGTGTGTTCTGGAGTTGATACCGCAACTAACGAGCATGTTCTAGCTCTGACCGGTTCAAGCAAGTCCCTAGCTACAGTGCCTTTCGAATGGTGCATTACTGTTCCAACGGCGCCAACCCCTTCCAAAATTGCCACCGTAACCGCCTATCTTATCGCAGAGCACATCCTGTCCTTTACATCCCAGGGCAGCACTCTGCTTGTCAACGAGCCTGATGCACTTGTGCAGTCAGCGATCCAAGCAAAGGCCTCGTGTGCGAATGTCGATGTTGTTTTCACTACGGCCAAACTTACCCAAACACAAGATGGTCGCTCCGTACTCCTCCATCCCAGTTTCCCTCAGCGCATCATACAGTCCATGGTGTCACATTGCTCTGTTTTCGTCCATTTCTCCCGTGGTACAACCTCCGATGAAGTTCGAGATGCTATCGTCCAGACTTTGAGTCCAGCATGTCTTCGGGTTAGCGAGGAGGTACTACTGAGCCACGAGGTCAACGCAGTATCTAGTTCAAAGGATCCAGGACAGCTGCTGCAAAGGTGCTACGATGGTGTTTCTCTCGATGCGTTGCCTGTAAGCTGTATTGATCTAAGTAGCGTCCCCAGTCACAAGGTCATTCGCGAGCCCCTGGCTGTCATAGACTGGACAAGCTCTCAGTCTGTACTGGCCAAGGTGCAGTCAATCGACTCAGGCCCCCTCTTTAAAGGCGACCGGTCATATCTCTTCGTTGGTATGGCTGGTGAGTTGGGTCAGTCCCTGGCTGGATGGATTATCGCCCATGGAGCCCGCTTCGTTGTTCTCTCTAGCCGCTGCCCGAAGGTTAATCCCCGCTTTGTTGATGAGATGGAGACTCGATACGGAGCCGTCGTCAAAGTTGTTTCCCTGGACATCACCTCACTGGAGTCTCTTCAATCGATCCGTGTTTCTATGACCGCGGTACTACCACCCATTGCTGGTATCGTCAACGGTGCCATGGTTCTAGATGATGAGCTCTTCGCAAACATGACACACGAGCAGTTTGCGCGCGTCATGAAACCCAAGGTGTTAGGCACGCAGCTGCTCGACGATGCCTTCTATGACACCGAACTCGATTTCTTCATCGTCGCCTCCAGTATTGCATCCATTATTGGATGGAGCGGACAGAGCAACTACTCGGCTGCGAACGAATTCTCGACCTCCTTCGTCAACAAGAGGCGCAAGCGCGGTGTTGCTGCCTCCGTGATGAACATTCCCGCTGTTCTTGGCGTTGGTTACGCGGCTCACTCTGACACTTTTGACTTTGACTACTTCCAGTCGCTAGGTTACATCAACATAAGCGAGGAAGATCTACACATCCTTTTTGCAGAGACTATCCTTTCCGGACGCCCAGGGCCAGCGACAGATGCCCAGGCCCAGGTGGTAATGGGCATCAACTACATTCCACCGGATCTAGACGTCAAGGAAGTGCATCGCCGTGACGTTAAGTTCAGCCACTTCATCCTCCGCGAGGAAGCCAGGTCCGAAGAACAGACCGTTGAGACAGCTGTCCGTGTTCGGGTCCAGCTGCAGACAGCCACCAGCGCCGAAGCGGCTTGCTCAATTATCCGGGACGCATTCTTAGCGCATCTCAAACGTATGCTCCGTATAACCGAGGACCAGAAGATCGATGAGTCTGTGGCACTGGTCGAGCAGGGCGTTGACTCCCTCGTGGCAGTTGACATCCGGGCCTGGTTCTTGAAGGAATTGGGGGCCGATGTTCCCACCCTTAAGGTTATGGGCGGTGGATCCATTTCCGAGTTGGTGAAGATAGCCGTTGCGCAGATGCCCTCTCTAGAGCAGAGCGCCGAACCAGAGCCGGCGGTGCCAGCTGTTAAGGAGACATCATATCTTTCCCCGCCTAGGTTTGATGCAGGCGTGTCCCAATCCATCTCTGAGAAGACGCTTATTTCTGCTTCCCCGTTGACCGTGAGTCCCATCTTCACTCCGACGGAGACGCAGGGTACTACGCCTTCGCTTTCGGATGCTGGGGCTGGTCGTGCGCCATCCCCTTCGAGTGATTACTTTAAGAGACCTGGTGCCAAGCAGGATGGCTCTGAGCCGGAGTCACTCAGAGATGTGGAGAATGGGGCTGCCTAAGAGTGTATATATAACTTGTAATGCTTGATGGCGTATTTCTACTATACAGCCTAATTCTAATATGATAAGCATCAGAGCACACGTGTATATGCTGTTCATTTAGGCTTCTTTTTGTCTTTATTATATGTGGTATCGATAATTAATCATAGTCGAAGCCTTAGCTGCAGCTATCTGGGGTCTGGAGAACCTCATTTGTATGTAGTATGAGCAGGCTACCGCGACATAGTTAGGATCAAGTTTAGTTATTATGAACTAGATCCTTTTTCCACTCATTCAGTTATATCCACTGTCCTGAACCTAGTATCTGAAGGGATACTTATGTAAAATCCAAACAAAGCAAAATGAAAAGTGTCTTCGTCGTTCACGTTCTTCCATTACATTGACGCTAATCATGCATGCTTAAAATCAATGAGAAAATAAGAGCAAACGCAGAACTGTATGTCCACGTTTCAGCAGTTATGCAGCCCATCGCCACCATATAATTGTATACAACAATGGATCCTATGGGTCATGCAACACAAGAGCTTATACTAGGTAAGCGCAACGAACAAGGCGGCTCCAGCCGTCATGAGAACACGCAACCCGTTACTTAGGCCCAACTGCGATCTACTAGACTCGTCTATCTTCTCCGGTTTTTCCATCTTGTCTGTTTTGTCTGCCTTCCCCGTTGTGCGATCCAGGACGCCTGCGCGATGGCTATCGGGAGATAGGTTAGATTAGTCGGGTAAGAGAGGGAAGCATCTGTAGGGAATGACGGTGAGATGGCCTTGGTGGTGAACTCTGTTCCAAGAGATAATCTAGTGAGAATAACCCGGAATGCCTTTTTGCGTTCCACATAACCGGCAGCGTATATAGCTTGTCGACATGCTTGGCCATGTTCACACCACCAAAGAGGATGGTGCCAAGGCTATCGATATCACCCTATTTCTTCTCCGTCCACATGCTGAAAGCGGGGGACTAGATGATCTTCGCATCCACTAACCCTTAGGATAGAGGTGAAGTTCGAGTTAGCTTCGCCGTGTCCGAGCCCAGAGTATCTACTCCCCTGTTAATAATGGTTGTTGCATAGACTGAACTTCTGTATGTGCGTTTGAGGTGGTAGAAGGCATTATCACAAGGTGACTTACTAAGACGAGCTTGCTTATGTACAACAAAGAATTTCATGGCGTCCAGCTTCACATCCCCAACGGCTATAGTATCTGTAATAATGTCCCCCGGAATAGGAACCGAGTACGGGTTCCCCGGGTTAAAAATGGTGTCTGCTTCTACTAATCGATTGCTGGTTGAGTCACTCGCATCATAGCTGCCATAGTCTGGCGTTACACCCATATCTATGAGATCCGCATAGTCTTTGTTATCTCCAGCCACCAAGCTGAAGTCGTCATAAATTGAGAATGCGGTGCTGGACTTCCGAAAGACACAGTTGCAATGAATCGAGCATCCTATAAATGGCGATGGTCAGAATGAGCAATGCTTTGTGTAATCACCGAAGGTTAAGTGAGAGGGGGGGGAGAAGGGACTGTACATACAAAGTTTTCTCTTTTAGCAGTGTGGTCCCTCTGCCCACGGCGATCATGATGACCGTAAGCATCGGCGACTCGCGGGCCCACAAACGGCACTTTCAGCACAGAAGGCGTATCCTTCAGTATCAGAGACATTAATGAAGTGAGCCACGAAGACCAATGGGCTTGACAAGCCATTTATCCTCCACTTTAAGTCAGGGGCGAAATCCCCAGACAAGGATCTTGAACTCGGGCCCCATGAGGTGACTTCAGTCTCCTGCTTCTGTTTAGTTGGGCGCCAGAATGTAACGTCTGCGACTTAGTCTGCTTGGCGCAATTCCAGTCTGAACTCCAACCCGCCATTGATAGTTTATCGTCAGGAGAATGAATCAGCGTGTATTGCTCGGCGATTTTTATCGAGCCCTAAGGGGCGATAAGTCTAGAGCGCGAGGCTGCCATCATAAGCTAAACCCGATACAAAGAAAACGTTCTTACCTTGGTATGTTGTGTGGGTGTACCATGGTCCTTTCCAAGCAGTAAGCAATCATGAAACAAAAGGATGGAGAGAAACAGAAGGATAGACAGAAATGGATGTCACAAGGAGCACGTGCGGGGCCGGTATCACGAAGGGATTGACTTCCCCAGTTAGTACTCTTTCAAGAAGACAATGATTGCTGACAATCAAAGGAGGGTGGGGGATAAGACAGATAAGATTATTTGTATTCTACAGGTATTGTGAATTAATATAGTAGTCCTAATATACATTTGGAGCATTGCCTCCCCCAAGCTTGAATTTTATCATTGACAGACAATGTACACAGCTGAGCGTGTCGCCATTAAACATGGTATCAAATGAGAAAGGTCCAGAAGCTAGGGAAAACAAGCTCTTCCTCGAAAATTCGACGGACCTGGGCTAGAACGAAGCGCTCAACCTTGCCGACATTCTTCAGAACTTGCTTTCCATCTTCCTTCCGACCAATCTCACTCTCCACTCGTACTTCTTGAAGTAAACCTCCCTGGCGCTTCTGTGAAGTGGTCGAGTCCGCACCAGGCCATGGACGATCATCCTGGCTTCTCACTTCCTGCTGGTCGGACCCGATCAGTGCATCCGCATCTTCGGCTGACAAGAAACAAAAATGAACTCGCTTGCGAATGTACGCGATGACCGCAACACCATCGAATGTAATGCCCGTGACATTAAGCTTTAGCGGCAGGCCGACAAAGCTAGGCATGGGATAGTCAAGAAGAATCTCAGCAGTTAATGACAAGCGCACATCCCCGGCATATTTGGCGTGACAGAGAACCTGGAAATCTTCCGGTCGACGCTCTCGCATGCGAGGGGGCAGTCGGAGAGGATCCCCTGTAGCCATAGGATCCTCCAGATGTTTATCCTCACGGAGCGATCCGAGGTCTTTTCCCGCCGTAGCATCGCCGCTAGGTTGGTTGGACGCAGATGGGTGGGAAGGGAGAGTGCTAGAGGTCGAAGGGCGTGATGTGGGATTGCTGGTGTCGATATCAGCTTCCATGCGAGATTGGTCCATCGCAGCCGCGCCTGAGATAGATGGACGGCCCATGTTACTTGCGCCCATTCCAGAGTCCGTCCAACCGTTTGCGAATGGTGTGCCGCCTGCGACCGCCGCGAGGGGAGTTTGTGTCCCCGACAAACCACCAAGGGACATGAGGTGGTACCCTAATGTTGAAGTCCCGCCGGGAATACCTGGCGTACCCGCACGAGGAAGGAAGTGAGGGTTCAGGTGTTCCATTGGGGACCGCAAAGCAGTCGAGTGAAAGGTTTCATTGTATGGGTCCCTTAACGGTCGTTTCATTGCCATTTCCTCGTGGAAAGGGGGCTCGTTCAGTTCCCCGTGCCACTGGGTGCCGTGACCGGAGACCAGCTCCTCGGACACATCGGACGTTTCATCATCGTCATCCTCCTCATAGAAGTCGGTAAATGGTTCACAAACATCTTTTACCTCAAGATCGGGTGGTATGGTCCCAAAGTCGAACGAGTGAACTTGAACAGAACGGATAAAACGGGGGAGGGCCACCTGCTGGAACTTGTCATGAATGAAGGAGCGGATGCGCTCGGCCAGAGCCTCACCATCCGGTCCAGAGGTGGCGGTCCTCCAGTCAACTTCAATGGACATCACATGTGCAGCAGACGATGATTCGGTGGGGAAGTGGGTGGGATCGTTTGGGCGAGAAAGAACGGGGGGGGTTGTATTGAATTGCGCCGCATGAGAGAAGGGACTCCACATGGATTGATAATTAGGCGCAGTCTCCGCGGACCAACTCGCGTCCCGCGCCCATCACGTGATGTCGAGTAACCTCATCGATGACATTACGAATGAGCAATGTACCTCTCCTCATGGCCTTCCACGGCCACAAACCCAAGGTGCGAGCATCGAGGACATCTCCGATACCCCTCGCAGGTCTCAGGATGACTGGAAGCTCCCTCTGGAGGGAAATTACCATGCACGCGGCTTTCACACCGCTTTAGGTTTACCTGACCCAGTACTCTGGTTCACCAGTTCAGCCGACGCCAATTCGGGACATATTAGAGGATGGCACAATCTCTGCCGTGCCGTACGGCGGGAGTCATCGAACAGCGTGTTCACCGGGCACAAGGGTCTATGACAAGTCTTGCTCTAGCCCCCCTCTTCCAGCCCTGGAGAAACCTATCCATCGGTTCCACTTCACCTCCGATTAGTACCCAACATTCATCATTCTAACCCCTATCATTGGTGATTTCCTCTATGAATCATTCCCCTCTAGGTCTCTCTTGACAGGGGGATCGCACTTGGATTGACTTTCGCGTCCCTTCTAACCTGCACCCTTGGTGCCTGATTGTTCGCCTCCACGAACGTCTTTTATTTTTCCCCTCTTGAGTGGGCACGTCGTACCGCAGTCTCCGCATCTCGTTTTTCTTTGAAAAGAAGGTGATAGGCCTTCTTGGCGCAGAGAGGCAACGCCACGTATGTATGTATCTACTCTTTTGTGGGCTGGTAACGAGGGCCGACGCTGCCGCAGGATACAGACAGAGTCCCTTTGTGCGTCCCTTTGGGAAATAATGTCTCTCCTCCTAATAGCAAATCTCCGGATTAAACGCCCGTCTCTTAATTCAAAGCCTATATGGGTCCTCTAGCTGCGGGATTTGACCCGTCATTGGCGCATCACTTTCCCAAGGCAGTTTAACACCTGATCCTCCAAAACCTAATATACGCGCGCACTTCACGTTCACTGACTTGAATTCTCTAAGATTTCGTTGGCTCCAGTCAATGCGGATCGCCACCGGATAACTGGCGTCTGTGCCCCGTTTCATTATTTGATTCGACGAGCCCGCAATCAGATGATGAGAAACGTATGCGGTGCTAATGCAGCCGCTGACATACGTTGCTAATCATAGTTGCCAAGAGTGGTCTTTAAAAGGAGAGAAAGAAAGACAAAAAAAAAGTGGGAGGGAAAAAAAGTGGGCTAATGGATGGGGTTGGGTGACCTTGTTCCGTAGAAGCGCAGTAACATCCCCCCACCCTCCATCCTCGCACACAGATGGATAATGCCAACCAGCCAAAAGGTGGATAAGATAGATTGGGTGCCCTCTCATCCATCACTTCTGTTCCCTCATACACTGTGCCCGGTGGTGAACAATGAGCTTGGGGAAGTACCCCGTTTCATGATATGCATCCGGCAACTCATAAGCTTAATCTTCCGCATGAAATGATCATTAACCAAGTTAGCGATGGGTCTACACACGTGTGATGAGGCATTTGTCTTGCTCCTGATCGGTCTATTCCTCGGATATCTCCGTGACTGCGGTAGAATTTCCCGTAGAGACTGTGAAGCTATACAATCCTCAGAGGCAGAAGTTGTAGTGGGAAGCTATCCCGGAAGATCTCGCTCTTGAGTATGATTGATCATCTATCGCTGGCCGGGTAAAAAATCCTTCAGGATTATAGAGGCTAAGAATGGATCCATCCATATCGAGGCTTGACTTCGATCATTGTGTAATTTTCTGCATACTTAGCGATGTATGGCTACGATCCTACAAAGGAGGCCAGTGCCTTATTATGTGGCAAATTCTCGCCTTAGATCTGAAAACACATCATGAGAGGTTGGAAAAATGGCAGGATGCAGCTAAACAATTTCGACATACACCACAGCAAATGCCTTGACAGGAAAAAGCAGCAATGACAACAAGCAATGAGACAATGTGGCTTTAACAAGGACCCTTTGCCCCAGTAGTAAGTTCACAGGGCACACCGTAAGAATCAAGTACATTAGGATGCAGGTAGGCACTTGCAATGAACAGCAACCACAAAGCAGAACTATGCATATGCGACAGAGAAAAGCCGAAACGGGGCATTCATAGTATTGACAGACGGCAGATAGACCCAAAAAAGCACCATCTCTTTTTTTTTCGTTTTGATTTTAGTTTTTCTTCTCTGCTCCTGATTAAGCTCCCGTCATCTCCGAAATGGTTCTCGCTTGAATTCATCGCAATAGTTGAAAAGAAAAAAATACAGATTTCGAGGAGGGTTTCGACTGTCGTAGCACTGAAACGTTGACCAAGGCTGGGCTCGACGATCTTCGGAATGTACATCTCGCCGAGTAGGTGATTGTCGAGGTCCCACAATCCTCCAGTCGTTCTGGACTTAGTTAGCGAGAAATCTTCTAGAATGGCCGCCACAGCTAACCCCCCCCCCTCTTCAGAGGAAGCTGTTGCGCCACTGGATAGCGGGGATGGTATCGCTCTTGGAGTTCCCGTTAGCGGGGAATTTGCCCCCCCCCCCCCCCCCCCCCCCCCCCCCCCCTACCACATACATTGCTAGACTCTAGCCACCATGAGCAGGGCAGTTATAGCCCTCTCGGCGCCGGACTTGCTGCCTCACCCCAGTGCAGGATGTTCCTCGCTTTGCGCAGTAGACAACATCACCTTCAGGGTGAGTACAGCCGCAGTCGTACTTGTAGAAGTATTGGGAACACATTTTCGAAGCTCCAGTGCTGATGTAGCGGAATATGAAGAATTTATTTGGAAGTAGGGAAGGTCAAATCACTTGGTCGAGTAACTTGTGGACTTCAGAGGATCGAAGACGTCGAACTTGGAGATCTTGCTCTGATGAGAGTCTGAGAGACAGAGCTGCTGTGATGTTGTCCTGATAGTTTGACGGATCGTGAGGACCTTAAATAACAATCGCTCGGCCTTGCTTTCAATCCAAATCGATACAGAATGACTGCGGACAGCTGTGCCGCAATAGCACCAACTACAAGAAAATAGTGAGAAAGGTACCAAAGGGGGCTTAGAGTTAAAAGAATAATAATAAAATAAAATAAAAAATGATTCGGAAATAAAAAAAAAAAAAAAATATGAAGTTCAGGGAGAAGAATGAAAGAGAGAACAGGGTTAGTCAAAGATCTGAACACTACGCATGCGGCGCCCTTTTTTTCTTTTTTTTTTTTTTTGATGCGCCTCAACCACAAAGAGATGGTTAGATATTTGCGCCGAAGAAGTTGGTGATGAGATCTACATCACATCCAGGAGAAATGATTTCAACGAATGATTCGAATAACACCGCAGAACTACTGCACCGGGTGTCCCCAACACCAAGCAAGATTGGCGGCTATGCGGATGATCTGTGAAGGTGGTGGTGGGCACCTGGGGTTGGCATAAGATAGTTCTTACTATGAGCCATGACTGTGATGGCCAAATTGTCGGCGAAACTTCGATTGTAACCCCTGCCGGGAGGTTTAATAGACTTCCGCAGATGCATCATGAGAGAGGCCCTGACATCATCTTCACAACAATGCGACATGCGTCCGGCAGGGGAGGGCTGGTCACATATGCAAGCGAAAAAAAGCCAACAATTGCATTATCAAATCAGTGCCCAAAGCCAGCCAACAGTGTTTACACCGTTTAGGGTCATGCCGCAATCAGGAACTGTTCCTTGATGTGCATCTGATAAATGTCACGCAGCAGTTCCCCTAGACTTGCCACTAACAGATTCACGCTTATCATAGTAATCTTATTATCATGTGTACCTCAAAGACTCTAGCTGGAGGAGGGAGGGCAAGGATGTCTCTCCAGCAATCCAATGTAATCGGTCCCGATATCACGGTCGACAGTCATCGCCAGTCATGTCTCTCCATCCTGTGAGCCATGTGCCTGGCCTTATCCCAGAGGACACTGCGGGAATTTCTTGACTCATGGCCCACCTGCTCCAGTCAGGAGTGCCGCAATTTCTGGGCAGATACCTTTCTAGCAACGACATCAACAAACAGTGGGGGCACCTATAGGGCTCCGCTGAGGTATATTGGAGAAATCGGGGCCAAGGCTTGCAAACTAGAATGGACCATCTGCAAGAATCACACAGCCATCACAGAGATGTTGGCCTTGGTGCCTTGGACTGACCAATGCCTGGGGTAGAGGACCTAACCGCGGTTGGTGATATCTGCAAGACATGAATGAACTCTTTCCCACCTTCGGCCAGGTTGGCGGGCGGAGGGGGACCGCACACAGCACGACACGACACTATCGGAATACGGATTAAGTGAGAATATCCGGTTCCTGCCTTATGATGGCCCCAAGTGATGGCCATGTTGGTGTGATAATGGCACAGAGTTTCCACTGCCGGCTAGACTAGCGTTCGGCAGTGCAAAACAGCAAACCTCCGCCTATCGATTTCTCGTGTTCTTCATAAGCACCTAAGCTGGAAAGCTCGAGTCAACTCTAACTGAGTGACAATTGATTTCAGAAAGTCCGCACCACATTGCGGCGCTCCTGTATTAAGGAGACAATGAATATTCTGTGGTCCACGGGGACAGTCTACGTTTGGCCCTCTCGGCCGCTGAGCATCCGCGCCACATAGTGGATGGTCGAGCGATACGGCGCGGAGACAGGGGGCGCTAAATCTGCGACAATCAGCACATCAAACGGGGAGGGCACGGCCTCGATTTAGCCGCCGTTGGCTTTTGCGCCAGAACGGAGTGGGTAATGAGAAGTTCTTTGGCGCAGGCATTGGTGCTGGGTTTGTTTATCTTGCGGCATGAGGCTCGGTGCACGTGATGGTGATGCGCTGCGTTTTGAGAGCCGCTTGTTCAATTGATCTTTTTTCTTATCTTAATTTTGGTTTATATTCTGGTCTTGGTCCGGTTTTCTTTCAAGTAAAAATTTGCTCTTGACTTTTGTGGGTTCCGTAGGTGTTAGATTATTCAAGACCCTAAAAGTACTCTGGAAAGGGTTGAATGATGAAGGCAAAGAAAATACGGTATGTTAATGGTCAGACAGACTGTGAATAGTAATAGAAGTGACTGACAATAAAAATCATTCCAGGAAGAACAGCAAACCAAACAAACAACGTCAATATGTCTTGGGAGACCCCTTGCTTGGCTAATTATGTTTCTAGAAACCATCACAAAAGGTGTCAAACTAGGGTCATGTGCCCTTTTGATAAGGGATGATAATGCAAAACCCTAAGAATAAGTCTCCAAATGAAATACACCGTCCTCCCTTTTTGGCTAAGTATCCCAATTTCCCCGAGTGATCTCTCAAGAATCCACCCCCCATTTACCAATCCAATAGTTCCGGCACGTTTCTTGGCTTCGCTTCCTGGCTGCTGATCACCCGAGGCTGATTTTCGGGTCGTGTCGGCCCAGATGCTTGTATAAGGGACAACACCTCAGCTTGCGCAAGGAGCGGCCAGCTTCGGCTTGGCGGGTTATTGGAATTCCCTGGATATTTTACGAGCTATCCCCTTTATTCTCGATAACTCGCCGGGGGTTACCAAAGCCAAGAGTCTGCAGGGAAGGGGGATCTTCCAAAAATGACGTTCGTCGCCCCGCTGAGCCGGGAAAGAATGTTCGAAACATGTGAATTGCACCGTGTCCGATCCACCTCGGGGAAGCAGATTGGGGATGCTCATCCTCTGTAACCCACTATCTCTGCAGGTGGGATGGGACACAGATCGACCTCCCTCCCGGTATCATCCACGAACCTTCCCGGCCCCTCTTCCCCTTTGAGTATCTTGGCTACTTCCCTCACCTGTATAAATAGGTGACCGATTCCAACCGAGAAGGTTCTCCAGATCAATCCCAATCCTCTTCTTCTTTCTCCTCCGGACAAAAAAAAAGTCTTTCAGACCCCAAAGAACTTCCCTCTTCAAACGCCATATCTACACCTTCATATCATACCTTCCTCTTTTCCCACCTGACAAGATGCTCACCAACACTCCTCTCCACAAGTTCCTCGTTCTCTCTCCCATCCACTCTGGTCCTGCCAACGACCAGGCTGAGAGCAAACAACCAACCCAAGTCCGTGAACGCTCTAGCAGCCAGTCTTCTACGGCTTCCACCGGATCTCCAGGTCCTCTTCCCAATGGCTTCCTCTACCTGGGACACGAGCAAGACAGAAACTAAACTCCGACGGACGCCACATAAGCTTGCTCGCGCACACCATCTTACTACATAAATCGCGCTGGACACGATACATCTGCAAGCGACTCGGCCCAATTTCATCCTGCACCGGACGAATGGAAGGAGCTTTAGCGGTTTCATTTCTTTATTTGTTTTCAAACATGAATTTCTTTGCATGGTTCTTTCGGATACAGTCGATTCTTTTATTCTCTTTTTTGATGGTTTCGCCTATCTCTCACCATAACAATATACCACACCGTCCACTGCCGGGGGAAGGGGGAAGAGTAAAAGGGGAGGATGAGGATATTTGCCAAGGGACAATAGATATGTGCCAAGCCCTGAGCAGTGAGATCAAAAATCAATAGGCCGCGCTGTGTTATTCCACCGCCAAGCAATGATAGATTCAAGATCAACATCTTCTATTAACTCTGCCAAGATCCCTTGATGAGAAAGAGCCTGGCGTTGCTGCGACTGGTAAAAAAAAAAAAAAAAAAAAAAAAAAAAAAAAGTAAATCCCCAGGGTCCTCTTCCGTCCCCCACTAGGTAAAAATCCGCCGTGGGGAGAAGGAGGGGGTGTTAGAGAAGGGAAAATCCAACAACGCTATCTCGAGCTTTACAGGAGCTTACCGTGTCTACCCAATCACTCCCCCGGAAGCTCAGATCCTTCAAATTTGACAAGGCACGCGCTCATCCTACTATTAAGAACAGGCAAATCATTACGATATTTTCGGAATTCTAGACCCATTCTTTACACTTTCCCGCGGAAAGACTTACCCCGCCAAGTGAAGCAAGCCCACATCCCTCGCCCCCGATTACCCCTTCAACGCTTAAGAAAAAAAGCAAAGGGTAGCAAAGAAAAAAGCAAATAATCAACTGGATCCATTGCATCATCGTCACTATAACTGATAAGCCAAATGCCAACCTCCGGGTGGGGTATGGGATGACGATCTACTCCGTTCCCATTGAAGGAAGTCGGTGTAACCAAACAACTCCCCGCTCAAATATGCAGCAATGCTTTATTCGTTATCTTACTTTCTTGGCCGTTTATGTGTACTCCCTCCCTGCATAATCTAGGTAGCACATCATTTTCACTGTGTGCATACGTGTGTACGTGGGCCTGTCGTGATAGTAGATAGGCCCTCCATAGGGCGGATGAGATGTATCATACTTAGGGTTCGCAACTATGCATGATTGCCAAGCTCGGTCACCGAGGTCATGGGACCGGGGCTGAGTCGGACAGGAGTTATGGAGTACCTGCTCGGCAGAATATAAATTAAGTGTCATTTTTTCTTTTGCAGGGAAACGTTGGAAGGATTAATTAGATTAAGGGTATCTCTCAAGCTTGAAGATTGTTTCAACTTCAAGTCGGGACACTTTTATATTATCATCGGTAAAACTAGCATATCCCATTGTATTCCTTCCTCCCAACCAAATTAGATTCAGTAGTTGGCTAGACATGGAATGAGAGAGATCTAGTACGCTCTAGAGGTCCAGAAAGCTACTAGTATTCTCCTGATCGCGTTCGACTTGGTCGATCCTGTATCCGGGTGACCAAGTTAGCAAAGATTAACTTTTTTACTGTTTTTAATGGTATGATAAGGGGCACAGGTCTGATAGACTAAAAAGCCTTACGGCGCATAAAACAATGACTACTCGTAGTGGGGCGGCCATCACACAGCGCATTAGCTAAAATATATAGCTATTGACAAAGAATTTCAACACTTTTCTCTACTATCTCGCACCATACCCACCCACCCCCAACTGTTGGTTGAATTTAGCAATTTCCCCTCATCTCGACACCCAACATGGGAAAAACGACTATACACGCATTGGAAGCCAACAAAGTCTCTATAGTTTGCCACTACAGACGGTGGTGGAGTGGAGAATCACTTCGAAACAAGATGACACCCCATTTGAGGACATATCCAAGCTCTGACTAGAGCCTCAACCCTGACCTTATTATGATCTGCGTTGCATGACATGTTCTCCTTATCGTGGTAATCGGGACTTCTGAGTCCAAACAACTTTATACGGCCTAGGATAACAGCATATCCAAGTATAGAATAGTGTCGGTACAAAACTATGTGCACTACACTGTCAACCTTGGTGAAACTTGTCTGTATCAACCTGTATATCGACATGGGCAGTGTCTTCTCTTGTGACTCAACTTTTGAGTATCGGTGGGTTTACCTAGATATATCGTCCCCTCTCACTTTCATGTATAGGATAAGCACTTACATACCCTGTACACAACAACAACCCGTCCAACACCAACGGAGAAGTAAAAGAAATAAATAGAAAGAAACAAATAGAACAACCACAAAAGCTACTAACTGGCCATCCCTGTCTAATTGTAGATCCACTTGGTCGAAGTTCTTGGCTGACATTCCAACACCACGTCCAACAATGGGGATTGAGAATGGGCCTAATAGAGTCATACGTGTGTTGAAGTCGACGGGTAAACCCAAATGTTGGTTATACATGATTTCTCGGTGTTCTTGTGACTTGCATGTTCATCTATGATCTGATACTATATGGGGCCAAAACAAATGCTCCGCCCCGTTCGCCTCGGCGCTTAGCTTGGACTATAGACGCCGGTGGGGAAGATAGTCAAGGGTCTTAGCAGTACTATAAACTATGAATAGATAACTCCAAGACATTTTCAGGCAGTGTAAAGCCCCCCCAAGGTGGAATCCCAGAAAACTTCCAATCAATTTGCTGTAGTAGTATCAGTCAAATTAAAAGGCCATAATATAGACGTGACACGCAGATAAGCAGATATCCTAGTCCAATGCACAAGCTACAATCGACAACTTCTCACCGTGATCAGAGGAAAGAAAGAAAGTGAAAATAGATGTATCTAAAGAGAAAGGGGGAACACGACCATAGATCGAGCACCAGACACCTTCTAGTGAATAGTAAACATATTAAATTACCCTCAAATAGTCCTGCTCAGCTAAAATGTCCGCCGTATCATATCAAAATCCCCTCCTTCCGGAGGGCTGTGACGTGGTAAGAAACAAGGCAAGAAGTAAGAAAGGCTGCTCAAGAAATGGACAGGAACAATTTACAGTCAGGGCTATAATAACAGGGAATGGAACGAAAATTTGAACAAAGGAACTAAAAAAATTTATTCGGACAAAGGAAATATAAGTTAAAAAAAAAAAGGGATAAAAAGGCTAAACATGGATATGTATGCGGGAACAAGGTTGCTGGTACAAGAGAGGACAAACCGATAGCTGCAACAGAAGGGGACGAAAGCTGCTGGGTATCATGGGGTATCCAAATAGCCTCTCTGCTCTTTAATTGTTGGGAATCTAAGAGCCTCCTCGACTCGAATCCTCCTTCCAAGTGTAGTATCAATTGGGAGACGGGCCTAATCCATCTTGCGTATGGAACTCTGGAGTCCGAGGTGGACGACACGGCGTCTCGGCAACGCCTGGAATGTGTCAAAAAGTTATTGGACCTCTTCATAGTCATTTTTGAGCCCGGAACACAAGGATGAAAGAAGACAACCAAAATTGCCTGTTGATCTTAAATGGGGTTGCATGGACACGCCAAGATGTCGACATGTTAACCTTTGGGTTGGTCGAAAGAAAATAAAGAAAAGAAACAAAAGATTATCTTGTTCTACCGGTCGTCGCCAGCCCTTGACTTCGCCCGTCGACGGAAGAAATCCATTACTTTCCTGGCTGCGCCAGAGCTACCGGAGTGATGTGATGAATCGCGCTCGTACTCATAGGCATCCGCAAATTTCCGATGGTTCTTCTGCAGGACACTGGGCCCTCGTGTTGGTCGGCCAGCTGGCGTAGGTTGCTGTTGCGCGCTATCAAACGGACTATTGTATTCGTCATAGTAATTTGGTGTCGAATTATTGGCATACTGGTTCCGATAGTAGTGGTCATTGTCATTTTGGTACACCTGTTCAGCCGAATAAGAAGTCGGGTGATACGTCGCGGATTGGGTTCCATGCAATACCGCAAATTGCTCATCAATGCGGGCTTGATAGTTGATGGGCTCATCTTGGACAAAGACTTCATCTGCCGGGCCACCTTCTGGCATGATCCCCATTGCATCCTGTGTTCCGTGGCTAGTCGCACGTGCACGGGGTCGTAATTCCCCAGCAGATGGTTTTTGCTGCGCGCGATTATCCACAGAGCGGTCAGCCTGTGACTCGTCGTCTGGAGTTTGTGATCTACTCGAAGAGAGGCCTTTTAGAGAGAAAGATGCTGGCAAGAGGGAGAATCGGCGAGGCCGACTCTCGCCCCCTGTTTCGCTCGTCTTCCGGTTTGATCCATATTGCATAGAGCGGCGTGAGTCCATGGACATCCGGGGGATTTCGCCACCATACGGGTCTCTCATACTTGTAGGAGGATAACGCTTGCCGCTCTTTTGGCGGGTACTTGCTTGCCCACCACGCCCTCCAAATATGGAGCCAGACCGTCCAAATAACTTCTCGCCAAGGCCCGAGACAGTATTTGATCGCTTGTGACCCTTCGGTGGCTCTTGTCGGGGGGTCGTATTGAATTTGGCAGGAAGAGCCTGTGCGCTCGGGCGGCCAATCGACACTACATCCTGTTGTGAAGGATCTTGAGGGATCGGATTCGAAATAATGTATTGCTTGCTCTTTGGCTGTGCCAATCGGCCGTGCGCATTAGTCGCCGCCACAGTTGGTGCCACCGGCTGTCCATAAGATCCTCGTGAAGGCAAACGGCCGGTATTGAATGAAGCCATGGAGGCACCCGTGGTAGGTCGCATAGGATGCGTTGGGGGCATGGTCGACGATCCCGTGAGTGCCATTGAATCCGAAGTTGAGCGAGGTAAATGCCCCGATGGTGGGCGTTGCTGTACCTTTGAATCCCCAATCTGTGCGCTTGGAGGCATAGGCGGGCCTTGTGGTACGGCTTCGGGTGGCGAGACAGTCTCAACATCTCGGCGGTTTGCCATTGTTCCAATTTGCGCAGGCTCAGCGGTTTCAATAGCAGCCAATGGACCTACCGTATCAGATTCCATGCTCTCCCCCCTCGTAGTCTGCGACTGAGGAGCGACATATTCGACCTGAACGGTTCGCCGTTTTGCATCTCGGGGAGTCTTCGAACTCTCGGCTGGCTGTTCCTGGGAGACGTCTCCTGAGTGGTGAACGAGACCTCCCAAAGAGGAAACTGTGCTTTGGTATGTTTTGGGAGGCTCTCTAACAGACGCACTGCGTCCAAGAGAGGGGGCCTCTTTAGGTTGCTGTTGTTGTTCTGTTGGGAGGTAACCGGTTAGCAGGCAAAAATTTGCACACATCTTGAGTATATCATACCATTTGTCACAGTCGTGGTAGCAATATCAGCGACCTTAGTTGTGCTACTAGTTATATGCGACACAATGTGCGAGTATTCGCTGAGCCAACTATGCCGTGCAACCTCAAACAAATCTGCTCGCTTCCGTGGATCCGGCACCAGTATCCGCCTCAAGAGATCACGGGCATGTGGAGTTACGTATTCAGGGAACGTGAGAGGCGTCGTAACGATATACTTGTAGAGTAAGTTGATGTTATCGCCATCCGGGTTCGCTGGATCGTCATCAAAAGGCAGGTAACCGGCAAGCATTGCATACTGGACAGGGCATATGTTAGGATTTTCAACGTGTTAGGCTACAACACAAAATCAGCTAGGTCCTTACCAAGATGACACCGCAGCTCCAAACATCCACTTTACGTCCGGTATACAGCGAATCGCTAACAACGAGCTCTGGTGCGGCATAACAAGGGCTTCCACAACTAGTTTGCATCAAATCACCACGCCTTAAGCCCTTGGCATTGGGTCTGTCAAGGCGCATCCTCTTCACAAACTCCTTGTTCGTAAGATTGTACTCAATCTCCTCGCCCAGCTCATCGACTGGATCAAACGTATTCGCGAAGCCAAAATCTGTGATGATGATATTGCGGTTTCGGTCCAGTAATAAGTTTTCCAGCTTTAAATCGCGATGGACAATTCCCTTTTTGTGGAGGTAGCCGACACCAGATACTAACTGCGCAAAGAGACGACGAGCAGCATTGTCTTTGAGATATCGGTTGTTCAGTATATGGTCGAAAAGTTCGCCACCGGACGCGTATTCCATGATGATACCGATGTGCCTATCGGTCTCCACCATCTCATGGAGCCGGACGATGTTGGGGTGGGAAAGATCGCGCAAAATCGAAATTTCCCGATAAATCTTGGGGAGCCGGCTGGGATTCGATCCAAGAGATTCTCTCCGGATTAGCTTGATAGCCACTTGAATACTGCCATCTCTCTTCCATCCCAGCTTCACTTTCCCAAACTCGCCCTCTCCCAGCGTTTGTCCCAGGATGTATTGACCAAATGTAGTTTCCTTCCGCTTAATCGAATTCTCGGTGTAGTCATGCCGACTTCGCAGCCCGCCGCGACCTCCGTCATCTACGCCATCACTGCCGACCAAGCCTAGCCCAGGAGTTGGAGCATCGTCAGTCGAGGGAGATACCGATGTACCAGCTTGTCGGACTTGTTCTCGCTCAAGATCTACCGATGGGTCGCTCACTAATACTTGGTTAATGACTGCGCTCGACTCTTTCACCAGATTTCCTTGGCCCGCAGACGACTCTACAGGGTCCTCCGAGCGTATGGGCGCAGCAGAAGACGAAGCTGCCTGGCTCCGACTGCTCGCCCCCGCTCCTCTAGACGGGTCTTCGGACGTCCTTGGAGCTTGTCGCCGCGACCGTGAGTCGTCCCTTTTCCTCTCGCGGTGGTTCGTGCTCCGCTCATCACCTTTGCTCTTCCCGTGACGCGATCCTGAGACCTTCTCGCTCGAACCGTGGCTTCGTTGAGTTGAAGATGTCCTCGGTGGTGGAATAGGCGGTGCACCGAGAAGGTCGGGATATATGGGGGATCGGAGGGCAGGCGCAGGCGCCGCCGAGGTCAGGGCTGGGGTTGCATGAGCGGTGCGTGGTAGGGTCTGCGATTGGGGGTCGCTCATAGCCGAAGAAGCTGTCGGGACCAGGACAGAAGGTGACTGCTGAGAACTTAGCGCACCGTCCATTCTAGGACCGGGTGAGTGATTTGACAGTCACAGCTGCTGCGTGGACCCAGTCTGAGAATTTGAGAAATGACGTGACACATAACTGAAATGAAAGGTTGATACACAAATTGGATGGGCAAGTGAAGTAGTAAATATGGTGGGGTTGGCAGTTGTGTAATGAGGAACCGTTTGCATAGCAGGCGACATACCTCGTTTAATCCAGGTGCCGCAGTGCCCAAGGGGTAAAGATGCTGCGTTACGGTCCGAGACAGCTTCTCCAGGCACGCGTACACAGAATTGTGGGTGATCACCTCACTTTGCTTGACCAATTGCGATCGGCGACGGAAGTTGATATATCAAAACCCTCCAGAGGGTTGTATGTTTGAAGAATTTTTTTCCACTTTTTTTTTCCCCTATCCGCTAGACTTGAGTGCTAGTTGCTGGTCCGTTCGGTCGGGCACCTAAGCTATTGATTTGAGTTAGTTCCACGATGGTCAGAACAACCGAGAAGGGTGTAAGGGAGATAACTGACAATCAACGGACAATTCGGAAAGGGTACAGGGCAATAATAAACACAGTGGTCGTTGGTATATCGAGGACGCCAGGTCAACAAGCTAACGGGTTAGCGGGGAGAAGCGACAACGAAGCACGCGCGTAGAGATGACCGATCACTTGATGGTCTCCCAATGTATTCTTTTTTCATCAAATTTTTATAGGTTTTTTTTTTCCCCTTTGCTTTCTTTCCCACGAAACCAGACGAGTAGGAAATATCTGCACTGCAGAGTCGCCTCTCGTACTTCACCTCTCTCCACAGCTATCTACTACCCAGTTGGGTAATACGGTTGGGGTGGAATGTGAGAACTCCGGAGACGAGACCGAACAAAAACGCGGGCGGAGAGGCAGCCTCGGAAGACGCGATTTCAACCACCACGAGCCCACTTCTGGGTCCTTTTTGAGTCGAGATTGGCGCGAAATTTCTCTTTCCACAGCGCTTCACCGGCTCAACACTGCTGGATGAATTGACAAGGCAGAGTGTAGGCTGCGACGAGAAGCATGATCGACTTGAAGGAAAAGAATTGAAGAAGAGGCAAGAGGGGTGGTGGAGGAGGTTCGACCCTCTGTGATCCGGAGAGCGGACAGGGGGGCGGCGCGAGGGGAGATGAAGAGCCGGCGGGAAGTGAACCAACCCCAAAAAAAAAAAAGAACGGGTCGGATGGGCCTCGAAAGGGTGAAATAATTGGCACCCAAGGGAGGGGTGGCAGAAACAGGAAAGAAACGAAAGAAACGAAGAAGAGGACCAAACGGGGTGGGGGAAGAAAAGGAATTGGAGAGGAAAAGCGAAGAGAAGAGGAACAGACGGAAAGGATGATGGGAAAGAGAAGGGAAAGAGTAAGACCATGAAAGTGAAAGAGAAAGCAAAACCCAGTATGAGTTGGAGCTTGGATACCCTCTTTGTTTTCCCCTCCCGGACCAGTTACCAGTACTAGCTTAAGGTACTTGTTCCTACAAAGTAACTAAGGTAGCAGTAAGTCGTAGTTGTATGGGATGGTACCTGAGTTACTGACTTGCAACTAAGAACTAGAACCAAAGTAGACTACCTTGCTTTTGCTGGCCCGGGGCGAAGAGAGAAGGGGAAAAAAAAAAAAGAAAAAAAGAACAGTAAACGTAGCGGGTCTGCTGAATTGGACCCAACAATTAGCTAAAACTGTCCAGCACTACTATTGATCATGATTATGACATGGTATGAGGTTCTGTATAATTATAGTGATTATAATGAGCCCAAATTGTGATAAACCGGAAGAGATAATTCTCAATCTCCGTGCATGAATATGGACCAGTATCTTTTACAATGCCGTTCCTGGTATAGTTGAGTGGATTATCCACTTACTTGACTTGCTTGTTGGTTCTCGAGAGACAAGATCTCCCGAAAGCAACCATGAGCAGTGAGTACGTAGACTTTCCTCTTCCCAAAGGCCTGAACGTGTTCTTGTCCCTTACCTTGGTGGGCTGGGATTAATCTGGGCACTAACCTAAAGATATTAATAGCGAATACTCCGGGGTTAGTACTGTTGCTGCATCCTGAGGTTTCCCAAGGACCGTTACCTTTCAAAACGCTAACTAGTAGGTGCTACGACATCACTAGTACCTAGTATATCCACCCTACTGCATTCAAATGTACGTGCTGTTACATGGAGAAATATGTAGGTACCATAGTACGTCCAACCGTACATTAAAAAAAACACACACGGGATAAGAGACGACAACACCGTTGTTGTTTTGTTTCTAGACAGACTGCGCTTCAATTCGGAGATGAAAGTTGCCAAGTCATCAGGGGTAAAGCGAACCACTGTTTCATCTCCCGGGACGGCAAGTTCACTAGAGCCTCTGGGACGAGCCGATCGTCATCTTGAAGCGCCGGTGCGATGATTCTAACGCTCCTGATTGGCCCTGGAGCCGGCGTTGCCTTTTCGGAGCACTCCGTACCCCTGCCACTTTAGCGCCAGTTCTGAACCCAGGGATTTATTATGATTTTTCTTTTCCTTTTTGTTTTGTTTCATTTCTCCAGAGAGCTCTAACTACGTACTTACTAACATTAGCCTACTGCAATTATATCACCCTAAAGAGTTACTTACAGCTATCTAGAGTAGTGTAGCAGTATCTATGACGACCGGCCAACCCCCCGTCCTCTCCCCTTACTAGCCAACTTGTCTGTAGGGATGTCACTGACCCGGAGTTCTCTCTCCCAATGGTGGCTTGGCTAATCGGAATCTCGATGATTGTCTGTTATTCGTGAGCTTAAATTTCTAATCTTCTGGGTTTGCTGATCATATTATCTATCTTATCTTCAATATCTTCCTTCATTCTTTGCGTCCCGCATTCCAAAGGAGATCTCCATTGCCCCGGAGTTAAGCCAACCTGTCATATTCTTACATAACCTTTTTAGCTCGACGCATGAAATATCAACCAATATCAATGGCGTAGTAATGCAGACATATGGTAATGTATCCATCCATCGACAGAACATGGTTTGTTAACTTACAATAAAGCAACACTTTACGGTAGACCCTCACTTGAACATGGATATCCCAACACTTAGTTGTAACAACAATCCAATAAAGGAGGTAAATAGATATATACACCCAGCATATCCTACTCGGAAGGATTCCTCAGCCTATAAAGGCACTAAACTATCAAACACTATTATAGTGTACATGACATTCTCATCCGAGAGACATTCCTCCTAAACTCTATCTACCATTGATAACAGCCACCCTACCTTGCATGCCCATCAAACTCTGCTTTAGAAAAGGGGAAAAAAAAGAAACTAATTCTACGACTCATCACCTATTTACCCAAAAACCAATGCCGCATGTAATATCCACAGGATAGGCAAATTATAAATTCAGCTGCGCCACAGGCCTCAGACCTTTTTCTTTTTCTTTTTTTTTTTACATAATCCGTTGCGCGGTTACCACGCCGATACCTCTCTCCCCTCACTTTTACAGGGATTGCTATGCACCTCCTATTAGAAAAAACAGTTGTAAGGCTTCCCCATGACTGAAATCCTGCAAGGGCGCTCGCATGGAATGTTCTAGTCTCCTAGTTGTGTTCTGTTATACGGTTCTCTGTTTATGCCTTACTTTTAGAAGCTGTATCAGATCTGATACCTTTAGAAGGCATTTGGTACTGTAGGTACCCGCCCTCTAAGTAGAGAGGCAGAGGCACATTTGATGTACTATGTTTCAAAGTGGCACCTCAATATCTCAGCACACGCTGATTTGAAATGGTAACGTGAAAGAGCGTTTGATGGTCCTCCGTTGGCTATGTGTATGTGTACTTCTTTGTTAATCGATAGTATATCAATGCTAATTATGGAGTTTGAGATTCTTATTATCTTCTATTGTGTTGGCAATGCGCGCAGGAACCAGATTCATGCCCATGCTCACTCCTAAATTGTTGAACTAGTAAATATTCAAAAGGCTGTTATATTCTTAGATAGAGATTCTAAGCATGTTTGCCTCTTTAGCGTTGTATATACTAGTACAGAGCTTACTACTGTGGCAATATGAATTAATCGTCTAGTATATGACTTTTTAGTTCTTTTTAGATAAGCTCTGTGCATTACTCTTATGCTATCGAGCACTCGGTATCTCTCAGTCAGCCGCTAGAACATGCAAACTTCGTAGGACATTCCTTGTCAACTATATATTCTTCGATTTTTTTCGTATATCGCCTTTCTGGGTTATTACCATCATAGAGCTTTCCTTAATACAGGCCCTGTTGTGTCACACCAGGGCAGCCAACTCCTCCACTACATCAGGTATTCGCTCTCGTATCGTACTCGGCTCACACCCTTTTCTTTTGTGCCGCGACTTGCGAGAAGAGCTGTGTGAACAAGAGGCATTGAGACCAGTGGCCATGAATCGTGGTGGGGCCTCCCCTGACGACCGATACCAGATTGATCTCTTGAAAGTTTGAATGTAAATTCAGATGAGATCTTGGAAGCACATCATTCTATCCTGAAGGAAGCCTGAAAATCACTGCATATCTAAAGGGGAGTGCCAAGAGAGAGTTTTGACTCCTTCGGGGCTATAACCAAGCTGACGAATGATCTTACCAGATATCTCTGCTGGTTTCATCCCATTTGTGACATTGCTTTTGTAGAAACGTGTGTAAAGCACATTTGAAGATTTCTGTTCAGCTGACCCCTCGCTTTGATGGTGTCGAGGAAGCTCTGAAGTTACAACCCATAATCGACATTAGTAGTAAACAGTAGCCTTCCATCTAGTTATGGAAAAGCAATCCGTAGTGGAATGGGAGTCTTTCCTCCTTTCATTGAGAGGACCTCTGTGTCTATGATCCATGTGTTTCTGGTGTTGTTTTTGTACTGGCGCTGTAGAGCTCCTAGGTCGTCAATTACCTCATGGACGAGCTTCAATTCTTATTTGGGAATATTGATTTTTTGGAACTTGTAGGTCGATACAAGATCAATAATTGCTTCGCTACGCCCAAAAAGTGTTCGAGGTCGTCATTGGCAGAGACCATACTCTCCGGCTCATCAGAACGATATATGTCGAACGGCCACGCCAGGACCGGTCCCCCGTACGCAGGACGAATGGCAGTCGCTATGGGCTCATCCGAATCGTTGGGCGAAGACAAGATGGATGGGCCAAGGCCCCGCTGCTCCGCCGCCAGGCGGCCCCCCCCAGCGCGAACGGCTTCATTCGACAACTCACAGTCCCACGATTCTCCTTGGCGGGCCTTGAAGTCTTGCGCGTGGGGGCAGGTGGAGGACTTCCTCGCCCAAAGGCAGTTGGCGCAGGATCCCCATAGAATCCCATAAACAGATTTTCGGAGGACAACTCGGGAACCCCCCACCAAGGACTGAAAGGTTCCACAATTGACGCAGGCAGCACAACGAGAGGCGCTATCCTTTTCAGGCCCTCGCAGAATGATCCTCGCAGTATTGAGACCCGGGTTTGTCTTATAGGAACAGTTCGGGATAGAGCACGTTCTGTGGCCATCCACCAACTCGGAGATTTTGCAAAGTGCTCTTAAGAGAGCGGTCTGACCCCTCAAGTACTCCTTTTTGGTAGATGTAACTTCATGGCTCTCTTCATCCTCGCCTACCTGCTTTTTTTCACCGCCTAATACGCTATATTTGGTGTTCTTTCTTAGGCTGTGTCCGTCTTCTGCATTTGTAATGTTGGTCGCATCGTTTAGACGACTGAATTCTTCACTCATGGACTCAATCCACCATTTCATGTGATCGATCAATTGCTGTGTTATTGTAAACAAATAGACAAACTGGTCGTTTCTGAGACATCTCAAGGACAGGCCGTCTATATTTGAGAGTTGAAAAGGTGTATATATTGGGTCTATAGCCGAAGCCACTGGCGCGCCAAGGGAATGTTGCCAATGAGGACTCTGAGGTTGGTATACTTCCCTTGGGTAGGGCTGTATAAAGTGTTGCGGTGATAGTTTGCATGGACAGGGCTTGTGTACACAGCCCGGGGTATACATATATTGGCGTGGATGCCAACGTTTTTCATCGAAAACTTCCCAAAATCCTTCGCGTGATCTGTGAACTATCTAGTGTGAGATAACTCAGCTCTTAGCGGCGGCGAGTGCATTCTTCGACATTGGAACAGCCGTTCCAGAGACACTGTTGTGATTACATCCTGGCAGTTGAACCGCAGGCTTCCGGAGGACAAGGCTTGGGCTAAGTCCTTCTGACTGAGGTTTTGCGCTTTTACCGTGATGATACAAGAACACTTATGTGTGAGCATAGGACGAGGCAAGGCGGCAGACCGATAGTCACAGCGCTTAGGCGAGGATAAAGTGTGCTGAGTACATATGTATACCTTTGAATGTAGAGACTTCCGGCAAGTAATCTGTAGAAGATATCGTATATAAATTGTATTTGACGATTAACGAACGATTAGATTGATGATCATTAGTACTATCAAGAAGGCCTCTCTAGGGGCGAATTACAGGCCCTTTTATATATGGCTTCATAACAAAGGAATCAACGCCTCGCGTGAACTAACAAAGCACCTTTTTACTAGGCATGGGCATATGCTTGTGATACTAGGTAATTTCATCCTTGTATTCAATAGGATCCACGCGCAGCGAGCGTGCCTAGAAGAAACAGCGTTAGAGGAGACGGGATGCTCCTATCTTGGAAAGAAAGGAACACAAGTTATTAATATGCCTATAGAATTATCTAGTATTGCAGCTAGATGATTTATGTCTAGTCAAAGTTTCTTTGTTGAATCAGGTAGAGCCTTGAACTCCTTTTGTCTTGCGACCACATAGAAAAAAGGCTCATGAGATGGGCCTTCCTGATAGTTTCTGGGATCCTCAATTTGATTGTTTTCTGATTGTATTATATAATTTCTAATTCATTCTTTCTTCTCCAAATAGTTCAATGTTCACATTGCGGTGAAGTCTGCACAAATGCATATGCATATATACTATAATAGATCAACCTAAGTTATAGAACAAACTAAATCAAGGCTGGGAAAAACATTTTAGCAAATACTTCTAATTTGTAATATAATGTCTTGACATTACTAAACTAAGCGTGAAATCGACCGACTGGCCTAGTGGTTATGGCGTCTGTCTTACATAAACAGATCTAATGTGATGTGTAAGTTACACAGAAGGTCGCAGGTTCGACCCCTGCGTCGGTCAATTTTTAGTGCACATTTTCATGTCAAATTTTTTATGTATATAATATATATGGGGTGGGCGGGGGAATGATTTTCTTGATACTCAAGCCTTACCTCACTAAGTCTAGGCTCCTCTTATCGCCTTTCATCTTTGAACCAATCCTGAATGTTAAACTGAAGTGCACCATCTGATTTACCAGGGCTGGCCGAAGAAGACAATCCTGTGAGCCATTCTTTTTTCATTTCTTAGGACGGAGTGATTCTATGCTCGGGTTTAGGTGTCTTTGAAAACATTTATGTACAAAAATTTAATATAGAACATTAAGCGCGCCGTAACTGATATCAAGCTCTAAGCGCTAACAATTTTATAGCCAAATAGTCATGAAGTCCAACCGTCATATAAGAGGAACTGACAGAAAGCCGAACAACGAAAGGGGAAAGAAACAAAGATAATCATCGAAACTATATCGAGATGCTTGTGTATTCCGCCTTCACCGTTTCCCCCTTGATACACTTGTTCCACCGAGCGAGGTTGTGTTCCGAGCACTATAGGCAGGGGGTGGAGTGGGTGCCGGGGATGGGCGTCTTGCAACCGGATCACGGCCATTTGGTCCTAAGGTGCTATTGCTCCGGCCCCCTGCACCGGAAGGGAGATCTCCGCCATCACCACCACCGACAAGAACCTGCTTTCCATCGCGCATGCGCCCGACAACCATGCCCTTAGCCACAGACTTAAGGACTGCTTTGCGACTGACCCCTGTGGCATCGATATAGACTAGTCCCACGTTTTTCACGCCCCCGGTCAAGTCGCTTGCCACAGAGCCGGCTTCAGCTCCATAACGATGTCCGATCATCGTACTGGCAGCAGCTGAGCCGTGAGTTAGTACGGTGCGGGCACTCTGCTCAATACCATCTGCCAGCGTCGAGAACGCAATCATCGATTTGTTCAGAATGCCCGGATTGTAGTCACCGTTCACTGCCTTGTCACCCTTGCGCTTGGGGTCCTGATTGCGGCGGGTCAAGGAAGCTCCGAGATTCTGCGCGTACTTACCAACCTGGCCAACGGTTTTGGCAGAGAGGTCGGCGGCACCATGTGTGAAAGACCCAACTTTCCGGACCCTTGTGTGGGTGTTCTCGGAGAAGGTCATGGGCTTTGGATTAGGTTTTGTCTTCTTGGTAAACGATTCGGCCCCACTCATCATCATATTGGCAAGATATGAAGAACCGGTCACAATCAGGCGGGAGGCTGTAGCGGAAGTTTGAACAAGTGTTGAGCCCTTGTATGCAGGATGCCGAGCCATTTGCAAATATTCTTCAGATACATTACTGACGTTGACTCTGTTGCCTTCGCCTTCTGCAGGAAGCTCTATCTCCACCGGTCCTAGAATACAAGTTAGCCTCGTGCTGTGTCTCCTAGAGTATGGGATTGACTTACTCTTAGAGCCAGGCTTGACACCAGGCTCCTCAACCACATCGTATCCTTCCATCTCCCCAACGACACTGCCATCCTCCTCATCAACGAGCACTATCCGCCCATGAGCGTCCTTCCGATCAGAGCTCGCGGATGAGATATACCCCTCACCCGGCGCGAAGGCAGCTGGGTTGTACGGAGCATGCCCTTTCGGTGGAGCTGCTCGCTCCAGGAACGCGGTACATTGTGCTAGAATGGTCTCGAAGGTATCCACCTCTTCCTGGGCCACCTGACCGGGACCGCTCCCAATGGCCGGGAATTGTATGCGGATGAATGCACCTGCATCGGGCCCCAAATCCCAACGTGGGATTAGATAGCTGTTTGGTGGCTGGTGGTAGATCTGCGTAGAGGCTGGAAGTGCCAATTCCAACTCAGGGGGAAGATGTAGGTGCAGATAGAAATCTTCCTCTGCTGGTGCATCGTAGGAGCTCTGAGGTGTAGGAGCATTTGTCGGGACCATTAGTAGGGCAAGGGTTTGGGGACCCGATGGGGTGAGGTCAGTTTCTTCGCCATTCTGAATGTGGAAAGCCGTGATGTTGTTGACGCTGTAGAGGAGACGAGGGTCATGAGCGGCGGCTGACATGGTTGATACTCAACACCGACGTCCGATAAGGTTGAAACTCTTGTTTATTGCCAAAAGCGGGGGTTGTTGTTGATACTACCGCGGGGAAAGCGATAGTATACTAGATAGGAGTCGTCTCAATCAGAAAAGCAAGGTGCTCTTGAGTACCTGCCTATAATATGAGAGATAAGACGATCGGGAGGTTTCAATCTCTGGGAGGACAAGGGCAGGTAATATATCTCAGGCAAGAGAAAGTCTTGGTCTTTGGAGGGGCCTATCGTCATAGCCAATGACGTTGTTGAAGTCACTTCTGCACTCCAGATTAGATAAGCATTGAGTCCCCCCTTTTCCATTTTGGGTCTCAACAGGTGCTGCGCCACATCGCAAGGAGGACGGCACCGCCACCGATTACTTGTCTCCCTTCGCCACAAGTGGCTTGTCCCCAATCATGTCAATTGGCATGTGAATACTGTTGGGGATGTTGATGTCCATCCATTCTGTATCCAACTCCATCCTTCTCTCTGTATCTCTCTCTCCTGTCCCTTTCTTTCGCTGGTCGGGATTCGCCTACAAACCATAAACGTGGTCTCTCCCCAACAGTACCACATAATATGTACCAGACGGTTCTATTTCGGTCACAGTCCCCGGTGTTTTTCAGTCTTAGCGGCGCTTAACCTATCAGTGATATCTTGGCATCGAATGGCGTGTTTTCAGATCCTGTCTCCTTCATCTAGAAGCCCCTGAGACGTACGATTTGTTCGACATCCCTCCCAAAGCGCCCTAGCTGGCGCTTCTGGGCGACATCGGTTACATTACAGACGATGGCTTGTTCGCCTTTCCTGAAGCTCAGCTTCGAGAGTTCCGATCGTCTTTTTCCCTCTTATGGTTCCCTGGAACCATGAGCCTCATCATTCTACTTGGACGACAGTGAAAGACAAAATACAAGGCTTCTCTGACACCATCAACCAGAAACGAATGCAACTGGGCCAACAGTTGGGCGTATTTCATATTCATGGACCAGACACGCTACGATGTCTCCTCTAATGTGACTGTTTTGGGTTGCACATTATACTCTAGGTTCGCCAAAAATCAAGAAAATGCGCGTCAGCTCTGGCCTGAATTACTTTTTGCCACATACAAGATTGGACAGTTGAGGCCCACTGCACCGCTCATGAAACTGACTGTACATGGCTCAGCGACCAGATCTCTCATATTTCTTAGTCGGAACCCCATCGCAAGATAACTAGTCGTATTCAGTCATCATAGTCCAACCCTTGCAGCAGCAGCTGTTGACCTCCCCCGGTATGCCAATAGCCCCCTATCTTCGGAGTTCGCAACAGATTTCGTGGGAATACCACGCTGGGAGAATACCCGACTGTGCCTGTGGGCATTTGGACATACATATTACAATTGCGACTTCACAGACGACAGGACTGGAAAACGACTCGTGGCGAACCAGAGGAGGTACTACTTCGCTCAGACGGGGGCATTTGATCTGGAGAAAGTGGTTAGTGTCTGACCGACAGATTAAAACAGGGTATTGAGAATTGATCATCGGGAGATCACTCTCAGTCTGTAGTTGTAGTACTCCGTAGTAATAGCAAGAAATAAAAGCGAAACAGAAACTTGGAATCCCCGCGGCGACTTGGATGTCAACCCGCGGATAACACTGGGGAAGCTTACTGATAATCGATAGCCGTGGTTAACCGAGGTTCATCTGCAGCCCTCGTGATTTCCATTCAACTCCCTCCTCTTCCCACGTTCACTTCTCTCTCTTTCCTCGCTTTCCCCTCTTTTTCTTCTGTGCAGTCAAGCATCTGATTTTGTGCCCTTAGCTAGCTAAAGTTTCTTATTTCAACCCCTGCAATGGCGTCCATTTCCCGCGCGTTGCGGCCTCTGTGCCGCACTGCTCCCTCCTTCCGCTTGGCTGCGAGACGGCCATTGCCCTACTACTTTGCTAGGAGGTGTGTCTTTGACAATGGTTCCCTTCCTATGGCTTTGTCCAATACTTTTGGATTACCAATGGATCATACCCTTTACTGACTACCTCTGAATTAGCAATGGCCATGCATTCTCTACCACATCCCGCCGGCGGGATGTGGACCTGTCCAGTTTGACGCCAACCCCGATCACCCTATTCTCCGAAACAGAGACCATGATGGCCGATGCGGTGTCCAAGTTTGCGCAGGAGCAAATTGGACCTAAAGTCCGAGACATGGACGAGGCGGAAGCCATGGACCCTGCCATTGTCGAGCAGTTGTTCGAGCAAGGATTTATGAGTATTGAGACGCCCGAGGAATACGGCGGTGCCGGCATGAACTTCACATCTGCCATCGTAGCGATCGAAGAACTGGCACGGATTGACCCTAGCGTCAGTGTCATGGTTGATGTCCATAACACACTGGTGAACACGGCTATCCTAAAATACGGTGATGCCCAGGCGAGGAAAACGTGGCTGCCCAAGCTGTCTACGGGGACAGTTGGCTCTTTCTGTCTGTCTGAGCCTGCATCTGGATCGGACGCATTTGCTCTACAGACTAAGGCTGAAAAGCTGGCTGATGGGTACAAGCTGAATGGTTCGAAGATGTGGATCACTAACGCTATGGAAGCTGGCATCTACATTGTTTTTGCCAACCTCAACCCCAGCCAAGGCTACAAAGGTATCACAGCCTTCATTGTTGAGAAGGGTACACCTGGTTTCTCCATTGCCAAGAAGGAGAAGAAATTGGGTATCCGCGCCAGCAGCACTTGCGTGCTTAACTTCGACGACGTGGTGATTCCCAAGAGCAACCTCCTGGGTGAAGAAGGTCAGGGCTACAAATACGCCATTAGCGTCCTTAATGAGGGTCGCATTGGTATTGCTGCTCAGATGACTGGTCTGGCACTAGGCGCCTGGGAGAACGCTGCCCGGTAAGGATGGCCCGGACCTATGTTTCTGAAATCACGCCAAGTGACATTTACTAACCTTCGCTGATAGCTACGTCTGGAATGACCGCCGCCAGTTCGGCCAGCTCATTGGAACCTTCCAAGGCATGCAGCATCAGTTGGCTCAAGCTTACACCGAAATTGCCGCGGCCCGGGCCTTGGTCTACAATGCCGCACGCAAGAAGGAAGCGGGTCAGGATTTTGTCCAGGATGCCGCTATGGCAAAGCTGTACGCCTCCCAGGTTGCAGGTCGCGTGTCCGGCTCTGCCGTAGAATGGATGGGCGGAATGGGCTTCGTGCGCGAGGGTATTGCAGAGAAGATGTTCCGTGATAGCAAGATCGGGGCTATCTACGAAGGAACCAGCAATATCCAGCTGCAGACGATTGCAAAGCTTTTGCAGAAGGAGTATACCCAGTAAAATTGTTTTTTTTTTTAAAAAAAACCCGTTACTCTGTTGATGTTGCTAGATACCTGGCGTATGTGTTTGAGGGCTGTCGTCACCTGATGACCGCACGCGACCAATGAAGCATTCCTGTTGATCTTCCGTGAGTTCTGATGAACCAATTTGTATGATAAACTATAATTTGGGTATAAAAACCAAAGTTAAAGATATTCTCTACCATGTCACGGATGATGTCGTAAGCCCCTTCGGTCATATTGCCCACCAATAGGGCTAGGCATGCTACTCTGTCTTTACATACAAGCTCGCCTCAAGTGGATCTAAGATATTGCACAAAATTGCATCTAATCGTCAGCTCATGTTCTCAAGGTTGACTCAGTACTTTTTCGAGGTGCTGCCAATGCTCGAGTGTTGTTCACTGTAGCATATATGGTAACATTTCCATTCAAAACTTCCGTAATGTATATATGATTTAGCAGAATTCATCATAAATCATTTCCGTCAGGTGGGCGCCTGGTCGGTTTCTAGGAAGTATAATCCAGATTATCACTCGTATACTAAAGAGGCAGTTCGTTATAGCGTGGGATATTGAGGATGGATGTCCCGCTGTGATGACGAGGAAGATATCGTGGAAGCGGTTTTGTAATGGACCTGACAGTACAAGAAGAATCGGACATCGGGCACCACAGCAGCAGGTGGGCAAGGTTGACAATAGGTGTACGCAATGATAGCCCCATATACAGGCAGTATGGATGATCGGTTGTTTGCTTAGTGAGTGAACCAGGCGGGTGTTCTAATAGTGCTGTAGGTGCCCGGTGTGAAAAGCCATTCATAGGCACCCAGTCCATAAATCCAGTAGGGACCGCCTTCAATAGCCGCTAACAATCATGATCGGCGAGTCCAGTCGTAATTGTACTCGTGCCTTGGAGGTTGCTCTGGGACTTGTTGATACTGCTGGGTGGCGTGAAGGACGGGATATCCGCGAAGTTCCCGTTCTGATGGAATAGTCGGAACGGACATCGACCGCTGACTTGACACATATTGTACTGTGTGTTGAGGGTTGTGTGGATGTTCGGGTGGATGCTCCTCCTGGCGCACTTGGTTGTGGCCAGCCCCTTGGTACAAGTGTGAGTATGAGTGAAAAGCGGGTTCACGTGTGTGGCAACCAGGGGCGTTGAAGCTAGCTTGCGGTGCCGCGACTGTCATCGGGTTCGGCGTTTGTAACTGCCCTTCGAACATGAAAGATTCTACCCTACTGGGGTAGTCTGTATCTGACGATTCACAGATGGATGGTGACCCTGTGGAGTTATATTGTTGCCAGTCATGCGCACTAGAGACTTGACTAGATACTGAAAGAGCCGAAGGGGTTCTAGAAACTGGATTTACACTCAAGGGCTCTGTAAACTGGGTAGAAGGAAGCACGGGCCCGGAAGGAGCAGTGTATGAGCCCTCAGCTGCTTTAGGAAAGGGTCAGTCATGATCGCATTGCAACCACAGCAGGTAACTAGCGGTAAGACCGATGGCACTCACCTGGGTTTGAATAGCCTTGCCTACCTGTTGCCAAAGCCAGCTGTTGTCTTAAAGACCTAATCTCGTTTTCCAAAGCAGCATTTCTTCGGACAACGTGATCATACTGTTCCTTTTTAGATTTCAGCTCAGCCACTTGGTGCTCCAAGCGTTCGATATGCTCCTTTGTCCGCTGACGGATGGTCCTTTGGGCCTCCCGATCGTTGGCGCGCTTCCTTTCGAGTTGCTCCGCCGAGAGAGACGTCACTTTCCGCCCAGTACGGGATTCTCGTTTCTTAGGCTGAGATTCTGGATTGGAAGCCATCATGTGCTTGCGGCTATAGTAGCCGACCGGAAGTCCGAGGAGGGGTAGCAAGTCCTTTGGGGATGACAAGCATGAACATCGAAGAGATGAATGTGAGGCATCCCAGTTTCTCGCGCGGGCCACAGGGGTCGTATCACCCAATACCTCAGGAGGTGACTATAATCGTGCCATGTGCGTGGATCGCACTAAAATATGATGTGCATGTCCAAGCGAAAGGAAAAAGAAACCGCTTGTTAGAAAGCGGGTGGATAGAGGAGAAGTTGTATGCTTCGATTTTGGACGGAAAAGGCTCGCTCTTGCGGGAAGCTGAGCCCGCAAAGCCTCATCTGGACGGGTACTTTTGGAACTAGGCACATTCTGGCCCTAAAATACCTAAAGGCTTGGACTCCAGCTTGTCGCTAAGCGTAAGGGTCGATTCCCGAGCAGATGAGCTCCCGACAATAACCCCCCCCCCTGTTCAACAACGGTCCCTCTGCTGTGAAGAACGCCAATGGGCGTGCGCAGAGGACCGAAAACCCTGTGAGAGGGGGCGTCGATTACGACGGGCGTAGCGCCTTTCCTCCAAACGAGCTATTACTATGGGTCTGGCGCGATGTTATGTGCACTTTCCGGCCCTCCCGACCTACAAGTTTTGCTCTAATTTGCAATCAGCAATCCCCCGGCACCCTTACCTAGTACCCTAGCTAATCGACGGGGTTGCTTGACGGCGTCCAGTGGCTGGAATCCTGCTGATAGGCCAGAGCCAGTCATGCATAGTGATACTGCGCCGCGCTACCCATGTCTCCAACTGGGTTCGCTGGTACTGGCTCTTAGAGAACTTCGGTACTCTTGAAATTTTATCGACCCAATGTTCGTACAGAAAAGATTCTATCAACAAGTGGATCCTAGGGCATCCAGGCCACATGGTGAGACCAGCTAAAATATTCCCAGATTATCCAGGGCCACCAGAAACTTCGATTTTGTTTCGGCCAATGAATTTTATCCTGACTTGCAGTTGAAACATCCAACCGAGAATGACGGCTCAGTTCCTGCCCTCTTTTCGTAAAAGGAAGGAGCCTGCCATACCTGATGCGTAAGGGTTTCCCACATTGAACCCACTTGACCACGAGAAGTGGAATGCATCCGAAACGATCATCGGCCCTTTATTTGAAAAGAGAGAGTAATTCCCAGGATCTGCCGGTCTTGGCGATTGCCAGATGAACAAGAAGCTCTCTGGTCAATAAGATTCGGCGAATCGTGCGTCACCCATCTTAGCGCCACGAGCCGGATCAGTTCTCTATGCCCAACGTGGAAAGCCGAGTCCAAACTTGAGCGTGGGTGTAGCCCTTCCGGATCTTGGAAAGAGCCCCTAAAACAATCAATGGGTGGTGCTGACCACGAGGTAGGTAGATCGACTCCACTTGCGTATGGGCTCTTCTCTAGTCTAACTACGATTCGTTGGACCGAAGCGGAAGAGAACCGGAGGGTCCATAAAGGTTGCCCAGCTTATCGAGAAGCGGCATTGGTTTGTTGGGCCAACAAGAATCGGAGGGCTAAGTTAATAAGAAATCGCCCCTAGGATCGAGGAGAATGGTCAAGGGAGGAGGGGCAAAGAAGGGGGTGGTCAGAGAAAAAAAAAATTGGTAAAAAAAAAGCAATTCGATTTTTTCTTTTTGGGTGCGGCGCAGTTAATAGGAGGGCTAGTTGATGCATGACGCACCAACAGTCCCTACGACGGTTAGTAGTCTAGAATTTATAATGGATGGAGTACATTTAGAAATCCCACCTTTTCATTCTTTTTTTTTCGTTTTCCCTTCCTTCAGTTATCGGGGTTTCCCCTTTTTTCTCCCACAACCCGTTTCGGAGACAGAATCTCCGAAGCAGGATCATCCTTTACGTAGTATAGGTCAAATGTGACGTAGAACAGTGAGGTTTGATGGGGAACATTGTTGATTCTCCAATATTCTTAACAATGCCGAGAACCGAGAATACCCCGGAGTACGCAAGTAATGCTGGCCTAAACAATAGCATGCAGTGGACGCCGTACTAATGCCGTGTGTGGTGGGCCCTCGTAGCTGCATAACATATCAGAAAGACTAATAGCATCATCGCTCTTTTGATGGACAAAAGTGGTCGTTTACATTCCTAAAAACCGACGAAGATCGACTCCGCGGAATACCCGGTTCATAGGTGATTTGTGTGAATAAATGTTGTCGAAGACTCCCTGTTTCATGTATAATCCAGCCTCTAATCTCAGGATTTAATCACGTTAGTTACTATTCCTGGTCATCAGAAAGCAAGGGTAGCGTCGCTACCGTACCAATCATTAGCCATCCTCCACGCAACAGATTCTTGAGTTGGTGCTGAGACGCAGGCCCGAATAATGATGGTTGAGCTAGAGAACTTTTCCGCAGCAAGCAGCTGTGATAGTCCATGGTGAAAGGCCTATGAAAGTCTTATTCAGTCTTGTATCTTAGAACCTCTTGTGTCTCTTTACGTAGACAGAGCGAGCCAGTCCCATGGGATGTGACTCTGCGGGATCAAAGTAAAATTAGAAATTAAGCTGACGTTGGTGGACACGAGTCATGGATCGATTGATTCGATGCCTAAGGGGAAGTCGAGTACGAGGTATGTGGATCTTAGTAGATAGTTGGTTCCCTTTTTGTTGTTTTACTTACCCCTTGGATGCTTTTCGGATCGATCCCCCACCTCTCTCTCTGCCACCTGAAGAAGTATATACTTCGTTGGGACAGCGTCGGGAGAAAATCGATTTAGCACAATTGGCCTTCGTTTTTCCAAGGGGATAATGCCAATGAGTCCAGGTAGCTATGGGTATTGCCAGCTTTTGCAAATGCCTGTTCGAGACAAGCAATTGGAGAATTGCGTGGAAGTTGGCAGAAAATTGATCGATTATCTGCAATAAGACACATGGAGGGGGTGAAAGGCAATGGGGGTAATCAGATTACCATACACCGTACTAATAACCACAACCCCCGCATGCACCCGAATTGTTTCGTCTGTATTGTACAGTACCGTACAAGCACTGCTTTGGGATGCAAGTTGTTCATTTCCCCAACTTCTTTGTTTCCGAGATTCTAATCCACTGGTGCAGCCCTTCGCTGGGTATGGTTCTCTCCTAACGAAGAATAATAAAGTCGCAAGGAAGCGAATTGAGTCATCAAAAACGATTCTCCAGCGACGACTGATCTATCAACATGGATTCGACTTATAAAGCTCGAAAAGAGGCGTTTGTGTCGAATCTCGCAGGTGGTAGCATCCTGGAAATCAACGCCGTCACCCTCATTGCCCCTGTGAGTGTGGCCTTCCTACTAGTCTTTCTACCTACACGGTCGCGCCTTGGCTAACACACTGAAACAATCAGGCTTCGGTTCTGCTTTGGTCGGTGCTCCAATCTCGTCTCTCCTTCTTCAATCCGTATGGTGCGCCGGCATTGGTCACCGATTTCTTCCTGAATGTATTATCCATTCTCTTTGCAACTACGCTCTATGCATCTGCGCCATGGACCCTCAATATACTCCTAGTCCTTCCGGCTCTCGGATTACTCCTAACCTCGACACCGCCCCGTGCCCAACAGAAAGCCAAACCTCCGCGCTCTTCCCCTGTAGCTAAGAAGAATGCCCCGAAGCAAGCATCTGACTCGTCCGAACCATTGCCCGTTCACCCTTTTCTCACGACCTATCGCGCCGCAATGATGGTGATCACCTGTGTTGCTATATTGGCTGTTGACTTCCGCATCTTCCCTCGGCGGTTTGCGAAGGCTGAAAACTGGGGTACATCGCTTATGGATCTTGGAGTCGGGTCGTTTGTATTCTCTGGTGGAGTGGTGTCTGCTCGCTCGGTACTGAAAGGTCGGAATAACCGTTCCAAGAAGACTCCCCTCTGGCAGAGGTTGACGGCATCTACTCGACACTCGATTCCTTTGCTCGTATTAGGGTTGATCAGGTTATATAGCGTCAAAGGTCTCGACTACGCGGAGCACGTAACCGAATATGGGGTACACTGGAACTTTTTTTTCACACTGGGTTTCCTGCCCCCATTTGTGGAGGTGTTTGACGCCATAGCCACGCTCATTCCGTCTTACGAGATCCTCTCCCTGGGTACTGCGATCTTATACCAGGTAGCCCTAGAATCCACCGACCTTAAGCGCTATATTATAGTCGCCCCCCGCGGACCGGATCTGTTTTCTAAGAATCGGGAAGGCATTTTCTCCTTTCTGGGGTACCTTGCGATCTTCCTTGCTGGCCGTGCGATTGGCATTCGAATCATCCCGCGCGGAACGTCACCCTCACAGTCACCCCAACAGGCCAGGAAGAGCACGCTTCTTAGCTTGGGACTGCAGACTTTGATCTGGACGACGCTTTTCGTATTTAATTCTACCTATGCGATGGGATTGGGGGCCAAAATTCCAGTTTCGCGCCGTCTGGCTAACATGCCTTATGTGCTCTGGGTGTCTGCCTTTAACAATGCCCAACTCTTTCTCTTTTGTCTCCTCGAGAGTGCATTCTTCCCCTCAGTTCACCGGGAGGCTGGAAAGGACGGCGAACCCGAGCGGACATCATTTGCGACAAGTCGCATCATGACGGCCTTTAACAAAAACGGATTGGCGTTGTTTCTCGTAGCAAACCTCCTTACGGGAGTAGTCAATCTGAGCGTCCCGACGCTCGATGTTACCACCGCGCAAGCCATGACTGTTTTGATCGCATATGTGGCCGCCATAACCGGCATCGCACTAGCACTGGACCGAGCTAACATTAAGCTCAGCCTGTGAAAACATAGCGGTCGCATACTTTCTATATAAAGCTATGTAGAATACCAAAGAATAGATGTACAGTACATACTAGACGAGACAAAGTAAGCGTAACCAATTAGATTAGTGATGCGAATACAGTGGCTTGGCGCTCGACCACATGCTGAACCGCGGTCCATTCTTCAACGGATTTAATAACAAAACCCATTTGTTCCTTCCAAACTCCAAACTTCCTCCACACTCCTCGATCCCATTAATCACAGCCAGCGGGTCGAGAGATCGCCCATATCTCGCGATGAGCTCCCAACCGCAGTTCATCCATTATCCCGAGGTCCGCGAGGGACCGTCCGTCCCCTATAAGAATGAAGACCAATCGATTCCCGTCTTCCGAGGCCTCCCTCTAGCTATCGGAGCTACTCTGTATGTAAGCTTGCAAATTAATCAGGTCTCCCCACATAATAAAGGCAAAAATGGGAGGAAGAAGAAGAAGAAGATGATGATGATGAAAAACGAAAGAAAAGAGAGAGACAGAAAGAGAGAGAGAGAGTGTGTGTGAACTAACACCTATCTAAATCAGCATCCACAACGTGAACTTCATCCAGAGCTATTTCTGGCGCAATGCCGGTTTCGACATCATCCGCGATATCCCCCATCTAAAGCAGTATTCCGCTCGTTATGATCCCACCGTTATCCCCGTTCTCGATGATAAGCCCGATGGTGCCTCCTCAGTCGAGCTCCCAGTCCCAACTCAGAGGAGAAAAGGTTCCTCGGGGTACTATACTTCCGCCGATTACCATGCGCTGTATAAATCTGGTGAATTGACACCACTCGCCGTGGCCGAGACCCTGATGCCATTTATTCGGCGAGATGCGAAATCCCCCGGTAAGCACTCTGTTGCGTTCCTGGACTCGCAATCCGAGCGGGTTCGTGCGGCAGCGGAGGCGTCGACAAAGAGATACAAGGATGGGAATCCGCTGGGCCCGCTGGACGGAGTGCCGGTTGTTGTAAAGGACGAGGTGCACATTGAGGGGTACCGACGGACGCTGGGTAGTAAGCTGGACTTCACAGGCGAATTCAAGGGGACGTCATGGTGTGTGAAGAAATGGGAAGAAGCCGGCGCAATCATCGTCGGAAAGACGACCATGCACGAGCTAGGCCTTGGTAAGCAGTGCAGTAGCCTAACACCTTAGACACACCCCGACAACAATGCTAACTTGCCGGAAAGATACCAACAACAACAACCCCAACCACGGGACACCCCGCAACCCCCATAATCGCGACTACTACTGCGGCGGCTCGTCCGGAGGCTCCGGCTACGCCGTCAGCTCAGGCCTAGTGCCTATCGCCCTAGGCGCAGACGGCGGAGGCTCAATCCGAATCCCATCATCCTTCTGCGGAATCTGGGGCCTGAAGCCATCACACGGCCGCATTAGTGGCGCGCCAACGGTACCCCTCGCGCAAACCGTCGGCGTCCTCGGTCCCATGGCAGCCAGCATCGACGATCTAGCCCTCGCATACCGCATCATGGCGACGCCAGCCCCAGTAGACCAAGACCCCTCCTCCGCCACCTTCCCACACCCCCTCACCACCCTCCAATCCGTGTCCTCTAAACCGCGCGTCAAAACCATCGGCATCGTCCGCGACTGGATCGACCGAGCCGAACCCGCGGTCCGCACCGTCTTCGACCGAGCCCTCGCCTTCTACCGCAAACAAGGCTACGACGTCATCGACATCACCATCCCTTACCTCCCCGAAGGCCAGCGCGCCCACGTCCTCACCATCATGACCGAGATCGCCTCAGGACTCACCCCGTCCCAGATCAGCAAGCTAACGGCCCCCAACAAGGTCCTCGTGTCCATGGGTATGTGGCAGATCTCCGGCCAGGATTTCCTCGCATCCCAGCGCCTCCGCAACATTATCATGTGTCACCTAGCCTACCTGTTCAAGGAACACCCGGGCCTCCTCATTCTCAGCCCCAGTACCCCCATGCCTGGCTGGAAGATTGGCGGCGACGCGGACCTCACGCGCGGCTTATCGGACGGGAAGTCCTCCGTGCGGAATATGGAGTATGTCTGGTTGGCTAATTTCACCGGTTGTCCGGCTATAAATTGTCCTGCGGGATATGTGCAGGATGGAAGTCGGCTGCCCATTGGTCTGATGGCTATGGGTGAATGGGGCACTGAGGAGGACTTGATCGCCTTTGCTAGGGATGGCGAGGCGATTCTGGATCTGCCTGAGAATCAATTGTCGGGCAGAGAACAGGTGGATCAGCAGTCGACTGGCCTGAGGATTCCGTTTGGTGAAGGATCTCTGTGGGAAGATGTGATTGCAAAGGCGAGACAGTGATTCGTGGATGGGATCATGGGGTGTTGACGTTTTATCTTCCTGCTTTATAGTTGCCATCATAGTTGAATGTTATTACGATAAGAGCTGGTAGATGCTTAGATTCCTGAATCTAAGAGGTCTGCATACAAAGGGCTCCTTTCCTGACATGTTATGGTGGACATATCCAAATACTAACCGTATTATTTACTTGAAAAATCTTTGTTGTTAATTTGTTAATTTCAAGACTATAGTCCCTGCTGTTATTCAGCCTTTCATGTTATTGTTATGCTTCTGTATTCAGGCTATAGACATAAAAAATGAATATCAGTAGTAAGAAAATAAGCAACCAGTCACAAGGTGTTGGTACATTGTGTTTGCTGTTCAGGTGGATTAGGAACGTGAGAAAAATACCATACTATATAGGTATCGAGGTAGGCATAACAATGTACATATATGTACAACAATGAAACACCTAGGTTTGCATGGCCTTATCTGCAGTGTTAAAGAAGCGATAAGGATGAACCACAATGTTGTGAGTCGGGGCAAATTCGAGGCCATAGATTTACTTTTATCTTCGCATAGAGGGAGAGCGAGCTTCTAACATGATATGAGATCGAGTCTTCCCTATACCACAGCCATGGGCCCACATAGACCGTATGAGCATAGTTCATGCAGAGTGCTTGGGACAAGTAGAATATTAACGAGCCCCCAAGAGGTTCTCACAGCGACTTTGTGAGTCTGAGAGTCTCAGACTCGGATGCTCTCGCCGCGCTTGGGTGCGTGGAATTGGCATCCTAGATTGGCAGCCTGTGCTTGATTTCGAAGTTGTTCCAAAATCGTAACGCTAGGACACGGGCCACCATCCATGTCTTCTTTAATGTGGATGAGATAAACTTTCAGGTGGGTTAAAGGTGCATCATCATGTGGCCAGCTGGGCTCCTCAGTCAGGACTTCTGTAGCGCCAAGACCAGTAGGATAAATGGTACTGCCGGTCACTGGCGCCGGAGCGCTGGTAAGGGCCGTCGTAGAAGCTCCAGGAACCACATCCTGCGACCGCCTGGTCTTGGGGCTCGTTGGCTGTGATTCTGCAGGGGGTTCCCCGCTGGGGCGCTTACGTTTCCCAATCACTAAGCTGCTAGGATGTTTCGCTTTGACAACTTCGCTAGCCAGCACTTTAAGCTCCGCGATTAGATGTCGGGGGCAAAGGTGGCCGTAGAGGGACTCATCCTCGACCTCATCAGTATAGGAGCACTCGATGAAGATCGCGCGCAGTTTTCCAGAAGCTATACGAGGAGCTGCAGCCTCCCAGACACGTCTGTTGCGAGGGTCGACTGAGATCGAATCGGGTTCAACATCACCGAAGATGATAATTTCGCGGCCCGAGTGCTGTTCGCGTATAAAAAAAGCAGAGCTCTCAACGCTCATCCAGCTCTCTCGCGGATTCGACGGTCTACGACTGGCCGGAGACATGTACCTACAGAACTCGTTCATTAAGTGTCGCCGGCGGAGTTTGGGGGAATGGAACTTACCCTGGCTCCTCCTGGGTCAAGGATATGGCGGCTCTCGAAGCCGAACGCATCATGAACGGGTCACCCATGTACATTGCACCGCTTATTGAACGCTGCATCTCAGCCTCGGGGGCGTAGTGTCTCCTGGTGCACCCATGACTGACACCAAAACATCTATAGTACAAGCCCTCGCAAGCTCGGGTATAGCCCCTCGTTTCTTCTCGGCCCATCCTCGGGTTACCACCCTCATGCAAGCGCTGGTAGGTGATCAGACCTGCACCGCCGTCTTCATCCGAGAGATTTGGCCAGATCACCTCGTTAAAGATATGTGTTTTGATAGCGGATATCACAGACGGCAGTGCAGCCACTGTCTTTGGGCCGTTCGTTGCCTCCAGAATTGGCGAGTTTATGGCAAATCCTGAGAAATGGTCTAGGTGAGGATGCGTGACCAAGATGGGTCCAATCATTTCTCGCAGGATGTGTGCTGCATTCGCTGGAGCGGTCTGGAAGGGTAAAGGCATATCGGTAAACGGGCCAGTTTGGACGACCATCTCATCCATATCATTGTGTGTTTCTAGAATATGAATAATTCCAGCAAGAAGGGTCCCTGCATCGACCGAAATCACCGAATCTGGTCTCCATCGGGATGATGTGGACCGGACTAGAAGCCCAGTAACTCGATCCTCACGCGGGCCTCCTGTTGGACCCTGTAGACAAAAGTCAGCGTTCAGTCTACATGTCGCATTCCGAGACCAGTGAAATGTCACAAGAACGGGTTGAGTGACGACAGGTAATTTAGCTGATACTTAGTACTATGCTAAACGGAACGAAAGCGAGAAGTTATACCAGGGTTAAAAGAGACTTACCAAGACAATCACTTGTAGGTCTCCTTTTCCGGGCTCGGGTGGTCCCCCAAATGGGCCAGCAGCAAGAATATCAATATCGAGCTCTGGAGGTGCAATATCGACCCTTGCTTTTCCTTTTCCTTTTCCTCTCCCGGAAGCCCGTTTGCCACGTGCCGGGTTCATTTTCATCTGCTTACAGTCCAGGTAGCAGATGCAGCTATTCCTCAGCAAAAGATTGGGCAAACAAAATTTCAATCTTTGAAGGTGACGGAAATCCCGTAGAGGTTTACCTCGGCACACGGATATAGATTTTCTTTGAAAAGCAGTGAGAAGGCGAGGACGGCCTTTATAGATTTTATATCTGAGAAGCTAATGGGGCATCTTTGATCCGATAAATAGCTACCTCATTGCTTGTGCTTGTCAGAGGAATAAGAAAAGGGCAGGGTCCACCAGCTTCGTGTCGCACGCGATCAGCGATTCGGCGAGGTAAAGAGATGCGCGATGGCTATACAGGCCGCAGAATGTGAGCGCTGCACTAACGGAACTGAGATCGTGTGCCCCAGCATATAACCCCGACGTTGATCGCTGGGTACTCACCGACAAAGAGCTTCTAGAATCAAAGGACCCGGTCAATGCGTCTACCGATTAGCGCGATGGTTGTTGCAATTGCCTTCAGGAAAGTTGCCGCTGCCCCAAATTCTTGTGTTACGCACACCAAGATTAGCCTAGATCCTTAGATATAAGATCAGGCGCTTGTAAAATTTGCTTTTTCCTCCGTTCCGGGTTCGCGAGCGGATGTGGTGAGTGGCTGGTAATGTGCGATCGGAGAAGCTCCACCAAGGAACGACCTAACAAAGAAAAGGTGGGTTTAGGAAGTACCCCCTGTGCCCTTTCCTTTCTTCCTCCTTAGAGGAGTAGTGTGTCAGTTAGAAAGGAAGGGATTCAAAGAGTGTGGTGCAGTGCAGTGCAACGGTGGGTGTGCCGCACGCTGGGAAAAGAGAGAGATAGTGGAGAGGACGAAGAGGACAACTTTTCCCGCCTTTTGTTGTTCTAATATTTTTTTTTTCCTTTTCACTTCTATTTTTCCCTCACATGAGCGAGAGGCGGGTAAGCAAAGGCCCATTCTCTCATGGGGAATAAAGTTAGCGCTGTAGCAAAATGTAACCGTGCGTTGAGGAGCTGAAAGAGAGGGAAGTTCAAAGAGAGAAAGAGAGAGACATGGTTGGATGACGTCGTCCACCGATTATCGATCTCAGATTTTGTGGGGAATATTTAATTTATGATCACATTGGTTATTTTAATTATTATAAATTTATTATTATTTCTTTGACCCACTCTTTCCCCTCCCACGATGCGGAGTAGGAATCCTTCCTAGTTTCAATCGAATTTTTTTATGTTAAAGATGGTATTACATACACATTATGGGCAATTGGATTTATTTGAAATGTATGCAAACGAGTTCTCCTATGTATGTGTTATGTACTATGTACTATGGACTGTACATGGTATGTATGGTCAACCGGCCATGTGGGAGCTAATAATAGCTCCAGAACCTTGAATGGTCGCAAGGTGCTTTTTCCCCAATGCGGTTCTTCCATTCCGCAAATATTAAATATCAAAGTATTATGACAGTGAGTACGTCCAGTACGGTATTCTTCGGGGACTCCTGCTTTCAACCCCGAGACCACGTATTAGTCGGTATACAACAAAGTATCTGAGGATGACAACTCCGCTAGCAGAGATAAATATAGATTGACTATGAGAGGTTAGCTGCGGGTTCCGCGACTACATGTACAGGCAGACAAGAGCAGATGTGAGTGGAGATGCCGACTGGTTGAGCGTCACCCCACGCACAGCATAGTCATTTCGTAGTAAATATTTCCGAAGGAAAAGCGAAAGAGGATATCATTCGATGGGTCAGAAGATTCGGACCCTTCCAGGGGTGAGCAGATCCTAGAAATGTCTTGGATCGAGCCGCAATCTTGCCCTGAACGTCGGTGATCCCATGTCCCACCCCAAGCGTATCGATCTGGGGAGACATGGGCGGTAAAGCAAAAAGAGCCGGTCCCTATATACGTGATTTCATGTCGTTGCCACATCCGGGTGGCGTAAAGCCCATAAAAGCCCCAACCGCAATAACCCCATCCATTAGAACGCCAACCGTGGCCGCTAAAATCGATAAAAGAGAACAAAGCCAACACACTTGACGGCTCGAAGACCATGTACATACATCATGGAAGCTTTGTTAATAACAGAATGAAAAAGGGAACTTGAAGAGCACGCCTGAGGTAAACTAATTATTTCCCCTCGGATGAGAGAGATTGCCATCCTGGTTGCCGACAGCCGCATCATAGCTAGGTATCGGCGGTTGAGCATGGCGCGGTAAGTCCTCGCTGGCCCTTCGACTACTGTCCGGACTGGAGTATTCTGGAGGAGCTTGGTCGATATCATGCGGGTTCAACAGCGGAGCATGCTCTCCATCACCGACAGTTGTCCGGCTTGACCCTTCTCCAACATCTTCATTCGAAGGTATATGGGCGAGTTGGGCGAGGGAAATATCCGTCGGTGACCGGACGGGGCCGGGACTGGCAGATGGTGCTATTCTGACTGTTGAGCTCGTACGTGCGTTGTTGGCATCTTGATAAACCCGCTGAGATATCTGAGCAGCACTCTCGCGACCGGACTCCAACAAAATGCTCCCTTGTTCACTCCCATATGGTGGCGGAGGAGCTAGGCTACCAGTCATTGGGGCCAGACCCCACTTCTTGACATTGGCTTCGATAAACACAAACCCCATTTGACCAAAGTTGACATGAACGGTACAGGGTCCGTTTGCTCCCACAGTAGGAAAGAAGTTTTGGGCCTTCTGGCCGTGAACCGTATCTTCTAGTTTCTTGCCATTCCGAGTGAAGAAGATCGTACCAGAGCGAGGCCGATAGCCTACGCCTACCACGTCGCCTTGTGTGAGTGGAGGACCATATGATGACGGGGTAAACGGTTGGTTGTATCGTCGGTGTCCTGTCGTTTGATACGCTACCGATGTTCTATGGTATCCTATGAAAATAAAACAAAAGACATTAGTATATTAGTGCACCACAAGTATTACCCGCCCAAGTGACACAAAACCCACCTGGTAACCGAAACAAAGGATACGGCTTAGTCGTCATGCCGATACTGATGAGAGTATTGTCAGGTTTATCGTAGATCTTCGCCTCCCAATAATAAACATCATTCTGCTTTGGGACGGGTAAATTGGTCTGTACACTGCACTCGGAATCGTAGAACTCGATCTCTGTACGGGCCTCGACAAAGCAGTTGGCAATTTCTAGCTCCGGTTGAAACTCCCATGCCGAAACGCCCTTTTCTTGGATCGCGAGGAATTGGGAGAGTGAAATGTCGGTTTGCATCGACTCAGGCGGGTTGGCTTCGACGAACGCTATGATGCCCCAGATTAGCGATCGGCAACCTTCTCACATAGGTCTGTTGAATTAAGTCGCCAACACTCACCTTTCGCCCTTAGATACTCTGAACGCGACAGATCATCCATGGCCTCCAAGGCCTCGGTCTCCTCGCGCAAGAACGCTTGCTCATCATCGTATTCACCGGGACGCCCGATGCGGTCCAGAATGATTCTACCACGCTGAGTATACTTGAAAAAGAAGAATATCGCTAGAACAAGCACCGCAACTGCTGCGGAACCGAAGGCGGAGAGAACGCCGATTAAGATACCCTTGCCGGTAGAACCCGAAGAGTTGCCACTGGCGCTGACTAGACCGCCATCTGGGCTCGGGGAGGACATTGCCAACAGAACATGTTCGATATTGGATGCCACACGTTGAGGGTCGTTAGTCGGATAGCGAGACTGAGAGGCGGGTGACGTTGTCGGATCGCTTATCACGGAAGTAGTGAGGGTCGAGGGAGCACCCCATAGGGCACTGAGCCCCGAAGCCTCAGATCCCCCCCGCATTGTTCATTGACTGGTGTTTGGGAGACGGTCTCAAAATTAAATGGGTATAGGATGAGTACAGAGATTAAAAAATGAGAATCAAGTGAACAAAGAATGGACCACAGCGAACAAAGTGGATGGGCGCGAAGGGAGGGAGGAGGAGGAAAGGGTATCAAGTAGAGATGATGGGAAGATGAGTTGGACGGAGAGAGAGAGAGAGATGACAGTACAGGAACAGCAAAGTCAACAGTCCAGAATCGCCGCCATGTGGGGAGGCGCAGCGACGCTTTCGGACAATTGCGTACGGATAACGACTTTCCCTTGTTTGCAATACAATACATACAAATAGCTATTCTGGGAACCTACAGGAACGTTGAAACACTGGAATTAGAAATACTAAACCTCCATATCCAAATAAATGCAAGACTAGGAAAGGGAATGAACATTAATAATTGTTGCACAGCTCCTTCAAGTTGTGTTATCTTACGCCTTTAATTGCTACCTACCAAGTATGTACATACCAGGACGGGTACCTACTGATACTGTATGGTTAATGAGGTTCCCCTGGGTTACTTGATAGTAAGCCATCATCAGGTGACGGTGGAATACCGTATGTACAATACAGTCTGAATTACTTACTAGTAAGTAACTCCGGACCTTATTCCAAATCAAACAAACAACTGAGCGACGATAACATCTCCATCTCTGCTCTCCTGTATTGCCTTCCCTTAGCCCCTCTCTCGTCTCCCCCATTCTCGTGGTTCCTTGCAGCCCTTTGACTTCTCATGTAGATATATAGCTCTTTCTCCCTTTCAACCTGCTTTGTAAACATGCGTTCATATATACCTTCAAGTATGCGTGTCTCAGAACCATCCGACGTTGCTATCCGCTCCGACGATACCTGCCATATCCGCCTTACTTGGTCAGGCGGCCACTGCGATAAATATCCAGGTATGCAAAGGAGCTAAACTCTTTGATTTCTTTCCCTTCCCTTCTCCCACCTATCCACCCCTCCTTTCTGACTCCTTGACACCTGGATGCTATTTTTGAGGTTAACAAGAGGCCGCCCGCAGCGAAACAACATGCACGTAAAGTGGCCCGGAAATTGGGGCTGTCCTCGGGCCTTATCTATCTTGTCGGTCAGCCGGTGCTTAATTGGGGAGACTCGGACCAACCGCAGCCGTTCCGACAAAGGCGGTATTTCTACTATCTCAGTGGAATCGACGAGCCGGACTGTTATCTGACCTACGACATTCGAGCGGACCTATTAACACTATACGTCCCAGACTTCGATCTGCATCGTGCGATATGGATGGGACCAACACTAACTGTGGAGGAGGCACATAAACAATCCGACGTGGACCGCGTTAGTTACTTTGCTGCTCTGCAACCTGACCTCGAGTGCTGGGCAAGCAAGTACAATGAGACTTATCCGATATACATCTTACATGAGAACCAAAAGCCGGTGATACCGTCGAAGCGCCTCTATCTTGATGATGAACGGCTTCTTTCTGCGATGAATGCAGCTCGGGTGATCAAAGATGAATATGAGCTTCGGATGATACGTCAAGCAAACTATATCTCTGGCCTCGCCCATCGCAAAGTACTTGAAGATATTCACCGTATGTCCACGGAGGCGGAAATTGAAAGCTCATTCTTGGCCACCTGCGTCTCGCATGGTGCTAAAAATCAATCATACGCAATCATTGCTGGATCAGGGCAGAACGCAGCTGTCCTTCACTACGTTAAGAATGACGAGCCCCTTGATGGAAGACAGCTGGTCTGTCTGGACGCCGGGGCAGAGTGGAAATGTTACGCAAGCGACGTGACGCGTACAATTCCTCTGTGGACAGACTGGCCTAGTGAGCATGCAAGAGATATTTACCGTGTAGTCGAGGAGATGCAAGAAGAATGTATCAGGCGCATCCGAAAGGGGGTGCGTTTCCGGGATTTGCAGCTGCTCGCACACGACATCGCCATTAAAGGGCTGCAGAAACTTGACATACTCACAGCCGGCAGCCCAGGTGAGATCTACAACTCCGGAGCATCTGCTGTCTTCTTTCCTCACGGGCTGGGTCATCACGTTGGCCTCGAGGTCCACGACGTTTCTGAACGGCCTATCACCGCTTTGGATGGGAAGCAGACTTACCCGAGCAGCCAAAACTTTGTGCCGCCTCTTGACGATAGTAGCTGGTCCGTTCCATTGTTGGATGAGGGCATGGTGGTAACCATCGAACCGGGCATCTACTTCAATCGACTTGCCCTTCTGAATGCGCAGAACCTGCCATTGGCAAAGTACATAAACTTCGACGTGGCTGAGAAGTACATTCCTATTGGCGGCGTGCGCATTGAAGATGACATTTTGGTGACCGCTGAGGGGTATGAAAACCTGACGACGGCACCTAAAGGAGAGGAAATGTTGGAGATCATCCGTCGCGGGATCGACAATTCTTAATCTTAAACCTCTGGTGGAGCTTGACGTTCTCATTATCCTATCGTTTCAACCACTTTCGGGACAGCTATTTCGGAAAATTTAAGGCAGGGCAATCTTGACTCGTAGAAGACGAATCATCAAATAGATTACGGTGTGACTTATGACTTATGGAGTCTTCTAAGGGAGCAATAGCTAAGTGGCGCCCTTCTAGCCCCGTCTCCCCTTTCTAGGACTTTCCCTGGGCGCCACTTCGACCATCTCTGTCATATCCACCTCCTTTATACCCAGAGAGGCAATAGTAATTTTATATACCCGCCTTCTAGAAGGCTCCACTGATGGACTACTGTTGCACAAAACGATCCGCTGAGAGACTCCATATTACGTTTCGCCGAAGATTCCTTATGTTGTGCTTTGCCCTCTCGACGCCCGGCCATATGAAGAAAATAAAATCTATTCGACCGACTGGATCCAATCATCATCTCTACTGGGGGAGTCCTCAAACAAGTAATTGTCATCCTCTGTGAAGGTTGAGACAATCATGTCTTACCCTGTGGTACGGTAATATTAAGAAAGGAGAAAACCCAATAAAGAAAATAAAAATAAATAGAGATGAACAACTGTGTCCCCAAACATACACAAACAACACAACAACATACAGCTGTCTAAAAAGAGAACAAACAAATATTCCTCAACCAATCAGAGCTCTCCATGTGCGCTGAAAATTTTTCCCTGGTTTTTTTTTTTTTTTTTTTTCCCTCAGGTGTGCCTGCACAAGTGGACCACTGACGCATGCAAAACCAGGTGTCAAATGATGATAGCTTCGGTGTTAGTCAAGTTTTAGAGGTTTCCTACGGACCTAATGAGGGACTTGTCAGCCCACTCGAAACAGTGCATGAGACCAACGGTAGAAGCCTAGTCTGGTTTTGGTTACTTTGTGTGCGTACTCCGCAAGTTTCCCAAGCTAAAAAAGCTATGAAAAGGAGGTGATACCCAGTCCAGCAACACCCAACACACCAGCAAGAAAATAAACCGGAATGATGGCACTGATACCTAAGGCCCAGTAGTGAAATCCTTGGCAGAATAAAATTCATGGACGATTACAAAGCTCTTGGAACATGACCGAGTTTCATTCCTATGATATCATGGCTGTCATGCCGTGAAATCCGTTGGTGCTGATGAATGACGAGCACCGAGATGATTCTTTTCTGCTGACTGAATCAAGGCCCTCCTGTTACGGAAACTTACGCTTGGGTATCGGGGTGTTAGGGAGCCGATCGGTCCGTACGGCATCATAACCTTTCGAGTTGGATTTGGGCTCGGGGGCTGCGGCATCGGCCTCGTATGGTATTGTCAAGGCACTGATTTAGAGGAAAGGATCGGAACGAGAATTGCCGTCATGCCACGACAGAATTACATATTTTTTTTTTGAGGGTGGCTGTCTGACTAACTAGTAGTACCGAAAGTAGCTACTAAACGTCTCCTGATCGGGATCGACGCAACTTGCATATGGACCCTTGCTACTTGCTTGCTACGGAGCTGTACTCCAGACTCCGAATTTTCATACCTACTCTATGAGGAATTTTTCTCTCTCCAGTAAAAAGAACCATTGAAGGTTATTGGCCGTAAATACCTCAAATATTTGGATTCATTTCTACTTTTGCATCAAATCTTGCGTGACAAATTTTTACCTTGTTCTCAAGGGTGGTAGGATGACTCAAGAGCACGCAAGACCCAAATCAGGTACGCCATACCAGATTTTAATGAGGCCATTTTTCACCATAGTCAAGGTGCCTTAGGTATTTTTGCTTCTGGACTGCAGAGTGTGGGGGCTTGTGGATCCGCCCTTCCGGATGATGAGATTTTTCTTTCCCTTTTTAACTCCGTCCCCATTTTCGGCCCTAGTGAGTCACACCACTGACGCTTTGTAGTCATCGGATGTATATAACGGTCCTGATGCAAGATGCCTCCTGGACTGCTCTTTTAGTTCCTTCCCCTACCTCATCTCATCCTTCCCAGGGGGTGATGGTCACTTCCCTCATTACGAGTCTTTTAACGTTCCTCCCCAAAAGTTTTGATATTCCTCCATTTCTTTTATCATCATCAATATCGGGTGTGGGAAGAAAAAAAAAATAGAGACAAAGAATTCATTCGAAAAACGGTCCTCTTCGCTCGACTAGGTGGGCAGAGAATGGGACAAAGGCATAACAGACGTCGCACACGCCCACGATCTCGAAACCGTAGCGCTCATTTCACTCCCGTGGAGCCGACTCCATATCCGGTCAGCTACACTCGCACTCCAGCTATTCTTGAAACAACCACTACCGCTTGTGAATCACTCGACTCCATCCCGGTACCCTTCGCCCCGACCTGGCACTATAAGGGTACAATATGGCAGAAGCGTGACCGCACGTTGCGGATAGAGACCTCACAGCTAGAGGTAGAACAATGTCGTCTATTTGGAGGTGAACCGGGAGATGATGTCGGACTTTGCTATCGCATGCTTGAATACTTCGGTGGGCTTGATTATATCGACTCGTGAGTTCTCCCGACACAACTCTTATCTTGGGAGTGATCTCTAACCAACTTTATTAGTTCACAGGGTTTGAGATTATTACCTGGATGAAGGGGACCTCATAAGAGTAAAGCCCTACCACCATGATCGACCTTGCTGTGGCCTGGAATGTGGAAGACATTAAAAAAAGAGGAAGAAAAGAGAAGTACCCACAGCCAGAGCAAGCAACCGGACAAACTACCCTGCGGAGACCAACCAAAAAAAATCTCTCCATCGACAGCAGGAAAACACCAGCCTCCATGATAGGCCGGAGCACCAGTTTCCATGGGGAACCCAAGTCTACGACTTGTAGCAATGAAGATCCCTCTTACTGCGCAGAGCAGGATGGGTATCGGATTGGTCCTTTATGACTTAGCCATGCGTTTCTGGTTCGAAATTTGACATACGTTTTGTGACGTCGAGAACCCAGGTTTTTCCTTGATTGATGGGTTGAGTTCGCATCTAACTATGTGTTGGTGCTTGAAATCCCCGTCAAGCAGAGGGCTTCGAAGGTTTTCCGCCGCATTCTTTGTCAAATTCTTTGCCCCGACTTACTGCACTATCAATCATACTGTCCGAAATATATGACGATAAAGGGAGGAGACTATCATCTAAATAGACCCTCCTTCCTTTATCCAGTCGCGCGTTTGAGCAACCCCGAATCTTGGGATCGTTCAGGAAGAAATGAAGCTTACCTCGCTATGACTCAGGGGCCGATTCTAATGTTCACCGAAGGAATAGAGCTATTTAGCACGATCAATGAATTGTGATGACCCGTCATGTATAACAAATTTAGAGGGAGCACCTTGTATACCATATAATCAGCCATATCTTTTTTGAAACATCTGCCAAAGTGAAACGTAGTCGTAATAGGGTAAAAGTATAGCTTGTACTACTAGTCATAGGAACATTTCAGCGATGAGCCTTACTTGGCTGCCCCTTGGCGATAACACCCAGCACCCAATCCGTCATCACCATTGGCTTACTGACAAATGGGCAATGGCAGTAATGCTTGTCACATCAACCTGTTGCCATGTCTCCCTCTCCACCATGGCGATGGACGCTTTCTGCAGTGTGGTTAGAATGCGTAAATAGTCTACACACATAAGGCACAGGAATGTCCTTATCCTTGGCATGGGTTAGTTCGATGGGAAATGTAGAAGCAGAGTAGCACGTGATTTTATTTGACCATATCTCACCTTCATCCCTTGGCAAATCTGAGAAACATATAGCATTAAATAACGGGATATCGGAGTGATGCAGGCAGCCTTTTTTTTTTTTTTTTTTTTTTTTTTTTTT